ATTAGCAGAAGATGAAGCGGATGCAGAATTATCTAAATTGAAGCAAGAAGAAGAGGACTTGGAGAAAGAACTTCAGGCACTGGACAATGAGATGAAAGACTTGGATAAACAAGAAGAAGACTTTTGGGAAAAGAGTAACGAATACCAATTGAACCTACAAAACTTCCAAAACGAAAGAGACGCCATTAATTTGAAATACGATCATGATGTAAGACAATATGATCGACTACAAAAGACAGTGGTTTACAATGATGCGTTTTGTATATCGCATGATGGCGCATTTGGTACAATTAATGGCTTTAGATTGGGCAGGATAGGACCGAATCAAGTGGAATGGAACGAAATTAATGCGGCTTGGGGCCAAACGCTTTTATTATTATATACTGTTGCCAGTAAGCTCAAGTTCCAATTTAATATGTATAGGCTTGTGCCTATGGGGTCTTTTTCGAGGGTAGAAAAAGTGGATGGAGATAGCGTTGTATCTTATGAGCTGTGAGTATATACATGTGGCCACAGTCGTTCCGGACTCACTCATTTTCTTATTAGATATGGATCTGGTGACTTTGGAATTAACAAGATGTTCTTTTTAAACCGCCGATTTGATCATGCTATGGTAGCTGTCCTGAACTGCTTAAAACAACTGACTGACTATGCTGAAGAAAGGGATAAAAGTTTAAGGTTACCTTATCGAATTAATAAGGATAAAATTGGTGAATTATCAATCCGAGTTCAATTTAACCAAGATGAACTTTGGACAAAAGCACTGAAATATATGTTGACAAATATGAAGTGGATTTTAGTATTTGCCAGTAGAGCAAATATATCCTCTGAATCCACTCTTACAGATACCACCTAAAATAAAATCCTTCTTTTTTCTTTTATGCGGCGGGGTGTCTAATGATTTGTTTATCCTTTCTTTTTCTTTTTTCTTTTTTTTTTTGCAATGAGAAGAAGAGCTGCTGGTTATGCTAATGTGCATAATAGAGAGCGAGCAGGTGTAAGATGGTAAAAGCAGGGCATGTATGCGATGCAATCATTTGACAAGCCCCTCCCTTTTCTAGAAAGAGTACCATCAAATCGGTGCTTCGATTGCTGCCAAGGAATTGGAACAGGTGAGTTATAGTTGGGCGTAAAAGACGAATCGCAAAGGCTAACCCAAAGTGATAGCTTCAAAGTCAGATGGACATTTTCAAGACAAACCTTCAAGAATTTGCACAGAAGCATCGAAAAGACATTCGCAAGGATCCTACTTTTCGTGCCCATTTCCAACGCATGTGTACCAATATCGGCGTCGATCCTCTTGCGTGTAAGATAAGCCTAACAGTAGATAGTCACCAATATATTTACCCAATATTTATTCGTATATGATAGCCAACAAGGGTTTCTGGGCAGATTTATTAGGAGTAGGTGATTTTTATTATGAACTAGGTATCCAGATCATAGAAGCATGCATCACTAGTAGGACAAACGATGGTGGGTTAACAGAGCTAGGCGAGATTATGAGAAGGGTGGAAGTGATGCGAGGCGTTAAAAAGAAGGATAAGCAAACACAGATTTCGGAAGATGATATCGTGAGAGCTATAAAGACTTTGAGACCTCTGAGTGGTGGCTATGAGGTACTGCAGATTGGAACTCGCAAGTTGGTGAGATCTGTCCCAAAAGAACTTGATAAGGATCAGTCTGCGTTACTTTTATTAGCACAGGTAAAACAAGTCTACTTTTTATTTTCGATGCCGTTTTTGTTGATACATTAAACATAGAAAACTGGATATGTCAACTATGAAATGATTAAAAATGAACTGGGCTGGACCACAGAAAGAACCGACACAGCAACCGTAAGTAATTTATTATTGTTTTAACGAAATTAAGGTTTTTTTTTAAAAGTTTTAAAATGATAGCAACATTTATTGCAAGATGGCATTGCATGGTTGGATAAGTTTGGTGACGAAGATTCATTTTGGATACCAAGTTACTTTAGTTCCGGTACTGATTAGATGAATAAATGTGATTTGTTTACAATGTACTTTATTGGGGGTGTAATGATATGTATAATGGATTAATATATGCTATATAATGTACAACTGAATGAAAAAAAAAAAAAAAAAAAAAAAAAAGAGAGAGAGAGAGAGAGAGGGGTAAAGGGGGGTATATTAGTTCATATGGCCAACCATGATAAGGGCTAAAAAAACGACAAAGGTACAAACGGGAATGCAGATCACACCGTAACTCCAGAATAACACGTTTAACATCTCTTCTTCGAAAATTCCACTAACTTGGGTGATCTGTGACAGATTAATGGCTGTGGGTGTACATCCAACTACGATCATACTGACAATAAACATGGGATCTGTAGCTAATTCGGACCATTGGCTGCCAAAAACAGAAAATGCATACACAATAGGGAGGACACAAAGTGGAGTCAGAAACATGCGGATAAAGATAGACATTGAAATTGGCTTGTTGCTTTTGGGAGTTGTGTTGGTTTGTTGAGTATCTCGAATACTTTTAAGTTGCGCACCGAGACATATTAATACTATCGGAACCGATGCTTTGCCGCAAGACTCAATAGCTTTTGTAAGTGATGCATAAAAGAATGAATCTCTATCGTATAACATGTGTTTGAGTGGTGGAGATAATCCCACAACCAAGGCCAGTAATGCAGCATAAAGAGGTGGCGACATGTACTTATCGATAGTGACAAAAATATTGAGAAATCGACGAAGGATCGACGTCTCTTCTGGTCGAGGAAAAGATATAAATAATCCAGTGGTTTCGTTAATCGAGGTGGGCACATCGCATTTAATTGAATCCTCGTTGATGTTGTAATCTACTTCGGAAACGGTTGCAGAGGAGGATCTTCGGCTATTATCGTTATTCGCATTTGAACCATAATCACCTATAGAATTTTCATAGGAAGAAGGTGTATAATCTATCACTATCGTATCATCATCTTCTGCCTTTTTTTGTAATAAATTGTATCCATAAGACCATCTTAAAATATTGCAGAAAAGGCCGAAAAATAAGGTGTAAGAAATGCCACTATTGATAGGGAGTAAAAGAGGGTTAATGGCTGTTTGGACAAAAACCAGAAATATATTCCCTTTTATTTAAGGGTGTACTTACCGAGCAGCAACCATATCTTGATTATCATCTTGATTCCAATATAGCGTTTTTCCCGCCTCAGAAACAGCCAAGCTAGAAATTATAGCAACTGGCAGAGAGTTTGTGTTACAAAACATAACACAAGCCAAGACAAACCGTCGATAGTATTTATCAATACCAAAAACGGGAATGACAGATTGACAGAGGATCCATGAGGTAGCTGTAAAGACAATGTAAAATACAGGAATTGGCCAAAATGCCAATAATCTTTCATAGGATATCACAGAAGCAATATTTGAAAACAACAGACAAGGTGTAAAAAATACCAGGTTTAGTTTGGATAGCCACTGTAATTGTTTGGTGAATACATTGATAAATGTCAAATCATAAATCAATCTATACCTTCTGTTTATCATTGTCGATATATCCTCGCTTCGATAGGATTACACCAAGAAAAACAATGGCCATTACTTGCATGATTGCCTTAAAAGAGACTTTGTTACTAATATGTTAATTTGTATCACATATCGAGATATGTTTACCTGGACGGCAGATATGATGAGTTCCAACATTGATGTATATGTATATATAGAATTGCTTTGGTTTTTATATGGGATCGAAAAAAAAAATGAGAAAAAAAAAAAGAGGTTGCAATTGAAAAAAAAGAAAAGAATAATGCTATTAAAATAAACAGGAGAAAGAAGAATTAGAAAAAGAAAAAAAGCAACATATTATATAATGAAAGTCGATTGTGTTTTCTGACCATAAAATGATGCAATATATCTTATTCGCAGCTGATGTATAAAAAAAAAATATTCATTTCTCCGATCCTCAATTTTTTCATAATGACCTTTAATTCATTAATGTATTTAGATGTGTTTCATGTCAATCATTGATCTAAATATGTGCACTACATGCATATAGATATTGTTCAAGTCATCATGATGAGTCTAGTGTGCAATTATGATGCAGTTGTAGATTCTAGAGAAAATTGAGCAATTTTTTTTTTTCAGTTACCAGGTAACACCAAAAGTCAATGTGAGAAGCTTATGACTAAAATAAAGAATGATGCGCACGTACGTTATCTTTGTTTTGATGTACATTAATACATATATAAATTTTAGTTTAAATATACATTCTATCGAAAAGAGTGCCGTCCAAAGGGGGTTTATTATCATTTTTAGACCTACGATGATCATCATACCATGGCGTCATCCCTATCCTATAGAATCATGGTTTTTTGTGTCCGCAGCGTAAATTGGTCATATATTGATACAAACCCTATCTCAGATATAGTCATTCCACTGCCCAATATGGGGATTTACAAAAAAAAAAAAGGAACACGGACTTTAAAAAAGTAAAGGTTGTAGAAGTATTGTAGAGCAATCAAGTCAAAGTTACAGGAATATCTACAAAAAACGTTAATGTATGTTTCCTTATTACAAACTCGGTTTACATTAAGATTCTGTCAAAGTAATAAAAATTCAACTAATTCTGTGAGATCAAAAGGTCAAGGACACAAAAGTCTCGGAAGGATGTAACGGCACGAAAAGGCAGACCACATGCTGTCAAGAATTAACAGTAATCTAAAAGACAGCTCTTGAAAGTCATGAGTAAAGGTCCGCTTTTCAATGGAGTGGTACAAATATGGGCCTTTTTAAAAGCTTTATTTGAACCGATGAAATTTATTTGAAATTAGGAAAAAGTAAATAGGGGTTTCTGCTTTAAAACACCAGTAGTCATCACAGTAAGATGACTTTTATGGGACCAAAAACGTGGGTATCTGCCTGCCAGAGTCAAATTGAGGTATACATAAGGCAAATATCATGGATATATTCAGAGAAATTCATAGAGCATGTGTACATCCAATAGTTCAGATCAGACAGGAATATAATATACGTCCTCATTAACCATACGTTGAGTTCATCGCACTCCTTCTTTGTCAGAACATTCCGTTACATTATAGCCATTCAACTTTACTGGATTATTAGTTAATCGAATCGAAACTCTTAACATTGACAAAAAAAAAATCGTAACGTGTTATTGCGTCTTGTTATTCAAGGCGCACAAGCTGATTTGATAGGTTCTCGGTTTATCAGAATACATGTGCCGATGCCATCTGTGGTTTGTAGCACGAAATCCGATTTTTGGAATATCAATCCATTTTTGGTCAGTGTACGACATAGACAAGTTATACTGTTATAATTATTTTGCTGGTCCTACCCTCTTCCTACCATGACCGAGTCGGAAATATCTTCTTCGAATAAAACATGTTTAGGCAGGTATCTTTAACATTACCAAAGCTGCTTAGGGTTTTCAGTGTATTAAGTGGTTTATTATTTTGGACAGTAACGGCTTAAATGCTAAGCATTAATGTAAACAAACAACAAATAAATGACAAATAATTAAGACAACTATTTGTCAACATTCGGTAATTGTATTTTTTTTTCTAATAATGATACGTTAATCAGCACCAGCCATAGTCATAACTAGGTTGGGGACCCCGACGGGGTAATAATCCTTTTTAGATCTACACCAATGATTTTAGCAGACAACTATCGAAGTCTTAATTAAATAAGCTGTCTATATCTGTATCTTAGGTTTCAGGGCAACAAGTAATTTAAGGAAACGATGTCTGTCTTCCTAATAATTAAGGGCCCTTTGAAGTCAATAACATCTTGATACTACACATACTGAAACTTTAAATTTGAATGGCTGAAAATATGGAATTTTTAGAAACCTGAAACGGAAAACAGCATAGTATGCGGTATACTTGACGTAGTCAATTGCATATCAAAAATGTTAAATACAAATATCACGCCCGCAAGACTCCACAGTCAACATGATTCATTGCTTTTTAACTTGAGTTAGAAGCAAATATTATATTATCTTGGCCTACCATAATGAACTTTTATTGGGGGGTTTTTTTTTTAAAAATAGCTATGGTATAGCTTTGCGAGGGGTTGAGTAAAAAATAATGCTGATAACAATGACTATTATTGCACAACAGACTAACAGAATAAAAACAACTCTAGTGTCTTTAACTTGGCAAGACGCGTGCTTAAAATACAATTGGGTTGGAATTCTGTTTCTGGAAATTATACCCGAATTCCGGAAAGTTAGTTCCTATGCTTGGTATGTGATTCATTGCCTTTTTAGGCTTATAAAGTCTCATTTGATCAGTAAACTTTTTTTATATCATTAGCTACCACCTGGTTTACTTAAAAAGCAAAAGCTGATGTCGATCCTCGTGTTAATTTTCTCTGTAAATAAGTTATTTTACAAAGAAAGTTTGTCACGACACGTAAAGAATATAACTGGCTGGTGGATGGCAAGTGTAAGAGTGCTGTTACAGTCCAATCCAGGTATCTGCAGTTACAATTTTCTGTCTTTATACGTTTGATATTATAATAAATTTCTCTTTTCCACGTGTACGAGAGAAATGATTAAATATCTAAAAGCTTATCCACTACATCTTTAATTATGAATCATTGAGTGCAATATCCAACGATGCATAAACTGCATTCTAATAAAAATAGGAATCCAATTAATTATGACAACCAATTCTTGCTTTTATCAAAAAACTAGTATTAAAACAGGTTTTCTGTGTTCAATGCTTCTGAACTGTTCACATGAATCTCTCTCGTTCCATTAATTTCTTTTCTCCTTTGTCCATTTTTGGGTTTCCCTCATTTATAAGTTTCAAGCCCCCTTCATTGGTTTTTTGTATTGATCTTGGCTATGTATCGATAGGAATTTGATGTAAATGTATGTATCATTATTAAAAGAGACGTGGTGGTAGTTAATCATGCATCTATAGGCATACGTGTTTGCGGAGCCTACGACAAGTCATATTCATTTCTGATCGAACGGCATAATTGTATGATAAAAATCCGCTTATTTTTTGAATTGTAATATCCTTTAGCGAGTAGTTCTTTTTTTCTTATAAAAGATGAATAAAAAACATATCTTAATTTCGTAATAGAACATTTTCTATTTGATTATTGTTCCAAACATAACCATTCCCCGTCCTACAACATGAATAAAAACGTTTACTAAACTATTGCGAATATAAAAACTTTAGCAACAAGTTCAAAAATCATAGATTTATGTAAAAAAACACATTTGTCATTATCCCTCGCTTATGTAAGTATAATATTGCTTCTTGTTAAATTATACTTCATGTAGTCTGCAAAATCGCTAGTTTAAGCATAAGTACGTATAAGCAGCAAGTTCTTCACTATTCTAAAAAGGTTATTTTTTATCCTGCTTTACAGTTTATATATATCTAACACCTTTTTATTTTCTTTAGTCTATAATATTTGGCTTGGGATCATTATTAAGTTTTGTACTATTTATTTGATATATTAGAACGATATATTAAGCAGCCTACGCTATATAACTACGAAACTCCCAACTACGAAGATCACGGAAGCGATCATTATAGTCTAACGTCTCACTGTCCAATTACATTTCAATCAATAGCTTCCGGATAAGAACTACAAATGTGATTAATTGTAAAAGCATTGCAGCTACAGTGATTATTAATTGATCCTAAACCCCACGTGAACTCATAGCACTCATGCATTATTAATGTAGTGGAATCGGTTTTAATTGGACCCGGCTTCCGAGTTTATGCTTATTTCTAAAATCAAATGGGAAGTCAGGTCCCATTTAGCTAAAAATGAGTTTGTTAAACAATTTTTTTTGTTCTTGTGAAACGGTTTATCAAAAACAGATTTGTCCCAAACAGTTGGTTATGTTTTAATAAGAACTAAAGGGGTCCTATTATAAGTATTTGTCGTTTGTAATGCGTGTAACGAAAGAGGGACTTTGAAAACCAGAAATCTAAAGTCCTCTTGCAATGATTTTTATTTATGACAACCAAATATAGTATGAAGGCAATATTTGTGTTTATTTATCAATATAGACATATGATTGGGTCTACTGTAAGCTATCTGAGCCCTGTATTTTGTACGGGTTCCGGGATGCCTATTGACAGTGTTTTTGAAATGGGACGAGAAATAAAGTATAACCTGGGGTGTTATTAACCTGTCTAAATGTACAAGGGAATCATCCATTAAAGGATAAATTATATGCAATTGGGGACTCAATAAGCAACACAAGATAAAAAATCTGAGACGCTTGTTTTAAAGTCCAGTGGGACATGATACTCAAAAAGTTGGTTTGATTGTGAACAACATTATATAATTACCAGCCGTGAGCATCGATCACTGATTTTTTTTTTACTCGTTGCCTTGCTCTGAATCTTGTGCATTTTGTAACAAAAAAAAAGGTCATGTGTGGGCACTCCCTACTTCTATGTCAACTTTTATAATTAGACAGTTTGCATACTCATGAACATCAGTTTCACACTTTTACACTTTGTAACCCTATGAAATACAACTCATCACCGGATCAACAACTATACTTTTATTTAGCTACACGTAAAACCCTACAAATGGCTTTTTTAGGAGATCTACAGTTCTATTTGGTTTCCTTTGCACGCAATTCTTACTTTTTCGGAGCCGTCTAACGGAGATAAACATTACTTTCACATGTTTTAAAGTACCTACGGGTGCAAGCAAGGCGATAGGTAATATTGTCGCCATTTCACTATAAAGCAATTATTGTAGTATTGTTTCTCTTGATTTTTGTGTCAAAAATAACAGGAACTTGTCCAAACGCTACCAAAAAAAAAAAAAAAAAAATGGCGGACTAGAATTGATACCCAAAACCTTTGATGCCATTTCTAATGTTTAGTAGACAAAAGGTTCACAGGTGTGGGAAAGCTTTGTACTTTATCCCCATTTCTTATACTTTTTCCCTTTCTTTTTTGTACTCTTGTAGTTCCTCATGCGAAATGACTGTTGCCATCACAACTGATGATTGCAATGAGAGAGATGAATGAACTAGAAAATAAATGAGTGAAGAAACTTTATAAAGCATATATTGTCAGAGCCGCAACATGGATTTTCCGAGAAATATACCATGAGGTAGCTCACACTATCATGAACAAAGGGGATAAAAAGCGAAATAGATTTTTATTGACTTAATTGGGAGTACAATAGGATCGGTATAAAGCAGTGTTCTCAAATGGAAGTCTGAAATATGCAGCATGTCAGGCCGTTTACGAAAAGAAGGCGTGTGTAAGTAAGCCGAGATAGAAAAACACGGCTTAAAACAGTAATAAAATACCATTTTGGAGTCAAAAATAGAGGGGAGTAAAAAAAAAAGAGCTAGGGATTGGTGCGAAATTAAATGCATAAAGAGTAATGCAGTGGAAAAGAGATACCAGTGATTTATCATTCTACCCACAGTTCTAAAAAAGGCAAAAAACAGTTTGACATACGAATCAAGGGTTCTTGTAATAATCCTCCTATTAAATTGAAAAAAAAAAGCTTTTTTATTTTCTCTATCTATTTCCTTTTTCATCCATTTCACTTATCTCTGAATATATAAAAAAAGATTGAAAAGAAGCTTTTTCCCCTCTTTTCTTTCTATTTTCTTTCTCTTTCTCATTATGTTTGTATCACAAACTTACAATATAATTCCAGATAAAAGAGTAAATAATCTACCTAGCTTAATTTTAACAAGTATTTAATGTACATTTTGCTCAATTTCTTTTTCTTCGCTATAGACTTATCAAGAAAAAGCCATGATCTATGATCAAGAACCAATTACAGTGATGACGAGTTATTTTAAATCAATTTTCAAAAACTATTTTGGAACTCAAACACCAGTAAAACAAAAGTACAATGGTCTGATGCCACATTCACCTACACGAAAGACAGATGCCTATATCACGCCTCAAACAGTGATGGCCCCCATCGCCATGACTGGGTGTACCCATGACGACGATGATTGCTGGGATTATCTATCTAAAAGCGACTCTAGTACGAGCAGTTCGGGATCGTCTTTTAGCTCCATTTCGGGACACAATAGCAGCCGACAACGACGTAGTGTGAGTTCCCTATCAGAGATTTTGTGTGAACATTACGTACAAAAGACCTTAAATAGTAATGATGAAATGGGCAATAAAGATGTTCCACTAGAAACCTATAAAGTTTTTGAAGCATCTAGAAAGACTGTCTCTCTGGAATCTAGCACAGAAGAAGACGATGACGAAAGTTGGTTTATTTGGGATAATCTACAAAAGACAAAAGAATGGATCCAAGTGGTGGACGAAGAGTTATTTCTACCGAAAGAAAAAGTGACTACGGAAATTACTATTGCCACAACTGTAGTGGAGAAAGCAAGAAGCATCCGAGCCAACCCAGCGCATTTACGTATGATTGTTGCAGAAGTAAACATGATGCGAGCTAACAAAATAGTTGGACCTCTCAAGTCCCGTGGTTTTTTAACAGCAAGAACCGATAAATTCGTATCTAATCAAGCCAGTCCGCTTGGATTACCTATCTAATCACTCTATAAAAAGATAATATACCCCCTTTTCCCTTTTTACATTTTACACCTTAATAAATAATATCAAATTCAAATAGTTCTGCATTTTTATTTCTCTTCTTTCAAAAATATACAAACAATAAAAAGCGGAAAAAGTTGGGCTATATATATATAATTTTTTGCTGTATCAATAGTTGGAGTATATTTAGAAACCAGGAGCTCTGACTTGTTGTTGTTGTTGTTGTTGTTGACCAGCGGGTTGACCATAAGGATTAGCACTGTTTAACATTTGTTGAGTACCTTGTTGTTGCATAGCTTCCTTCTCATAAGCGACTAAAGCTTGTTCTTTTTCGATTTCCAAAGCCAAAGGCAAGACCAATAAGAACATGGAGGTGGTAATAACCCAAGCACTCTTACCAACAAAAGTAGCTCCAGTCTTTCCCCAAGAACTTAAGGTGGAGACACTGTTTGACATTCTGTTTCTGTGTTTGAGAGGAATAATATCCTTTAAAGCAGCAATTCTGTCCAAAAGAGACTCATCCTCGTCATCAAAATCATCCTCATCAGAGAAATCAGAGTAATCGTCTTCTTCTTCGCTGAAAACTTCAACTTGTTCGTATTGATCAGCAGAGACTTCCTCGAGTTTAACCATCTTTTTTAGTGTTAAAGAAAAAAAAAAAGAAGAAAAATCAAACTTTTACCCTATTTTTTCTTTTTGAAAGTGCGGTGAGGGCCCTTGTCCCAATTTTTTTTTTTTTTTTTTGCTGGCGCCTCCCAAGCTAAAAACGTCAAAAACTAGCCCATGACGCTGGGTTTCAGATTTAGAAAAAAAAAATTTAAAATAAGCTTATAGCAAGCAACCAACTAAAAAAAAAAAGGCGCGTAAATCATTGGGGGGAGTGAATGTTTACTTTTAAGATTAAAACGTATGTTGGTGGCTTACTTTGTTAATAAAAAGCAGTTCCTGTAAATCCCTTTCCTGTGTGACCCCTTTACAACTTGTCTTTCCGCGGGATATAAATTGTCAGCAGATTTTCTATTTTTCTTTTTTACACTTCTTTTCACTTTTAACACACAAAAATACAATCAATATGAGGCTCGTGATTAGAAACGACTATGATGAAGTATCAGAATGGGTTGGTAAGAAGATAAATCAGTTACTATGACATACATGGATTAAACACTAATTATATAAACATTAGCTCACTATATCAAGGAACGTATCAACCAATTTGAACCAACAAAAGACAGACCATTCGTACTGGGTCTGCCTACAGGATCATCTCCATTAAGTGCCTATAAAAGACTTGCTGAATTCTGCAAACAAGGCAAACTATCATTCAAGCATGTAATTACATTTAATATGGATGAGTATGTAGGGATACCACGGTAAGTTCTTTTTATATATTTTATTTCCCCGATCTGTATTCACTTTCACACACTCACCCCACACAACACCCACAGTTCCCATAAACAATCTTATTACTCTTTTATGTGGACAAATCTCTTTCAAAACATTGATATTCCCTCCGAAAACATCAACTTCTTGGATGGTAATGCACCCGATTTAGAAGACGAGTGTCGTCGTTACGAAGCAGAAATAGCAAAATATGGAGGCATTGAATTATTTATTGGAGGAATTGGCCCCGATGGTCATATTGCTTTCAATGAACCAGGTTCATCACTTACTTCTCGCACACGTGTAAAAACATTGGCCTATGAAACAATCATTGCAAATGCTAGATTCTTTGAAGGTGATATCACAAAAGTGCCGAAATTAGCCCTCACTGTCGGTGTAGCGTAAGTAAATCCAACAGATTACATATACACATCATATTTATCACTACAGTAGTACTGTCATGGACGCAAGGGAAGTTTGCATTATCATAACAGGCGCACACAGAAGGTAATCAAAATATAAAAAAAAATCCCCCACCCCACCCAAAAAGCACATTGCTTGACTCTTTATTAAAACCCCGCGCATCTAGTATTGCCTTGGCCAAATGTGTGGAAGAAGGTGTAAATCATATGTGGACAGTCTCTGCAATCCAGATGCATCCAAAAGGCTTGATTGTATGCGATGAAGATGCTACGCTTGAGCTTCATGTCAAGGTAAAAATATACATATACTGTGCCTTATTATTCATAGACTAACGTGCAATTCAGACTGTGAAATATTTCAAATCAATTGAACACGTACATCAATCGCTTATTGGGCAAGAAAATTTAGGGTTACAGGGCGAGTTACTATCGAGTGACAAAGTAAAGAGATCTGTGAAATTAAGCCGGGATATGATGGTGAGAAGATTGATGAATACCGAGATATCAGATGATGATGATGATGACAGCTTCCAAGATTTACGCTATAACTCACAAAAGAAAAGGCGCCTTACCTTGAACAATTCTCCATCTCCATAAATCTACTATAAACACACACACACGTTAATTTAACCATCACCCCCTTCCAACCTCTTTTTTTTGTAATTTCTTCCTCTAACCCCCCTCTCTTTGTATCTATTTTGCCTTTTCTTTTTACCAATCTTTTATTCCTTTCCAAAATGCATCATCTAATATATTTAAATGTTCTTTTACAACGACCTTGTTATTCTCGTACGCTAAATAATGTATAGTCTTGATCCCGGTTAATGACAGGTATTCGGGCAATTTTTCATAAAATAGCCCGACATCTTTTGGTCCATGACAATCATCTGATAATGTGAATTTACCACCCTTTTCAAGAATAATCTGCGCATCATTAACTTTAGTCAATCAATATGATAGCAAGCCTTTTTTTTTTCTTTCTTTTTTACCTTAATAATATCTCGTTGTGGGTAAGCATCGCGTAAACCCTTCTTCCAGGATCTTGAATTGATCTCGAATAATCCACCGTACCCAACAATATAATCAATGTTACGTACAATACGTTCCCATACATTGGACTCCAAAAGTGTGTTATCTGCCACGGTTTGGTCTGCAAAGATACGGATCAGATCAAAATGGCCTACGACTTCAGGACGAACGGACTTCAACATGATGTATTGCTCGTCAAAATAACGAATATAAAGTTCATCCAATTTTCCATCTACTTGGCTCAAGGCGCGAACATAAAGTTCAGGTGAGAAATCAATGGGAATAGAGTTGACGTGGTGAAGAGATCCTACGACATAGTCAGCAGTAAAAGTCTTTCTTAATTGATCTACATGGTGAGCATAATCCTTGTTGATGAATTCAATCTCTGCACCCACTAGAAGCAAAATTTGGTCTTTATAGAACTCTTGCAAACGCTTGGCTTCTTTCTGAAAGTCTGCGTAGGTTGTTTCTAAGGTTTGGGGTGTGCAACATGCCTAATGGTTCAAGTTAGTCTTTCTCCTTTGCTCTAGTGAGATCAGTGTTTGGTAATTTACTTCAATTTCTTCAGGGTAAAGTTCAGAATCATCATATCTAGGCATGTGTTCGCTAAGACCATACGCGTGAAATCCTTTACGAATGGCTTCTTTAACCACGTCTTCTAAAAGACCATAGCCGTGTTTACAAAATTGGCCTGAATGACTATGGTATGAATATGGCATTTTTCGTGTTTTAAAAGTGAAGGTGGGGCAATTCAATTCCTATTTATTTTTATCCGTGTCTCTTTTTTTTGTGACTGAACAAGAGTCATTCCCAAGTTATAAGGAAACCAAGTCAATACTAAAAGTAGTGCAAATCGCCGAGGAGTGCGAGGTTATGGGTTTTAAAGAAGTAACGAAAGCTGTAAAGCTTTCAACAAAGGGCGAATGTCCTTTTTTTTCTTGGATTTGTAGAAATGTGAGCTTCATAAAATGCCAGGCAAGAGTACACCTGTCAAAAAGAGTAATTGCACTAGCTTTCACGATCAAATAATCCATATTAAACCGTGTAGTATCATAGCACCTTATCCGGCCACTATGGGCATTAACAAAAAAATATTAATGTAGCTTCTAGTACGCACATGTTAATTAATCAGTTTATTATGTTTGATGATGATATTATTATTATATATTAGATGTAGTATGTCTATGAAACTATGTCTTTTACTTTGTTACAACTTCGACCCGAATATGAATCTCACCACTTCCAGAAGGCACAAGAGGAAGCCATCCATCAAAGGATTTACCTTCATCAACGTATTCTGCTACTTGGAATGAAGCTTCACCGATATCATGATCAGTTAAAGTATTATGTTCTCTCACTACTAAATCGAGTACAGTCGTTCCAAAGACCTTTGTAACAAATGTCTCATTCCTAATTTGAATTCAGTGTTTAGCATATCTATATTCTCAATTATACACATATGTCTATGATTTTTTTTTTACCATTCAGGCTCGCAGGTTTTCTTGCATTGTTTTGTTTTATGAATCGTGTTCTTTCCATGGCGAATACGAACGTAAGAATCACATAACTTATCACGCTTGGTTGACTTCAAACCTCTTGCCCCAACAACACTGAACTTAATAGTCGCATTTTCTATCAATTGCCACACACAGTTAGTTAACATGCTAGTTAAATTTCCAGAGATAATTTAGTACTTACTGCCTCTATCTTCAAAGATAGATTTTGTACGATAAAGAGAATCATTGGAAGATAATACGGAATTGCTTACGACGCTTTGTCGGCTAGCTCTATCAGTGCTTACACTAGAGTTAGGGACAGGAGGCATAGGAGGCATGGGAGGCACAGAAGATGTAGTAGGGGAAGAAGGAACAGAAGGAGGAGCAATAGCAGATGAGGTCATATCAACTGAGGGCTTCTTGTTATTTCCACCAATCTTACCAAATCCACGACCAATAGCACCAATGCCACCACCGATGGCACCGATACCACCACCGATAGCACCGCCTACGATCTTTGCACCACCACCGACAGCACCTGTAACAGCTCTGCTGCCACCGGTAATTACCTTACCACCAGCACCGACACCCATTCCAACCATATCACCAGCCAGACCAGTACCACCCGTCAAGATACGTGTGGTGGAACCGAGGAGAGAAGTGCCTTCACGTTTACGGGCAAGCAATTGGGGTTCCCATTTCAAGCGCAATAAAATGTTACCACCACCACGAAGGGGTACATTCACTTCACTTGCAGCAAATGATTCCAGATCAGCAATAGGGATAGGACCTTCAGCCAATAATTCGTTCTCGCCAAATTGGTCCCAATCAAAAATCTTGACGTAGAATTTAGCAATATTACGACGAGAGATAGATGCAACAAAAGTTTCGTTTTTAAAAGTAGGGGCTAATTGTTTCTTGTAGGTTTCGGTCTTATAGACCTTTTCGTCATTGACACTAAAAACACAGTAGGGGTCACTCGTGCCAGATTTGTCGGCAGCTCTTAAACCAGATGCAGAAAGGGCGGTAACTGTCAAATTACCTTGATCTTTAAAATATAAAAAAAAGGTAAGCAATTAAAAGAATGTTCGATTCCTAATAACATTTAACTTACTTTCTAAACTTTCACTAGGGTCTAACTTGAATTGAACAACAGGAGTAAACTTGAAGCTTAAACGAATCGTGCCACCTGCGCAATCCAAAAGCTTATATTCTTGAACAACATCCGTAGCTTCCTTTTCTTCTTGGGGAGCAGGACGGTCCTGAATAGCTTTCACAATATCTTGCACACGACTAGTCCAGAAACCAATGCGATTCTCCTCATTGTCATCCTTAGCATCTCTGACACGAACAATAATGCGAGAGAGATCCATCTCTCTCACAAAAGCATCACCGGATTCATGGAAAGCCAATTTTGTTCCCTTAATATCACTCGTACGGAATTGTGCATCGTTGGAGTCGACCAAGATCTCAGCAACTGCTTTAGCGCTCTTGGGTAAAACAACCTCATGAATCTTGACAGACAAGACACCCGATTCGTAGGAAAGAAGGTCAATTCGTTTATCCTCTGTGTAGTGAATCGATTCGCCGTGGAGATCGACCAAAGGAGGACCGGTAGGTGTAACAGGTTCAGATACAGCAATAGGAGTTTCTTCCTTCTTCTTAGTATCTTTAGTAGTAGCAGCGGCTGCTGCAGCAGTAGCAGCGGCCTTTTCCTTGGCTTCCGATTCCTCCTTGGTAGCTTGATGTGCCAATGCAAGGGTGGGGAAAAATGACGCTTCGTAATTTAATTGACCTCTACCTGTCTTTCTTTCATGATTCATAAGTTCAGCAGTTCTAAAAATAGTTTTTTTTAGAAACAAAAAAAATCGAAAGTGTGCTTTGTTTCCTAATTTACCTACTAACGCCAGCAAGGCTTTCGTAAACAGTTTCGCCATCATCCGTTTTCTTTTCAACAGCAATATCCTTAATAAGAAGATCGCACATGCCCAAAAATTTATCATCCGAGATATCGTTCCAATCCATCACCTCTAACATCAGATCCTCACGGACAGAATGAATAGGCACATAAATGGCGGTGTCCCAAACGGGATTAAGATTATCCAAAATAGCTTCAGTTCGACCACGAGACTGTAAACCCGACATCACACGTACATAAGGGTCAGATTTGCCACCGGTTAATACTTCAACATTCTTAATGTTCTTGGCATTGTTCAATTTCACACGCACAACACCGATAGGATGTCGGTAGCTACCACGCGTCAATCCAGCAGAGAATCCAGTCAAGGGCACAGGTTTCCAAATCATATTCAAATGAATCTTGCCAGTACCGTCCTTAATACTCCACCAGTCGTTCTTGTCCTTTACCAATTGGTTTTCCATATCCATCAAACTGGATGACCATCTTCCTAAAACAGTGTCATCCCCGAAATCCACAGAGTTCATAATCGTCACATCCAGGTTCATATTGGCTTTGTCAGCAACAAAAACCTCGACAAATTTATTCCAGCGAGGATTGATACTACGCTTGAAAACATTTGTTCTAAGCTTCTCCTGTCCATTGACTTTGACAATAGCATAGGCATTCACGTCGCCACCATTTGATCCAATAATTGGGATACCACCCACAATGGGTAAACCACCCACGAGAGGAATACCGCCCTTCTTTTGGGTAACAGCACCACCGACATCCTTACAATCCAAAACGCTGAAGCGAACAATCCCGCTGTTCGATTCCACCGCAGGGATCACGGTACCGTCTTCCTTCTTTTCAGGCTTGGAAGCCGGGAAATAACGTACATCCGCCTTGATTTCACCCACAGGCTTACCGCTTCGAAGCACCACCAAGTTCAATCCTTCAATCGCATTCTGAGCCTCCTCCACATCCTTTAATGCCAAGTTGGCCACACCGATTTCAGCATCGTTACGACCCGAATTGCGATCCATGACTTGAAAGCAAAGCATATCATTGAGGTTGTTGAGTAACACAAAGTGGGTTTCATTCCATTTAGGGTTTTGCGAATTTTCAATGGCAGTTGTGCGGCCTAATTCAGGGTTGTTAATGTCACCGACCTTGAAACAGCAGTAAGGATCAAGGGAGCCGAAAAGATCATTGGCCTTGAGGCCATGGGCAGAGTAAATCGTGACAGCGAGCACACCGTTGGCCGAATCCAAATCAGCACCGCCAGCCATCATGGCAGCCACATCCAAAGTAAAGACGTTGGGAGCATACATCATGGGTCCAAGATTAGCATGAACTTGATCTTGAATAAATGTTTGTAATCCAGGAATCTAAAATAAGAATATATTTTTTTTAAATTAGCGAATTTAGGAAGTTTTTTTTTTTTTTTTTTTTTTTTTAAAAAAAAAAAAATAATACTTTAGAACCGTTACATTGTTAATATCAAAGCCAAAGGTGTCACCACCAACGGGCTTAAGAACATAATCGAAATGAGGTTTTTCCAAGAATGACAGCTCACATGTTTTAACGTGAGGCATTTCATTGAACAATTTAAGCTTGATTCTCATAGTGCCACTGAAGGCAATATCTTCGAGTAAGACAGGCATACCAGCACCAATCATACCCTTACCAACACGGATCGTAAGTACGATTTTAGGATTCACTTTGTTATCAGCTTCTCTTTTTGTCATATCAAGAACATCGTTGGGAATAAAAGAAAACTTCCAATCCATACACTATAGAAAACATTAACAGCCCATTCTTTTTTTTTTTTTTTTTTTTGTTGCGAATTTCAATACTTTACAACAATGTCGGGAGCAGAACCAGGATAAACCTTGATACCATCCACGCTAGGAGCTTTAGTACCAAGAGTGAAGGAACTCATACGAATTGAATCCAAAAATGAAGGGGTATTCTCTGCCAAAACAGTATCGACTTGGCCAATGATTTGAGCAGATAAAACAGGTTCGAAAATCAACCAAAATCGACTTAAAAAGAGGTTCATCCAGCCCACCGTTTCGATATCGGTATCGAGACGAGTTAAGCTTACTTGGCGAGACATATCATCGCGCGCATTACGTCTTGTACGCTTAATTGACGTACGATAGTATGTAGCTATACGAATAAAAGGAAGAAGACAGTTTAGCTTTTTAATACGATTTCTAACCACGTGTTTAGTGGAACACTTCTTACCAAAAAAGGCCCCTACAATCAAACAGGACATTAATCCCAACCTTAACTTGATCAGCAACCATGTAAAGAAGATGGCGACGAAAACAACACCGCAGTTATGATACCATTCGCCATAATATTTTTCAGAAATAAACTGAGCAATAAAATCATCCACCTCGCCATTCGACGAACGCGAGTTGTAGTACTTGTCTTTTATCTGCTCTTCAGTCAGTGTCTTTGAGAATTCCGCCATTGCTTTTTCATCGCCTGGGTTGGGGAGATTAGAAAAGGCAGTCCATCCGACGTTGTACCAATCCGGGATACCAGCTTTGATAGGATCCTCAACAAAACTACCAGGTGTCTTTTTAGTACTGCTGGACATGGACTTAGCATTTGTAGATGGATCGGCAAAAGCTTCGGCCACTTTTTGGTTATCTGTGGAACCAATATCTGTGGCAAGTGGCGATTTAAGATCCATGATTTTTGGCACAGGCACATCTTTCATCGCTTCGGCTTTTTTGTTTTGGGCAGACATGTCAGGGTCAAATGTATGGACTGGAGCGCCATTTTCGTTTTCTAAGGCTGTATGAACAGCTTGATGTAAATCATTCGACTCTTGAATTATTTCATCTTTTGTAGCATTTGCTATATTAGCGGCTGGGACCCCATCCGAAGGTATTAGTCCAGCCATTGTTTCTTCTTAATGATTATTCTAGAATAAAAAAAGAACAAAAAGAAACAAAAAAACAGCAATAATATAAAAAGATGAAAGAGGGAAAAGAATAAAAATTCACGACATGTTTGTTATAATAATTTTTCCCTTTTTTATAAAGTCAGACTGCAGCCATTAAAACGTAGCTGTTTAAAAAATTCCATGTTTATAAGCTTTACAATACAAACTATACACAGGTCAATAAATGGCTAACTAACAAATCAGATTAAAATCTAAATGATCGCATATAAAAAAAATAGATGTCAGGTTTCATATTTTAACAAGATGAACTAGTATCTATCATCTAACCTGAATTTGTAATCCTCAGAACACTATCTCTTGCTAAATCAATGGACATGAAGATATTCTCACACGATTTTACAAAAGATAAGCATAGACTCAAAGATTTTCATGAGAATTTTTATCTTTTTTGAATTGGACATGAATATAAAAAAAAAAAAAAAATTAAGAACAAAAAAACGATCACGCACTGAATACAAGATGTTGAGCATAATACGCTCAGAGAATACATCTTTTCTTTTTTAAAAACTACGGCTTTAAAAGGCCAAGAAACATCATTCGGGCATGTGGCCTAAAATAGAAAATGTGTCTCGCTATGTTTGACCTGAGTACAACTCAAATGATACGATTTAAACTATCTGGTGGTTTTTAAATAGATGTTTGCTTCGGCCATCATAAAAATTGTGTCACGACATATTTCGTACGATCATTCTGACTCCTGAGCCAAGGGAACATTCTTGCAACTGCCTCCCAAATAAAAATAAAAATGTGCACGGTGTTAAACTTGAGCTTCCATCAGATTTATCTAAACAACGAGACATTTTGGTAGGCAAAAAATATCTATTTAAATCAGCAGTTCACATTATATTGTAAATGAGGCATATGGTTCTATTATTTTTGGAGAACTAAAAGTGATATTAGTCTGTAATAAAGGGGGAGGGGGCAATAAATCTGTTGGCCTCCTTTAAAGACCATACTGCAATTACAAGCGATATTAAAAGTTAGATTTACCGACTTTGTTGGCACTGATTATTATTTGTGACTTTTAGTGAATCGTTAATAACTTTGCTTAAAAAAACGTAACAGTTGCAAAGACGAGAAGTCTCTTTTAAAAAAAGAGAAATAGTTAATTATAAAGGGTTATTTGTAAAAAAAAAAAAGCTTGACCCAAAATCATAATCAAAGCTACTTCCCAAATGTCGAAAAATATATATCTATCCTAAAAACTATTAGACAACTAGGGTAAAGCGTGAGCAGGAGTGTGAAATGTCCCAGGAGTCCAAGGCAATTATATCAAGCTTTATCACAGTCATTGTTGATGTCAACGAGTCAAGTGGTAGAAAAGATGTATAATTTGGTAAGAATGACATGTTTCCCTTGTTCAAAGTAGAAAGAAGTGTGGACAATACATGCAAAAACTAAGCCAGAGCAGGAGTTGTTGCTTTGCGATAAGTTAGGTGAGATACTAGCCTCACAGAGCTTGAATTATGTAGATGTTATAGAAGTTACTAGTGTCTCTTCCATTTGAATCCAGCACAATGTTTAAGAATTGCCGTGATCAAAGATTTAAAAGGATATCAAGTTTTGTTCTGAAAAAATAGCGACTTATTAAATATATAAGAAATTGTGAAGCTGACAGTTGGTGTTTAGCTGCTTACTTTACTAACTTGCTATCAGGGATATTGTTAGCAGCCGACATATGTTTATTGTGTCATGACAATGTATTGAGATAGATTTAAATATCGCTGTGGCAGCATAGTGATTTTGTAAAATTGTGACCCTGCGATATTGTTGATCTTTCTATCTCTTATTTCTTCTTGGGCATATGTATTGTCAGGCATATTGCTGATCTTACGTCATTTTATTTGTTATTATTAACCACCAAGCATTAAAATCGAAACAGCTGTTGATTAAAACTGACTTTTACGAAACATTTTTTTTTGAAAGACTTTGCTTATTTGGCTAATTTTCTATATAGGAGTATTAAAAAAATATGCTGATGATGCATTTACTGTCAGATATGTTTGCATTGGGTTTCTAAAAGAGAATAAAGCTTCTTTTCTGGGAAATATGCAAGTAAAAGACCCATAGAATGTTGTTTCTTTCAAGTGTTTTACCACGCAGGGATACTCCTACCTTTATTCGGTAGTTTTTTAATAGAGAGGTTAATTGGGTTAGCCTAAATAATTGTCTTTCATCCGTTCTTTCCATTAGTTTGAATAGAAATCGACGACTTAAATTGCTATGTGCAATGTTTACAAGCAAGATACGATGATATATCGATCGATTATCTTGATTAATTGATTCCTTTTTTGAATTTATGGTTCATAAAAATAACTGACACTAATTCAAATTTGCTAAGATTTGACCCTGATCGTAGTACAAAAATAACTAATCAGTTTAGAATAAGCTTTTCTCCTTGTTTGCTAAATCAATATACCTCCCTCGCTCTATTACAGCATTGTTTTTTTTGGCCTTGTCTCCCACACTCCTTTTTTTGTCACCCCTTGAATATTATTTGTGACCTATCTGGTGTACCAAGTACATATGGCGGGACGGGCGAAATAGCATTATCGTACTTTTATAATGACGGCACTTCAAAATACATTCTTCTTTTTATGGTAATAAACAACTTACATAGAACAATGCAGAAGAAAAAACAGTTTGTGTGTGTGTGTGTGTGTACAAAGGGGTAAAATTTCAAAGGAAACACAAGAAATCTGGTTTTGTTATCGCGATCTTACAATAAAGCACCGATCAAGTTTAGTGCATATACACATATGTGCTAATTTTATTTTATTTTAAAATCCAAAAGTGGTGCATAACTGGGGTATAATGTGGTATATGTATAATTATAATTTTTTATAATAATAATGAATGAATGGACGGTAAAGACTCGATTAGAATTGGTTTATTTGCGGCAGGCTGAAATGAAATGATATCCGGGGTGCATGGGGTTGCAAAAGTACGGTATTGATTGATATGGAATAATCTATGATCGAAAAGTGATTGTGAGTTGTAATAGTTGCGTTCCAGCAGTGGCTGGGGAATTGCGGGAGACAGTGTTCTTAAAGGCGGTAACATGATATGGTCTGTATATTGAGGCTCGTCAATGACATCTTCATATGTGGTTTCATGAGTTCGAATGTGTCGAATCAGTTCGTCCGAACGAGAAAACTTTTTATGACAACCAAGGTGAGTGCACGTATGAGGTTTTTCACCGGTATGTATGCGAATGTGTCTTGTACGATGCTCTAAGCGAAAAAAAGATTTGGAACACATTGGACATTTGTAGCGTCTTCGGGGAGTGGGTTTTTGGTGTGCGTGTTGGATTTGACTGAAAGTGTGAGTTTGAGGATAGAAGATGGAAGACATTTAATTCTTTATTTTTAAAAATTGGATAAGGACAAACATCATACATAAATGCTCGTCCTTTTATATATTTCAGAGTTACACACGATGCATATTTGTTTATGCCTAAATCTTTAATTTCGTTTTTTGGGGGAAAGCTCCTTCTTTGGTGAGTGAGCGTAATTTAGAATATTTAATTATGCTGAACGAACTCCGTTGTCATAGTTCTCACAGTGACAATCCGATTTAGTATTCCAGGAGTTTCACCCAAAAATAAATTAATTTTCTTCAAATACAACTTGATTTCCGTAGTGGTCATATAAAGTGCACGAGAGAATGTCAATCTAATATTGATCGAGAAAAAAAGATCCCCCCCCCCTTTTTTTTTATTGTGATGATTCTCCTTTGTACAAGCCGTCTACCAAAATAGGTTACATATGATGTAGCCTATGCCTCGTTCTAATTGACAAGTAGTCTAACAGAGAAAGGCTATAAAAATCAGTTGTCACTTACTTGCATTCTATTGTGAAATCATATTATCTTGTGTATCCAAGCGTGTGTGCGTCAATAGGTGTCACAGGACAAAACATGCTCCAACACAACAATTCCATAATAATCATAAATTAAAAATGTATACAAATATGTAAAAAGATTTCGAAAGATTTCTACGAACAACAAAGTTCTTTCAGCTTCTTTTGGGGGTAGGAGTAGATGCTGGTGGGAAAAAAGAAGGGTTCAAAACGAGATAATTCCGTTCACGTGTTTCGTACGCAAAGTAATAAAAATAAAAATAAAAATAAAAATAATAATAATAAAAAATAAAAAAAAAAAACTTGATGTTTATATCAAAGTTAAATACGATCTAATGTGTATACCCCAGACATGCCACGCAAAGTTTTTTTTTCTCTTTTTTTACATGTGTAATAAATTCATAACATAGTCGCAATAGTTTGTATATATATTTTTGTACGTATATGCAGTGTTAATTTCAAGAATTAATCCATGGGTTTCTACGCACAACCCCTTACCAATTTTCTCCCTGTTTTCCATCCTTCTAACCAAACTTAATCATATTCTCCTTGCCGGATGAAAGTGATCGGACACTACCTAATGCGCATATTATTTATTTGTGCATCTTTCGATTATGTTTGTTGGCATTAATAAGCACAAAATAGTAACCTAGCTAAATAAACGATTGAAGTGATCGCAAAAAAAAAAAAAAAAAAAAAAAAAAAACTTGACTAGGATCAATCGGACATAGCGTATAAAAAAGTGCGCGTCTATAAAGTTTAATCCCTGCTTTTTTACTTTAATGGGGGCTGGGGAGAGGGAGAGGGAGGGGGGTAGAACAAACATTAACAAATCTTTATAATTTCATTTTTATTAAAGCGGAATATAGTATAAAATCTAAGGAGTACATCTTCCAGTGAAACGAGGATAAAGACTGCAGTCACGTACAGTGTAACGGTTAAGAAGCCATGCAAGGAAACGCTCGACACCAAGACCGTAACCACCGTGAGGGGTGGTACCATATTTACGTTGGTCAGTGTACCAATAATAAGGTGCGGGATCAATGCCGGCTGTACCGTATGCTTCTAATAATTCTTCAGCGTTGTCCATTCTCATACTACCACCAACAATTTCACCAACACCTGGCATTAACACATCAACACTCTCGGTAACACGTCTATCTCCGGGAACCTTTTGCATATAGAATGCTTTAATTTCAGCTGGGAAATGAGTGAGGAAAATAGGACGACCAATCTTATCTGTCATGGCACGCTCAGGTGCTTCAGGAATATCTTCACCAAAAGTATAATAGGATCCGTCTTCCTTCTTGATTTCGTTTTCTTTAAGGTAAGTGATGGCATCTTCATACTTCATACGCATGAAAGGACGAGAAGGCTTGACAAAATCGGGGTTCAATTGCTTGATTAATTCGGCAGTCTTTTCATCAGCTAAAGAACGATCAATCACGAAACAGATCATGTTCTCAAGATGCTCTAATAAATCATCGAATTCGACAAAGGCCATCTCAGCTTCTAAATGGGAATATTCAGACAAATGTCTACGGGTGTGGGACTTTTCGGCACGGAAAGATTCAGCAAGACAGAAAACGTCACCGAGAGAAGGAAGACAAGTTTCGAGATAGAGTTGAGAAGATTGGGTCAAATAAGCGTTCTCGCCATAGTAGTTGAATGAGAATAAAGTGGAGCCACCTTCAACTTGGGTTTGGACCATACAGGGAGGTGTAACTTCTGTGAAGCTTTCTTCATCATAGAAAGCACGGAAGGATTTGATAACTTCAGCTCTGGCTCTGAGGACAGCAGATGCAGTCTCACCACGGAGAACAAGATGACGGTTATCCAATAAATAATAAGGATCGGCATCAGCAGTAACCTTGTTACTGAAAGCATCATCACCACCGGGTGCCTTACCAACGATTTCCCAGTAATCAGCAACTAATTCATGGTTACCAGGAGCGGTCTTACCCTCAGGAAGTTCGTTAATAACACCCCAAATAGTAACAGTAGATTCGATGGAAAGGGTGATAGCATCGTAGTTGTGACACTGGATTAAAACAAATGATTAACGTTTTATCCCACATTCAAACACAAACAAATAACTTACCAACTTTCCGGTCAAAACACATTGTAAATAACCAGAACCATCACGGAGGATGATAAACATCATATCCTTACCTTGGACACGAAGACGATGTACCCAACCAGAGACCTTAACACGCTTAGTTCTGTTTTCAGTGGATTGACGGATCTTGATCTGTACACGAAAAACCAAATATTTAGAAACTCTCGCACTTTCTGACGTACACACACACATATCGAACAAACCTTTTCAGCCTTAGGAAGAGACTTATCTTCAACAAGAACAATAGACTTGGCGTGTTCAATAGCCTTGGCCTCAAGTTCAGCCTTCTTCTTTAAATCATCGTCTTGCTTCTTTTGTTGTTCTTCGAGCTTCTTTGCCTTCTTTTGTTGTTCGGCAAATGCCTTTTTGGCCTTCTTTAAAGCGGCACCAGAGATATCTTTATAACCTTCGGCATCTTTTTTAACTTGGACTTTAATGTTTTCACCCTTGGATTCGATTGCTTTAAGGACTGTCTTAAAAGGTGCAGTTTCAGCACCGGTACCGGTAGTATCGTCACCAGCAACTTCGTCAACGAATACACCTAATAAATACTACTGTCAATACTTTTTTTTTTCGTGTTTTCTAAGCAAAATCCATACTTTCAGCAATACTGAGTTTTTGTGTAGCTTCCGCTATTTGAGCAGACATGTTTTTTTTATTTATTTAAAAAGAAAATAGAATAAAAATAAATTGAACCAGGGAACCGAAAAATCATATATACTGGGTTTTTTTAAAAAAATAAGCCACGATATATTATGACACATCGTTATGACTGCTTATTCTTGGGTCATGCACCTTCTCATGTTATCTTCGCATTCATTTACGGGAATTTTGGTAACCTTAGGTCAATATGAGTCAGTCAGACACTGTCGAAATTTCTGGTGACCATCTACCTACATTAGACCATGTAACCGCATTGGTACAAGATGACGGTGCTGGAGCTATTACTACCTTTTCTGGCACAACGAGAAACGTATTCGAAGGTACCTTTATAAAATACACTTCTATATTCTTGTGAGTCTTGATACAAAAATTACACTTTAGACAAAGTTGTTGTAGAGTTGGAATATGAAGCATATATACCCATGGCAAAAAAAGTCTTATTAGATATCATTAAAGAATCCCGAGCGAAATGGGATTTAAAACACGTCGCCATATTTCATCGCACAGGTGTTGTGCCTGTTGGTAAAACAAGTGTGATTGTTGCCACCTCGTCAAAGCATAGAGCTGATTCGATGGATGCAGCCAGGTACCTTATTGATGAATTAAAAGACAGATGCCCCATTTGGAAAAAAGAGGTATACGAAAACGGGAGTGTTTGGAAAGGTGCATGTTCCGGCCAGCATAATGCCCAGAAATAGCGTGTCGTTCTAGAAGGAAAATAAAACAAGATAGTGTTTTCTATTCAATCACTATCGGCTAACTCTTCTGTATACCTGTATATGCTTTAAAAGTGTAGCGTTTTCGTAAAGCCAAAAATAAAAAAGGTGGCATTTCTTTCAATGAAATAATCATTTGCAATGCTCACAGTCAAAATTAGTCTCAACCAAAACATGCATTTAAAATGATACAAAATTGGGCAATACACGATTCCTGTAGGTAATTGTAAATATATATATATATATATATATATATTGGAAGGAATACTTCATAGCTGTAAATAAGTAGGGCGCTCAATTATTTTCAAGGACAAAGATACTTATATACAGTATTATCACTTTTAATTCGGACAAATGAAAATTATTTTCAGACAAGCTCAAAAAAAAATTCAGACTAAAAAAAAATATTTTCAGACAAACGTAAAAAATTATTCAGACAAAGAGAAATTATTTTCAGAAAAATGATAACAAAAATTCAGACAAGTGAAAGTTTAAACTAGTTTTGATTCTTTGTTGAGGCATTTATCCCAGTACGTTTCAGAGTGTCGTATCCAACCATTACAATCTTCCGTGGTAATAGTCTCACAGGCTGCCTTGATTCTTGGGGTTAAAGTGTCCAAAGTTGAAAGCGGATTTCTTTTGATGTGCTTCTTGATCTTGGACCAGCACTCCTCAATAGGATTTAGAAATGATGAAAAGGGCGACATGAGCAAAGGTTTATAACCTCTACTTTCGATTTATCCTTCACTAAGCAAGGTTTGAGTATCTCCAATGATAGTCAAATTATGCTTTGCCCTCCTCATGACCACCGAAAAAATGATTGAGCTTGACATATGATGTACAGTGTAATTGCAAACAAATATAAAATTATATTTCTTTGCTATTCTTAAAACTACTTCGAGCTTAACACTATTTAAAGAAAATGAACAAGAAGGTGTTTATCAAGAGGATGGATTTGAAGCAATGGATTTTATTAATGAGATAGAGAGCCCCAAAAGACAGTAATGCTGACTTCACTGGATTAATGGCAGGCACGTTAATCATCAATACGTGATGAATTCACTTCCAGAGATATCAGGGAAATTGACGTAGAAATCCAAGAGAACAATGGCTCGAAAAATAGTCTTAGACCGATGTGGACTACTGAGTAGTTGTATATTTGTAGTTGATATCATTATGAGACCACCAACAGATAGATCGACTAAAGGAAACACAATAGTAGTTGAAACACCAACCTCCAGGGCTATAATTCAACGATCTTAATTGAAAACATCTGTAATCGGCGTTGTGAATATTGAGATTAGAGTACCTGCCACAAAGCCAAAAAAAATTTAAGCTAAACGCCTTTCCGCTGTTAACATAAAATAAGCTCATAGCATAAATCGGCAGGGGTTTTCTACATGTAATCAATCAGTCTGATTTTTTTTTTTTTTTTTTTTTTCAAAAAAGGTAAGCTAAAACATCTGGATTTTAAGTGTAAAAATTGTGATAGATACTTTTTTTTTAATCTTTTTTTCTCTCTTCATTCTTTTATTCAGTTTAAGCTATGAAAGGTAACGTATATGTATGATATTTGATGGAAATGCAACCAAAAAACTGATTCTATTATAAAAAAGAAACTCAAAATGATAGCTCGGACGATGACTTTCAACCACCGATTTTGGGACGGAAGAGACGAAGTATGTTACATTGCCAAGTTTTATTTTGATAGAAAACTTACGTGATGTTTAATTACCCTTTCTTTTAGGTCGGGAAAATACCCCATATATTGATTCCCAAAAGAAGTTTAAAGGGAAAGGCAAGGCAGCCGAACATGAACCTGATATTACAAGTACCATTGGTATTCCTGATTCTATTAGAAATGTTGTCAGCGACAATGTGATAGATTATAGCAGTGACGACTTTAATGATTCCCCGCCTGCGATACATACATTACGAAGTCGTGGTGGTTCCAAGTACGGATCCGAATTTACTGTTGCCGAGTCAAGTTCTTCAGTAAGTAAGCGACGCCCTGTTGCAAGTAAGCGAAGTCCTACGCCTGAAGTATTCATAACAGCATCAAAATCAAGTACCAGTGTCACTGCGAGAGATTCTGAAAAAATAAGCAAGCGCGTTATTACAGTTAAAACAACTGCGAAGAACATTTGGAAGCCGTTGTATTTACAGCCATTGTATGATTTGGTTAAAACTACTAATTCATTGATTACACACACCTTTGCCTTCACAAAGTACATCTATTTACAAGAATTGGCAGCAAGCGAAACTTTTACTTTAAAAGACTTTGTTGAAAAAGATTTTTTTGTAGAAGTTTTTTTAAGTCTTACACTTTCAAAAACTCGAAACACAAGATTAAAGCCTGTAACAAAAAAAAATAGGCAATTGATAGCAAAATACAAAGAGGCTTACTTTCAAGATGCTAATTATACTCCTCCCAGCTTACCAAATGCTCAGCAAATAGCATTGTATGAGTGTACCAAAATCCAAACGGCTTACCATAACAATATTAAAGCTCATTTTGGAAATAGACTGCGCCAATTTGTTAATATTATATTACAAAAGAAGGAAAGAGCAAATAATCTTCGGAAAGAAATGAAAGAAAATGGATCAGATGAAAAAGCAATAAAATCAGCTATCCGAAGCAAGATATACGGACCTTGTAATCAGATCAGTCGTGCCGTAGCAAGGAAAGAGATACCTGCAGACAGTATTCTAGATGACCAGTCAAGAAAAGAATTAAACAGTATCTTTTCCTGCTATCCTAAAGACTACACTTTCCAAAAGGACTCCATATACTATGATATTGCAGCAAAACCTGAGAATCATTTTGATGCGTTTTTTCAACTTGCCAAATTAGTTGAAGCCAGAACAGGAAAAGCATTTATCTGCTTCCCGTTGCGTACTTCCTTCATTCCATGCTACATGACTTTGGATGCCAAAATAATTCACTTTCATATTCTCAAGAATAAAAGTCCTCTCCAAGCTGGAAAAAAATTTAAAATTTGGGGTTCTGTCGTGAATTTTGAAAAGAAGGCGTTCAAGAATCAAGGTGTTGATAAGACTTTAAGGTTTCAAGGAACACTTGAAACAGATGGTGTCGGTGTATCAATCATTAAACAAAACACAGATACAAGTAGAAAATTCTTTACAACCAGCGTTAAGAGAGTAGTCGATGATCAAGAGAAGTATATAGAACGGCTAAATCAAGCTGATTTAAAACGTACTGAAAACAAGTGTGTTCTGATCGACCCTGGAAGACGTGATTTATTGTATTGCATGAAAGAAACTAGTACAGTTAAAGAGAAGCAAACTTTGATTTTTACCAAAAATAATCGCTCAAAATGCTCAAGACATTTCAGATATTTACGGAATCAAAACAAACCTTTGGTTGTCCAAGAAGCCGAAACAACGCTCTCCAAAACAGAATCCAAATCTACAAATTTGGAAAACTACATTCAGTACATAAAAGCCAGATCATCCGTTAATGACACGTTAACCGACTACTATGGAAACGAGACATTAAAGCCCAAAGAAATCTCCTATTTTCCAGAGTCAGAGTTTTCATTCCGAGTTGATCATAAATGCAATCTGTACTATGGCAATATATTTATATCACGAATTTGCGGTTTTTTCCCTCAACCTCAGAACTTTTCCATTGATAGGATTGTCAATCCTCAGTTTTATGCCGTATATTTAGAAATGATGCTGTCACAAAAGCATATCTCACAAAGATTTGATGATGATGAAAAAAGAAGAATTATTGCGCTTGGTTTAGAGATTAATAGACGACCCAACCAAAGTGATCTTAACAGAAAAACTCTCAGTACAGTCTTAGAGAAGTTACAGCTATTACCGTTTCGAAAAATGAAATTTTCATCCAAGATGTTTTATGAACAAAATGATCAAAAATTGGTACAAAACTTGAAAAGAAAATTTGGTCCTGATGCTGTCTTGGTACTTGGAAATTGGTCAGCCCCGAACACAAAGTTCCAGGAACCTACAAGGAATAAAGGGCTTATTCAAATGCTAAAAAAAAATGGTTTGACTGTTTATCTAATTGACGAATTTAAAACTTCCTCTCATTGTCCAGATTGTGGTGACGTTTTGGAGCAATTCAAGATGATTTCTAATCCTCGTCCATTTAGAAGAAATACAATGCCAATCGTGAAGTGTCATGGATTGTTAAGGTAGTATAGTTACAATTATATTCGTTATGTTGATATTAACAAATTATCAGATGTCAAAATACTGCATGTGTTACTCAAGGCAGAAAATTTTGGAATAGAGACCAAGCAGCTGTTCTAAACTTTAAGCACATCCTATTCAATCTCAGGGAAGTAGGTGAGCGCCCTGCGCTCTTTTCTCGTAAAAACGAACAAACTCAGTAATTTTCCGCCAAAGTTATCGCTTTGGCAATTTCATGCAGGTAAAATTATCTGAACAATAATTTTCTATTCGTCCGAAAAAAAAAGCTCAATAGTCTGAACTTTTTTTATATTGGTCTGAATTTATTTTTGCATCTGTCCGAAATTAATTCTAATTTGTCTGAATTTATAGTGTAAATACTGTACAAACATACACCTGTCTTGGATAACACAATGCCATTATCCTATCTTGAATATACGAATCTCTTTCTAAAAGATAAGAATTTGTACGATATCTATGTTCTCCATACTCTCAGTGTCCTTATTCCTCTTGTTGGAAAATGACATAAACATAAATTTACGTTCGTAAACATTACCTATAGTTCCACAGAGAATTAGAAGATTGAACGGGATAAAATATTCTTTTGGCTTACTCAGAGTCAGGATTATGTCTACTTTAATTACGACGTCTAGTTAATTTTTATTTAAATATTTTCTTTTTTTCTTTCAGGTTTGCTTATTGCATTTTGATGACCCGTGTATAAGGATGTTGCAGCAGTTATCCAAAGCTTGTTGCTTGTCGCTGTGGTTTCTCAGCCATTTTTTAACAGTAAAAATCAAACAGTAATACATGTTTGTGATAACGTATTGTATGTAAATGATAAACTGCTAGGATAATATTGTTTTTGTTGAAGGAGCATTGGTCTCAACATTGTTGATTGGTTTGTCTATCTTTCTTGTATCTCTTTTAACGCTACTGAAGGAATGCTTGTTATACTTGCGTTAAGTAGCTGCCGAAGTCTTACTATACGCTTCAAATCATTATGGAACATTTGCTCTGTTATCAGTGCCTGCATTGTGTATTGTGTAGACTTTGTCGAGTATTGAATCATATACTGATATAGCGACATATGTAAATTGATAAGCAGTGTATATTATACTTATCCAGAGCGAGCCTTCAATTTCATACTGGATTTTATATCCAAAACGAAGAAAGTTTACTTTTTCTTTTATTTTTTTGATTACAGTAGGATAAAGCAGATATGGGAGGAAGAAAGAGACGAAAATTTATTATATGGAACTTTAATTATTGATCGCCTTTTTTGTATGGGGGTAAAAACCGAGTTTGCTATTGATAGCGCAATACGCTGTTCTGTTATGCAGAGTTATCGGTTGGAACTCTAGGTTCTAATTCTAAACTTCTTTCATAGAGGAAATCTACATCTCTACTTGTCTCCAATTGGAATTTGATAAAGTCTTGAATTTCAGGTACAACATGGAAAATGTAAGGTGGTGATTGAAATTGCTTAATCTCGCGAATCACTTCAGCTGATTTTTGTTGTTTTGCAAAATTGATCAAGTTGCTTGATTTCTTTATAAAATCTGGATTACCATCTTCGATGAATGTTAAATCTTGCAAGTAGATACCCAAAAAAGGGATACAGGGTGGATTCACTGAATGAATCATTTCACGATATTCTGTAAAATTACGGTTGGATCCCATCAATTTTCGGATATGAGCAAGTGATTGACTTGTACGACTGCTAACTAATTCCCACGTTTTCTTCAATCTACCAATAGCACTATTATCAAACGCAGAAAGAATAGCCATACATGTATTGTAATTGTTCATTTCAAGACAGCGCTATAAACAGAGGTTAGCATTTTTTACTAGAATGCCTATAAAGTGAACTTACATTAGCAACTTGTGACCAATGTTTGACAACCACCACACGTTTCTTGGCTTCCTTGTTATTCAAAATACTTCCAGTCACCCAGGAAGTAAGTTGGTTACAATAATCGATGGATTGTTTGACATTGACAGCATTCTCACTAGAGTCCTTAGACCAAGCCTTTCCTAAACATTCGATAGGCCGGATACTGCTGTAGAGTTTGAAATCCATAATACTTAATTGTCGCGCAAGTTCCAAGGGATCAGTATCTAATAATCTAATATGTTGCATGTTCTTTGGTACGATAGGCACAGGGCCAGACATGGCGTTGGGAATTAATCTCTTTAAACCACCACCATTTGCATCTAATTCTCTACGCTTGCGAATCAACCGATTTAATTGCTCTGCAGAAAATGAAGATGAATCACATATCACGGTATTGGCAAAGAATTGAAGCTTATTTAAAATAAATTCGTCTTCATCATTATAGTAGTTTTCCAACCAATTTTTCATGACGTTAAAAACACTATAAGCAAAGCATGAGTAAATACATAATAAGAATGGTCGTTCCCTTTTTTTTTTTTTTTTTACCGAAGTCTAACAAGTTTTTGTTTTTTATCAGTCCATATTTCTAATTCATCGGGGGTGAGTTCTTCAGGTGGTGCCAAATTATACCGTTCTTGTAATAATTCTACAAATTCTTCGGTTGTGCAGAATGATCTATAGGTCAGCAAAAAATTTGCAATAAAACTCATATCTGGAAAAAATATGGAAAGACAGTTAGCTTTTTCACAAAATTTTTAAATCTACATGTGTTACCAATAAAGTCATGAAGTGTCAAACGTTCAACAAGAGCTCTTAAGGTACCACCCTTGATACTTTTCTCCACAGTAAAGACGATATCACCCTCAGCATAATCGTAGCCGAGATACCAAAATTGAGACTTCTCATCTTGAGAGCCTACGCCATGACCAAAGCTAAACTGACGCTTAAGAGCCTGGCTTTCAGCGGTAGGTCTTGTTAAATTAGAAGGAGTTGTGGTACCGATAGGTCTTTGTGGTGGTTGTGTATTCGAGCCCTGACTGCCTTGTCGATTGTATATGCGAGTTAAAATAGGAGCAGCATTATTTCCATCGGTTGAGCTATTGTCTGAATCATTGATGCTTCCTCTATGGGGTCTCTTCTTATCACCTTCAAAGTAACTATGTACCGGAGATCTAGGGCTGTTATCGGCAGCCGTAAGCATCGACGCATCATTGCGCATAAGCCAGATTTTTCTTTCACCAACCATTTGCACAATATTTGAAAATATATCTTCAATAGCGTCTTCTACCATATTCACAATTTTCTCAATGGATGATATACTTGTTGTTAAATCATTATGGGTGTCGGTCAATGTTTGAACGGCACTGAAGAGTAAGCCTACAGAATTATAAAGCCGTTGCTTGTTACTTCGAAATTCAGGTAGCGATTGAATTTGACTTGAGTCTATGTGGTTGGTATCAATGTCACCCAAAATAGCTAAATAATTTCCTATTTGAGTCGATAAGTTTTGAAATAAGAGAACTACATTTGCTCTTGCTCTTTGGTCTAAAAGATAAGATTGTTCTTCGCTTGCTTCATTCTGATGTTGTTTTTCTTCTAAAGTATATATATATGCAGATGCTTTGCATAGTGCATCTGTTGATCCAACAATTTGTTTTGCATGCGTTTGTAAACTGACGATTAAATCTTGATTTAATGGATATTTGGGTCTAGCGCTATTGCTAGTTGCTGTGCTGCTTTTCCTTTTGGCAACGACCGATGTAGTCTCATCCAGATCTTCTCCGCCACTTATATTTACTGGTGTAATAAGAGCTGTCACGGCGTTAGTTGTATTTAACAGTAAGCGTGGGTTGACTGGTTCGATTTTGACATTTTTAGTTTGACAAATTAACACGAATTTCCGAACACTATTTAAAACGTCGGCTGCATCACGTTGTACTTTTCCATTTATATCCAAGGTAGAATCATTAACTACTTTGGCGGATAAAATCAATTTAGCCAAAGTGGATAGTACATTGCGATGAGGGTCTTTGATTTCTATATCTTGTAAATGCACTGCATCTTTATCTAAGCTTCTTGATGAATATAACATGAGTCGAACAGAATCAACAACAGCAGCTATTTTTTGTCTAAAAACCAATACGCTTTCACCTCGTACGACTACCTTATTAAGGTTTTGGACCGACTGTGCAATTTCAATTGCGATACTCTTCCAAGTCATTGTGTCTTCTTGCCCAGCAGCAGGCAATGACGACGTAGAAGAGGCGCACGATTCGGAGTCTAATGTGTCGGTAAGATGTGTGATAGACTTGCTTGTGTCAGCACTCGAAATTGATTTTTTCTAATATATGAGTTAGTTAAACTTGAATAGGGTCATTGTTACGTGTAAATAATTTTACCAAATGCCCAGTGGAGAGATCGATTTCGTTGTAGTCCCAAGTGGTTTCATGGGTAATTGAGTTTCCATAGTAAACTTTTCCTTGAGGTGTAGTCTTTTTTATCCAATGTGCCATCAGCTATAAATAGAGAATATGTCAATAATAATAATAATAAAAAAAAAAGAGGCAGACGGGGAACATACATCGACAGTACGTTCTTTGACTGGGGGTGGTACTGGAAGCTGGCTGTAATCAGTGATACAAGTTGAGGTGGATTTTCCGAAATCATAGTCGTCGAAATGATCAATTTGTTCATACTCTTCATCCGCGCTGCTATCATCACAATCATCTTCTGAGTCTGAAATGCCAGGATGGTTCCAACGTAAACCACCTGTTTGTTGATTGAAATAAAATTTCGTTAAGCCATCATCAGCTACTTGAAGTGTCCAGCCTTCAGGTAAATTTCCATCATTGTCATCCTCGTCGTCATCATCATGATGGTACTGTTGGATAGGCTGTTGCTGCTGCTGTTGTTGTTGTCTTCTTGGTAGATTTGTTGGTTGCTTAGCTAATGGTAGTGTAAGGGAATGCGGTCGTGGTAAGGAAGGAGATATCCCATTATTCATATTTCTTATCAAGTTTATTGTTCTAGCCTCTTCTTCACTATCGTCGTCATGTTGGTTAGGTGGATAAGGTGTTGGAGCGATCGGGCTAGTTCGGCCACTTCTTTTATTGATGTTTATTTCTTTTGATAGTGAAGGATTGATGTCTATAATCTGAACATAATTGCTGGGAAACCAGCCTCGGTTTCCTTTACACCAACCATCCCACCAACCTGAATCAAGTTGTGATAGGACTTCGATATATTCATCTTTTTCGAAAGATAAAGATGATTTCTCGGTTGATGAGAAAGCGTAAAGCGCTCTTACTCTACATATAATTTTTGGAAATTTGGCTGATGTAGCCATAACATAGAAACAATTTTTTTATTATAAAAAGAAGAGAAGAAAAAGAAAGGAATTTTTTTTTTTTTTTTTTGCAAGGTACACAAGCGTAATTTTTTTTTTTAAAGTTCGTCCTTTGATGTCATTTGATTTGGCAACTCTTATCCAATCATGATTTTAGCTTTTTTTTCCCTTTATTTACTGCTTGCACATTAAAGGCAAGACACGAAGTTTAAATACATGATACTTAATTCCGGCTATTGTAGAAGTTAGATTTAACAACAACAAAGAACTTATTAGTGAAACATTGACATAAAATCAATAGAACGTGGCAAATGTGTAATTAAATGTCCGGTCTAGTTTTTATCAACAGACTAGGCAATCTTTTGAGGGTCCAACCAAGTCAAATTTGCCTGAAATATCCGAATGTGTAAACAGCAATTATGTTTTTATCATATCATAAAAATAAAAGTTATTTGGTTCTGGTACAATTAATTAGACATTCTTCTACATAATAATTTTTCGTTTTGTTCTGGAGACACAATAATGACTTTTATAAAAAGTTGTTAAGTTGATTTCAATTTTTTTATACCATAAACATGTCTTTACAAGTTGCGGTTAATGAAACTAATCATGCCATTTTTTTTTTCTTGTGTTCAATATGTTACCAGTGATTCCAACTGTCATTTCGTGCTTACCATTATCAATGCCAATTAATAATGGGTAATCCAAAATGTTAATCTTACGCAAGTATTCTTGAATCGCTTACATTTGCTAACTCTAATAAGGCTTTTGACTGTTTATGTACTGATATTTTTGTCCGGCATTCTATCATTTAAATTTTTTTTCTTGTTTTCCCTTGAAACTGTGTCACCTTGAATCCAGTCTCCGTCCCACAATGTTGTATATTGTTGCTGTTTGTGGAATTCCTCCACATGTCGATCTTGTATCTCCCTAAAAGCAAAACGCTGCAACAAAAAAGAAGGAAATTTGAATCAATTAGCATGACTTAAATTCCGTCCGTTAAATTTTTAAACATTTGTATAGAACTCACACACCAGAAGAGCGGTGTGCAGTAAAATTAGTTATTCAAGGATACCGTTGTATTTGTTAAAATAATCGTGGTACGAATATTCTTTTGTCTTTTCAAATGAAATGAAAAATACAGGTGTTTGGTAGAACAAACTTCAAAAAGACAACGTTCTTGTATGTTGACCAAATTTTTGCTTCCTGGTTTTCGTTGAAGGCCATTGTTTGAGGTTATTAAAGGAAACTAACGGAGATTCATTACATTAAGTTGAACAAATCTTTGTTTTAAAGGTGGATTCTAATTTTTTGTTTGTTTTTTTTTTAAGCTATGGGAAAATAATATATCATGTTTAGTCAAAAAATTTTATTAAGTCTATGTCTTGTATGATTATAATAATAAATCATTGAAAATAGTTGCTTTAAGAATTAGAGGGTTAAAACTCTCTGATTCAAGGTTTTCAGTAATTGAATGTCCTGCACTTAAATCTTGAAAGATTACTCTTACTGACCAAGTACCGATAACAGAACGATTATTTTTAATTTAAAGAAAGTATTTATTACACCTAGGGAAGTACTGTCTGACATACATGAATTATTGTTGATTAAGAAATTACACGACTATCGTTCAAAAGAGAGCGTTGCCTGGAAAGAATGCGTAAAGGCTTATATTCCTGCCTCACCTCTACCATTTTAATGTAGCTAGTAAAATTGAGGGCGTATTTAAACAAAAAAAATCTGTCGACAGATTATTGGATAACACCCTTTTAAAAAAGCAACAAAGGAATCAAGTCTTGTGATCCTTTATATACCTTTCCACATCCGTTTTAGCTAAAAGAGAATAAAATCAGTTCACAATGGTAAAAAAAATGCATTCGTTGTTGCGAGGAAATGAAACTATTTCCTCAATGATCAATTAATTGAAATGTAAGACTTATCGTGGCTGCAGAAATCGAGCACAATTATAGTAAGGAAACAGATAAAGAATCCTTACTCGCGCTCAATTCCTCAGGTATTTATATGAAAAAAAGTAACTAAACAAATAAAGCTTGCGTTCCGTAACATTCATATTCATTAAAATAAAAAGCAAGATATCTTTTAATACGTCAAAAACAATATACTTCCAACCCTTTATTCACTGTGATGTCTTATTTATGATTTTATTATTCATAGCTCGAAAGCAGGTCGATTTATTTATCTAGCTCTTTTTTCGTTTAGTTAGGGCAAAATAAGAAAGGTAGACTAATTTCAGAGCTATTTTGGATGTTTGAGCTAGTAGCAATAAAAAGCTTATTAAAGAAACCTTGACAAAAATCCAGTATAATGTGGCAAAGGTTGATACCCCTTCAGTCTAATTATATTAATAGACTAGGCATAATTTTGGAGGGTACAACCAAATCAAATTTTCCTGAAAAGTTCGAATGTGCAAGCGGCAATTAGTTTCTTGTCATGTCATAAAAAACATGAATTACCTGGTACTGGCACAAAATAATCAGACACTTCTCTACAGAATCTAAGCTTGTATTGTTCGGGAGGCACAACAGTTACTTCTTTACGAAACTGTAAAGTGGATTTACTTTTGGATTCTAATTTCTTGTACCAAGTGTATGTCCCAATAAAATCTTTGTAGTTATGTGGCAGTTAATAAACTGATCATGTCATTTTTTTGTTTGTTCAACATATTACCAACTATTCCGACTGTCATTTCGTGTTTATCTTTATCAATACCAACTAATAAGGAATAGTCCATGATATTGCTCTTAGATAAAAATTCCGTATCTTTCTCCACTGCTAATTCTAATATGGCTTTTGACTGTTCATGTACTGATAATTTTGTCCGGTAATCTATTATTTGTGAATATTTTTTTATTCTAGTTTTTCCTTAACACTGTACTACCTTGAATCCAGTCACCGTCCCACAATGTTGTATCCTGTTGCTGTTTGCGGAATTCCTCCACATGTCGATCTTGTATTCCCTTAAAATCAAATCGCTGCAATAAGAAAGAGTAAATAAAGGTTCGATCAATATACGTACTGTATCCTCACATGAACAATATTTTGGTTATAAAATAGATGCTCCATCACCATAACATCAAGATTAAATACTGGAGTTTTTTTGTCTAATGTATTTTTCATTCTAATTGTAAAGAAACCAAAGATTTTTGCTAGCACAGAAGGATCCTACAGTAAGGTAAGTATGATACACAATTAAATATATAATATAAATAGAAAAACCTACATTAGCCGACATTTTCATATGATCGAAGTATTTTGGTGCAAACTTCAAAAAAGCATCCTTTTCTGCGACATTCCAAGCATTTACCATTTCTTTAATTACGAGCCTATCATCTTTTCTCGTCATAGTAATTAGTCTCTTTCATAATCTCGTATTAAAAACTTTCATTACCTTGTGTTTTGTAGAAGTGACTTTTGCTTTTGCCACCGCTTGCTGTCCATGATTGACAACGGCAAAGTGATTGTATAATTAATTGGTTAATGTCACACCGTTTTCGCAACATTTCGAACTCCCTTGCGTAATATACAATGCACGTAAATTCTACGCCATCATGAACGAATTCTGACAATAAATTGGTATTAATACAATTCATTAACTGCTAGGCCGGAGTACTTACTGTGTTTGATGTGAGGACTAATATCAATCTGTGAATTATTTTTCTCGTAAAAGTAGGATGCGACCTTAACTTCTTTTGTTTCTTCTTTCTGTTGTAAAGCAAATAACGGTTTAAAAGTACGCTCGGTCAAGTTCTGCCTTTTCAAATCACCTTGTTGGGGATTAGACCAAGGAAACCACCTCGCCTTCAATTCTTCTAGACGCTTGCTGTTGCTAATATGCGCTTCGGCAACGCTCGATTTGACTACCTCGGTCACCATTGTACGGAAGGAGGCTGTTTCTGTACTTGCTCCTGTAGACGGAGAAATGTATTTGCGCTCAATCATAGAATAATAGCCGTCAATTAGTTTTTTGTCGTTATGTGATACAGACTCGTGTTTTTCGTTTGCGCTACTTTCGGCTGAAGATGAGCTAAACATGGATACGTTTTTATTATCTAGTTTTTCATTGTAGCTGTTATCATGGTCATGCAAAATTTCTTGAACATATTCATTTGAACTACATATGAGCTTTACAATAAGATTCTTATTTCCCATACATATATATTTATAAGACTTTACCTCAATGTGTAAGCAATAATGGACGTAGGTTCATTTTCGCGAACTAGCACAGATGATCCTGGAAAACAATGAACTGTTTTTGTGCTAAACAAATAAATTAACCACATTGATCTATAAATTATACGTACGAATAAATAGTAACCTTATGTAGTCTGGGGCATCCCATCCAATTGTGTCTGTTACTTCGTTACATTTGGCGTGTTGCCACTCTGTTAAATATTGTATAATTGATTCGGATTGTATAGCAAAGTGCCGTCTAAAATCGTTTAATTCATTGACATTCGTATCCTTTAATATTTCTAGTAACCCATGGTGATCTGAATCCAGTCTTTTACCCAGCGCCTTAATCTCCCCATCCAAACAGTTTAATTCAGCCTGGCATTTCTTGGCGCCTGTTACATCATTAATCAATCCACGGATCTTTCTCCGTCCTTCGGCTTCTGTATATTGACTGAGTAAATTTAAATGCGTTCTCACTGATTGAAAGAATAAATCGACGTCTTGAATGGCGCTTTTCGATTTCCAATCCTTAAGTGTCAATAAATCAATTCTTGGCGCCAGATATGAATCCATCGCAGAATCTTCTGTTGCCATCTGTATACGAGGTATGCGCAATTCATAATAGGTTGTATCCTCGTAATTGATCTTGAATGTCACCCCATTAAAGTGAAAGCAACGATTGATGGCGTTTTTGTCTTTCACATGCTTACATAATCCCTCGATCGTTGAAAACTTTGAGCAATAAAAGACCAATTCCAAATATTTTGCAAAGGAATATGCATCAGTATTCTCATTCTGAATAGTAGGTATTGTAGACATATCACATATAACACACGAAATCCAACTGGTAATTTTAGTATCATGCATAGCCGTATTGGAACTCACGCTGAGATATACATTGATCTTTCCGATACCATGCGAAAAACTGTGTACATGATTGACGAGTGTTTGGTTACATCCATTAAATTTGCCGCATTGACGCTTCGGAAGAGTTCCCAATGTTGTTAAAGATGATTCAGAATTTTTCGGTGTCTCTAGGTCAGGTCTATTTATTGGCAATGGTGTCTCAATCTTTATGCCTGGAATAAATTGTGTTTGTTGGTCCATGTGAGCTTGACAAGAGGATTGACTTGATTCGGCCCAGTGACGTATCATTTGTCCTAAAGTTTGGTCAATATTCGGAAAAATGCCCGTTGTATCATCTGGTGCATGATACCGAAAATAATCAATTTTGCTCATGATTGGGCCCAAACATGGTCGATCAGGACAGCCCACTGGGTATACTGAGTACCCTAAAGTAATACTTTGGTGATGCTTGAAACTGTAGAGTGATGTTGTGTCAAGCATTAAATGGTCTAACCCTTTTCTACTTTCAGCTAATAATCCAGGTGCACGGATTGATGAATAGGCGGTGGATGATTGGGGCAGTTGAAGGTCTGTAACAATAAAACTATTTCTTTTTGGGGAAGAAAACGTAGACATAAGTGATGATCTACGTCTTTGTGAGCTAGGCCTTGTTTGGGGTTTACTATCATTTAAAATCATTTTCTTTTGTTCCTGAATCAGGTCTTCTTCGATTTGTAGTCTATTTAAAAGTGCTGGGTAAGGGAAATGACAGTCAGGTGAGGTCGATATACATGCATGTTGGATTCTTTGTTTTAATTTTGAGAATCGATGAGGGTCGTCCTGTTTAATAACCTTTTCAAATTCACGTATAGGTGTAACCGGTGGCAACTGATTTCGTCTGTTGATTTGTGTAAGGGACAGTCCACGTTTAAGTACGCTGGTATTTTTTTCGTCAAGTAATGCTGATGGATGATGAGGTGTTAACTTTCTGAACCAGCTAAATAATCCCGATGATCTCTTAGTAACACCATGGCTACTGTCATCCACTGACACATGCTTAATTGCAGCCTTTTCTTGTATAATTGAAGGAGTAGTGATCAATTTCACATGACTATCCTGCATTACATAACTTTCTAAATAGAGGCTATGCGTTAAATAGACAAGCATTTGAACTAACTCAAATAACTTTAATTCTGTTGTTTCATTGTTCGATCCATATATACGTATAGTCCCTCCAATTGGAAATTCAAGTGAAAATTCGACTTTAAAACTACGTTAGTTGAAAGAACCCAAATAACCTGATTAAAAACTTACCAGTAGAAACGTTTTTACCGTGATAAACGTTGGGCAAAAAGTTTGATTCCATAGGTGAATTAGTTGTAAATGTCTGCAAGCATATTGCATTCCTTTCTTTTGTTGAAGTGATGGCTGTAGCTTTCTCGTACAAGGTACAGCAAATTTGAAGTAAGACTTCGCACCAAGGGTAGAGTGGAATGTCCAGGTCATTTAACCAATGACTTAATAGTTTCAAAACATACAATCGTGAAGAATCATCAAGACTTGAAGGGATTTTGGGCACTGGTAAAGGTTTTAATATTCGTAACTTTTCATCAAGGTTCGGTGCTTCAATAGGAACTATGTCGGCCATATTATATATCAGTGAAAGAAAAATGCATACAAAATTTTGTATTTTTTCCCTTTTCTTTTAGGTTGCATCATTTCGTCATTCAGGTGATACACGTATTCTTTGTAGACTTAACATAATAAAAACAATGAGCGTTCCTAACGGAAATGAGCAAAATCAGATTTTAGGTCAATAAAAAATTGATAATAATAAGATCTCATTGTTGAGAATTATGCCTTCTCGATCGTAGATATAGAGACTGGCGATTTCTAAGCTCTATTAATGCCCTTGAACTAAAAATAATTGGCCAGTCACTATTTGATCAGTGATCTGCATGAGATGACCGCCACATAAAACGCCATAAATAGTCTACGGTCTGCCATTTAAAACCTTGTTCTTTTTCACCCCTTAACGTTCTTTCTTTATTATTTTTAATGAAGATAACAAAATCGCAAGTAAAGACGAACGGCTCAACACCCTGTAGTTCTGGTGCTGTTTTAACTACCAAAACTATTGTAAAACGCGTCAAAAACTGGATTCAACCTACTTTATCCTTCAAAAATTCTGTTCTCCCAAAAATTAAAACAGAACCGGAAGAACCCTCAATTGAAATAGCTTTACAAGGAGTGAATCCGGAAGAGACTGTTGCACAAAATGTCTCTACAAGAATAAACCCCAATATTGAAGACGTTGAAATGGCGACAGATGAACAAGAAACTTACTCTGTTCAAATAAAACAGGAAGATATTATAATGTCAAGTCAAGGTAAAATATAAGAAGCAGCCCCTAATAATTATTTATTATTAAAACGTACTTTCCATTTATAGAAGAATCTATAGCAAGCAGTCCAATTGATGTTTCTGAATTTTTACCCGATCCCGAAGATCCGAATTTTTACTGCAGAGTGTGTGATAAACAACATAGCGTAAAGCGCACATTTCGTGAGCATTGTATCAAACACCATAAAATGAATCTTCCGCCAAATCCCAAAGTCCTCCAGCTATCTCTCCTTGCCAAGTTTCCCAACATTTTACCTGACCCGGAGGACCCAGATTATAACTGTTGTGTGTGCCAAAAAAATTATTCTGACAAGTACAACTACCGCAGACATCTTCGAACTTGTCATAAAATGGATCTTAAACCTTTGAACCCGTTCAATGTCAAACACCCTCATATAACTCCGGACGAAAATGATCCAAATTGCTATTGCGCAGCTTGTGAAAAAACCTTTTGTGATAAATGGGGTTATAGGTCTCATCTTGAAGCAATACACAACTTGGCTCTCAAAGGCGGTCAGAGAACTAATAAGAGAGATGGAATATTACCTGATGAAGACGATCCTAATGGTTACTGCCGTCAATGCAACAAAACTCTTGAAAGCTTAAGGAGTTATCGAAACCATTTGAGAAAGATTCATGGCATGATTTTGAAACCAAGAGGAAGGGCTTTGCTCGTTATAAATGCACATGTAAAACCGGATGAAAATGATCCCAATAATTATTGTATTGTATGTAAGAGGCAATATCGCGAGAAAAGGGGATACCGAGCCCACTTGGCAACAATGCATAATATGGAACTTCAAAACCTAAAACCCCGAAAGGCTTTGGTGATTACAGAAGACTCAACTGTAAAACCTGATCCGGATGATCCAAACTTCTACTGCTGTCTTTGTGAGAAGAATTATGAATCTCGCCCCAAGTATCGTACTCACCTATCCAAGTGTCATAAAATGGTTCTTCAACCCCTTAATCCGTCGCAACAAAAAAACAATACTTTACCAAACAGAGACGATCCAAATTTCTACTGCATTGCTTGTGAAAAATATTACGCTAGCAGGGCCTTGTATAGAAAGCATGTTGGCAGGGTTCACAAAATACGTCAACACTCTCCAGCACAACAAGAGACACAGGCCCCGGGCCCTTCTTGTCGCAGAGACATCAGCCAAAATTCGCCTCAAGATGAACATGCCTGTCAAGGAAATAAACCAAGGGTTTTATACCATACTGTTAAAGTAGAGGATCTAACAAATGTCAAACCAGATGAAGATGACCCAAATTTTTATTGCTGCCTTTGTCAAAAAAATTCACCGGATAAGAGAACTTTCAACAGTCATTTAAAAGTCGTACATAATATGACAATTTACAACAATACGTATTTACCCCCACCCATGACAGAACCTCTACCAGATATACACCATCCAGACTTTTATTGCAGTTTATGCAAAAGAAACTTGTCTTCTCTCGACAATTTCCACCGTCACTTGCGAACAAATCACAAAATGAAATTTACAATCCCCAGAAAGACTCACGATGTCATTCCGCACCCAGAATTAAAGCCTGACGAATTTGATCCTAATTTGGAATGTATAGCTTGCGAAAAGAAATTTTCTTGTAGCACAGGGTTCCGCAGTCATCTTAGGAAAATTCATAAGATGACCTTATCTGCTCCTCGTAACCGCAGGCGTATTCGTCATCCTTACAAAATGCCAGATCCCCATGATCCCAATCATCATTGTAGCGCTTGCGAAAGGGATTATTCTACCAACGCTGGATACCGTTCTCATCTTCGAAAAGTACATAAAATGAAACTATGAAACTTTTTTTGTTTATATGGAGACGTTGTCTCGAGTTTATTAAAGAGGTAGTCACAATCTTGTTTTTGGGTTTTTTTTTTTTGTGTTATCTGTGAGCCGTAGCTTCTTTTTTTTTTTTTTTTTTTTTAATATACAAATGAGAACAACAATCGAAGCCCGAGCGGTCTTAGTTTGTTGCTAGACAAGGAAGAGGGGCATGTTGAATACCTTTTTTGATGAAGGATTCTTGGCGCATGCGAAGGAGATTACTTGTGAATAAAGAGATGGTGGCGGTGGCGGTGAATGGAACGTTGTTAAACACGAAGGCCCAGTGCGACGACCAGATAGCTTCAAGAGTAGCAGCAAAAGCCATTAGTGGGGAGGGTATTGCTGTTGTACTTAGATGATCAGGGATTTGCAGGGTGTGAAGGATATATTTGACTTGATCCAGTGAGAATGTGGTTGTGGAGGGACCAATATATGTATCCCACATGTGTTGCCATACTTGTAGTTTCGATGGGCATGTGAAGAGGAAGTGCGAGAGTGTTTCTTCAGGATGTGAACAGATGGGACACGCGGGCGTGGAGAAGTGCTCCGGCATAAATCTGTGGAGAATGGAATGATGCGGGATTTTCTTGTGGATTAGTCGATACCAGATATTTCGAACTGAGTGAGGTAGTGGTAAAAGCCAGAATTGAGACCAAGGAAAATGTTGTTCTGGCGAATATGGTGGCGGTAGAGCGTGTTGATGGGTGAGCTGAGGGGAGCAGGCTTGACGGAATTGTTTGGTGGTGAAGCGCTTCGAGGGAGAGTTGAGAAACTATGAAACAACAATTCCCTTCATTGATTTATTCAATTGTTTCTCACGGTTCTTGTACTTCTTGGCCAATTTCGAATTACAAAATAAAAATTCATCAATAAATAAACAAACAAATGTATAATGCTCAACTAAAGTTTTTTGTTGGTCTAAAGTCTCTAAATTCTTCCATCTGTGGTACACGTACAGGCCCATCTACTAAGGCTTGTTTGCTTTGCTCTTTAAATTGCTAAATATAATAAAACTGGAATCGCAAAACATAGATTTTGTGAGGCTCGTTACAAAAAGTTTATTTCAAACTATTCCCAGACGTTGTTTGTTTGTTTTCATGATTAGTGAAATTAATTATGTCACACCAACATAAGCATCGGTCTTCGTATCAATCTGGCATCGTAGACAGTTTTTGCTTTATACATAATACTACAATTATCAAATTGTATAAGGATGAAGGCATTATCGTTTAATACGATAGGAATAAATTAAAGATAAAACAGCGACAGAGAACTCTTGTTTTTTTTAAAGAAAAAACAATTATTTTATACATCGAAATATACATATTTTTAGGCTTTTTCTTAGCCTTCATTCGCCATAAAACATTTCACAAGCACTTTGTGCAACGGTACAAATGAAATATACTAACACCCTTTTACGTGAAGGAGTTTTTTGTATTGTTGCGAATGAAGAAATTTTATCAACCACTTTTTACAACCGAAGTATTACAGGAGATCTCAATACCATAGACTAATTTTCAAAGAAGTATTTAATTTTAAGAAGAGCAATGTGATGGAAAAGATAGAAAGCAAAGAAGGTTAACTTTTGATAATCCACATATCCATCTAAAGCGACCTGAAAAGAAAGTAGTACCCTGTACTACTTTAATCTACTGCCGAACACAAAAGACTAACTTCTTATTGCAGGACATGCAGACACAACTTCGTAAACATTGTGTTTTGATTGCAAACTTTCCCAAAACTATGCCTGATCCAAATAATCCAGACAATAATTGCCGTGCTTGTACAAATACATATTTTATCGACATGTCCGATCTGTCACATAATCAACGTCAATATATCAGTCTCTATCCTCTGATAGAACATTCACATAGATTATCAGACAAAGACAGTTCAGAATATAACTATACTGCTTGCGAAGGAAAGTTTGTAAGTTAGGATTTCTATCGTTCAACAGCGGCGTTATGCACAATATAATTATTGGAAGAGGCTACATATAAGCTTAAAATAAAATTAACTGATAAAGATGACCCAATTTTTATTTTTCTATATACCAAAGCTTTTCTTCAATAAAAAAACGTTTCATGGCCATTTAAAAGTTGCACACAATATGAATGACCATAATATCAGCTAGTCGCTTCCAGCGTAAAATAAACTTTCTGTTCCGCGAAAGTAAATAAATACTATCCCCTATCCCAAATACATCTAATCCTAACTATAACTATGCAGCTTGTGCAAAGAAGCTCTCTTGTAAAGTGGTTCCGAGGCCTTCATTGATAAATCCACGAGATGAAGTTACCTAACCCTGTATTACACAGAGGTGTAATCTATCCTTAAATGATATCAGATATGTCAAACACTCGCTATTATTGTAGTGTTTGTAAAAAAACTTAAAGGGATATAATAATTTGCCGCTGTCATTTTCCCCACATTACAAATTGGGTAAAGTAAAAATAGTTATGATAGTCAAGCACGAAAATACCCATATGTGGGATCGACATCATCCCGGCTATAATAAGATTTGACCAATAATAAACAGAATAAATGTCCAAGTCATTAATTAAAAAAGACCATTCGAAATGTGCCTGTTTCTCATTTTACAAGACATGCTTCCAATAAAGGGTTAAAAAAAAGTTAGTGAATAGCTACCATAAAACGAAAAATACAGATCATCAAAAATGCAAATTTATAGATACTTGTAACTTCTGGGGCTTTTGAACATAAATCTCTCATAACTTGCCTGATTGAGTCTAAGAAGCAGCTTTATATAGTAATTTTTCATTTTGTAACACCATTTTATCAAGTGGCATATCTTCGTAATTCTTTTGATGGTTCATTTTAAAACATGTAGTGCTATTTAGAGCCTTTTGTAACAAATTAAAAAATTTAATTATCAAAAAATATCGCAGTTAAAGCTTAAACATAAGCAGATGAATAATTAAGATTCTATTATAGATAGACCACACTGGTAACCAAAAGATTTCTTCTTCATAACGTGTACTCCTGAATCGGCACGGTGCTAGATTTCAATGTCCTACACGCAAAAATTCATGCATGCTGCATCTTCAAAAATTGTAGACATTATGCTTTAGACTGGCTTGTTAGAAAAGAGAATCGACATTACACTTTGTATTTAGTATCTGTCCATTTTTATTATGTTATAATACATTTTTTTGAGGTCTAATATTATTAGTAGTGATTTCTGTGATTTTTGTGCGGCAAAATGGGCTGTAATTAATTGTTTTTTAGTTAGCAAAATATATTATACACCTGAGAGAAAAAATGATAAATTACCATTGCTGCAAAATCTTAGCACATTTTCTCCCAAATCCATCATGATGACATGGAAATAGGATAACGTCTTTAGGTTCAGAAAAGCATAGGGTGCACAAGGGGCCGTCCCAATCATGTTCTTCTTCTTGCTCCTGTTTAGCATAATCCATAATTTGATTACTACTGTTACACATGGGTTGATGACGCGTGTTTGGTGGGTATAACCATGATCTCTCACCAAAATTGATAACGACATGCTGGTGACTTGTGAGGCTTATAATAGGAAATAATCCTAAAGTTTGCCTTTTCGAATTTACCCCGAATTGGATAGTTAATCCAAGATCCTGACCATTAATGAAAAACGTGCACAAGCCTTTGTCCATATCTAGTAAAGAACCCAAAACATCGCCTATCTTACATTGCCCTGAGTTTCTTTGACTGCGAGGATATATAGCTTCTGAGGCTGCCCAAACTGCGGATCGGTACGTATCAAACGCAAATCCATTCTTGGAAAAGACACATTAGTATTATTTTGTTATTCAAAAAGGGGCTTATACTTACAGGATCATCTCCCACACCGCATCCTTCTTCTTGTAAAAACAAACATTTTTTTGTGCCCCAGCCAATCTGCATTACGCCGTTTGTGAGTAGCAATACCTCGTAATACCACACTCCAGAGTCCACAGAAGCAGTGGCACGAGCAGATTCCAAATAAAATGTATCATTACGGATCTCCAGACAATTTTCACTCAATTTGCAATGGCTTGTACAGTCCCTCGGGTTTAAATAAACTTTTGGCAATAATATGGGTGATAAACAAGGCGTATTAAATACATGATTCAACGACCATTGAAAACAATGTTGAGACTGCATTAGTCCGGACCAATCAATCGGTTCTATTTTGCATGCCATTGTTGTTGTTGTCGGATCAACCACGTTCGTTTTTTTGGTTTTTTTAATTCTTAGTCTTTTGATCAGGCCATGGTAGAACCTTTTGCCACTGTATTTTCTTCTTAGGCCTGAGACGAGAGTTAAGTTCGGTGAGGATGCCACAGCGGGTGACTCCGATAGACGAGAATAGCACTCTTGCAAGTTTTGGTTCAGGGTTGTTACGATACATAATGGGTGATTTAAAATTCTCTTTTTAATACTACCTAATATAGTTAATGAGCAAGACTATCAAATCGTTCACTTTCTACAGCGTTCATCTACCTGTTAATGCAAAACTTTCTAGTGCTAATAAAGCAAATATTTTCACAGATCTGCTATTATCCATTAACGACCGAATCAAAAGTGTTGCAATTTCTTCTTGCCACATGGCTTCAGCCAGATTTCCAGCAAATTTTCTAGCCAGCATAGACCACATGATACTCTGGTTAATCTTTTGGCTATCACAATTTGCCACCCCATTGTTCAAAAGTGCAATTGATGTATTTCGAATGGTTTCCTTGGATGGTATTTCTGAAAAATCAATAATGTGCTTCACAAACGTCATTGATACAGGACAATCATACTGCAACTCTTGCACCATTGTCAAAATGAATGCAATATACCCTTCGTCTACATAATAATAATAAATGTCAATAAGACACGTTTTTTGTATGTTAATGTATATGTATTAATAAACCTCCATTTACCTTGGCTAGTAATTGTATACATATTCTGTAATGCTCTTCCCATACATTGAATTCTTGAGGTTGGGCTTGAATACATTTCATCCTCTAATTTATCGTCGATAGCTGCAGGATCTGGCGTATTTTGTGCGATTGATATTACTCTTCGCCAGGATAATTGAACGCCAGGGTAACTGACTGCATTACTATTATGCATTTTGTAAATCAAAGCAATAATAAAAAAATTATATATAAAGAAACAAACAAGAAGATTTTAAAAAATCAAAAGATAAAATAAATATTTGCTCATTAATTAGCGCGTGTAATATCAGGCCCAAAATTATCAAACGAGGTCAATAAAAAAGGGGAGTAATTTTTTTTCTTTTCTAGGGGTTAATGGAATAAAGAATGTGAATAAAATGAATTGACAACATTTTATCTATGCTATTATACAAAATGTGTAAGAAAACTGTTGTCTATTTATAATAGTAACCCCTCTTCACATTGTCTTTCGTTTGCGCTCCAATTATAAGAGCTAATTCAAGGGAAGAAAGGGGTGATAGATCATAAATGCTTTTGATCCACATGCCCAAAAAGCTCATTTTTCTTGGTTTTTTCTCACTTTAGTAGAGCAACAAGGTTTTTTTGTGAAATGTCATTCTTATCAGATAGTCAAAAATAAGACACTCGCTTTAATCTAGCGATACCATTGGTTAATAAATAAAGTTGAAATTTATGGGTGATCCAGGTCCAATAAGATGATGCAAAACGATCACATTAGCTTGAATCATTGGTTGGTACTAAACCCAGTTGTATTGATCCTGTTACCATCTGTTTCGCGGAAGCCCTTGGTTACTTTTTTTTTTTTTTTTTTAAAAAAAATGTTTTTCCCGCCCTCCCGCATTACTAATAAGAGAGCGATAAGATGTCATCCATCCGCTTGTTTTAATACAACGTTAACACACCTTAATGTGATGGCGTGTATCAAATCTTACAGAATCGGAAATCATTTTTTTGTAAGACCCTTTATTTTCTATAAGCCAGAAAATTGAAATTTCCACTTAGTATGACATGTTTGTAAAGTACCTATGCCTGTGCTCGATTGATTATTTAGACTTTTGCCATATGTCTAATATAGATATTTTGGCCCCTTATATGAATTCGCATTATGTTTTTAATTGCTTAGATACTTGGCATAAAACGTAAAGCCTGTTTCTCTCAAAGCTGGAGGACTAAGTCAGAGGATGGGGACTTTTTGACATTCTGCACTTATGATAGCGTGGGTTCTATTTATATCTCTGGATTACTTGCGTAATACGGCTTCATGAGTTTAAACCAATGAAGAGCGATGCACAACTATAACTATCAGGATTTTGTAATAACAAGCGTGTGCCTCCCTAACAAGGATTACACTTTTCCCATGTGTATAAAATTTTCGGAGACTTTCCGTAAACCCAATGAAGTAAAATAAATAATTTATCATTATCTTTTGTCATGAATCAAAAACAGCCTTCTATTGTCTAATGCAGTATAATTATTTTGAGTATATTAAGTACATCACAGAGATTGTGTGAATGACAATCTGTTATTTAACCTTCAGGATCGTATGACAAAAATAGAGGGAGACGTGCACATGCTCTACATACTGTAGGAAATATTCGGTCCACACATGTTAATCGAGCATTTCGGCATCGTTAAAGATAATACCAACAAACTTAGTTTCCAAGGTATCCGCACAGCACCGGATATATCTATCCATGTTGATTACGATTTCAACAATTGGTTATGTTCTGTTAGATCTCGTAAGCTCTTTGAGGGATTCTATCTGAGTTGGAAAAAAACTTGACCCGCATTTGTTATTTATAGACATTGTTTTTGTTACACAGGAAAGATTATAGACTTTATTCTTTTTACATTTATACAGAAGTGCAGGAATAACGGGGGATAATTATTTAGCAGAGAGAACATGGAGCATGACAGCGTCCACGGTTTGTAAGTAGTGGTTCTCACGTCTGACAGCCAGCAGGAGTGATGTTTCATTTGGACCGCTGACCGCAGATGGTGGGACGATAAAATCAAATACCTTTTGAGTAATGGGACCACCTGCCAATGAGTCGGATTTTTGGTAGAAGAATATATTTACAGTCTCATCAGGCTCCTCCGCCTTAAAGGTGACATTAACATGCTCTCCGACGTACCAGGTATCGTAATTGTGTGGGTAAGCAATATCTGTAGTAAAGGAACTAAAATTAGCACAAGATTTTAATATCAAATAATTTAAGGTACATACCGCCTTCGTTTTCAGCAACCGTTTGATTTGTTATCAATAGCTGTGAGATTTGGAAATCACTCATGTCCTTGAAAGGAATAGACAGTGCAGTAACCATAGCACAGAAAGAAGCAATAAGGAGTGTAACAATAAGAACGGTTTTCATGATTAATTTGAGATGTAATAGAATTATTTAAGCATTTCTTCGCCACATTTTTACGCTTCTTTTATACAAAAATCAAAGCTTCGGTAGAAAGAGTAAAACTGAGTCAATCAATGAAACATAACATATCAGTTTCTTTATTCATGCGTGAAGGTAGGGGTTTGCCATCGATTAGATGTTTTTTTCTTTTTTTTTACCCGAATAGCATTAGTCAGGTTTTCTAGAAAAAAATATTGGCATGAATCCAGGATGGGGTTAAAAAAGCTTAATAACAATGACATCAATAATGTAAGACAAAAGCAAAGTTTATTAATTTTAGATTAGAGCTCGTAACCAACAAAAACATAACCAGGTTCTTGACCATAAATTGAGGGGTCGACCATTTCGAAGCCAAGGTACATGAATGCACGAAGAATAGTACTGATAGAGTCCTTGTAATTACGTCTGTCAATAGATATAATGAGAGCACTGCAACCAGTTTTTTCTTCCGCGAGTTCAATCAAGTGAGTGATACTATTTAGTAAGTTAGTGATGTAAATATTTACTTTTTTTCTAATCATTTCCTTACCAAGATTGAAATTCACCGTCAGCCCAGTTTAATAAGACGGCATTAGCTCCCACAAAGGGAGAAGAAATAAAAACTGTGTCATTGTGTATAAATGCTTCACAAGAAAGATTCCTTAATGACTTGTCAACAGAGTGGGATGTAGAGATTGATAGAATCTCTTTCACTTGAACATCAAGTAAGCTTGTTTGACCAAACACTTGCACAATGAAATCATTTGTGCCTACAAAAAAAAAGTGAGTACAATAGTTTAACACAAACTCTTTATCCACATACCTTTATTGCGGCTATTCACTGTGACAATATCTACGGCTGCAGTTTCCTCTACAGGATATAAGTTGGAAGAGACTGCAGAAGTCATGGGTTGTAGAGGAATTGATATTTCCTTTTTGGCGGGGTTTGCGATAATCATGGACTTAATATACTGAAACTGCTACTATTATTACTATTATTGATACTACTCGAAGGTATTATATTCTTTTCTTTGGTGGCCTTGGAAAAGATGGTGCTTGAAGCGTAAAGAAGGATTACTGTGTGCTTGTCCAGTGCTGTTACTCTATTTCCTTGTAGGCGTTTCGCTATTAGAAAAAGAAAGGTTTTTAGTATTTCTTTCTTTTTCTTGTTAAAGGTAAACTTACTTTGTTAAAACGCCTTAAACAAACAGAAATATGAAAAGGGGGAGGGTCAAGGGTTTAAGAAGAGATTAAAAAATACGTAAAAAGTTTTTGTAACAAAAAAGCTTTTTATTATTGGTTATTCTTTATAAGTTTTCTTGTCGATTTCTTTCTTTAAAGGATATTGAAAATATAGGAATTTTCGATATGTTTAAATGAATAAAATAGAAGAGGGAGAAAAATAAGATAAAAAGGAAAAAATAAGAGAAAATTTTGGGCTCTGGTGACATGCTCTGGGGCAGTCACGCTAACGAATCAAATACCGATTTGAACCGGAGTGTTGAAACTTCGTGTTACAGTCTAAAAGCTTAAATCAATGACAAAAGCGAATGAAAGGTTCGTAACTCAAGCAGCTGTTGGTTTACAAGAAACGAAATGCACAAGCTTAAAAAAGCCAAAATAAATAGCTTTAAATTATGCCAGTTTTCTTAAATTATTTTAGATGCTTCTTAAAATGAAGCTTCTGTTAATCATGTAATTACATACATGCTACAACCAATGCAAGCACTGCAACCTTATAGGAAGATACCTAGTTCTTAATATACATTTTGTTGTACAAACAGTCAATTTGAAGATAATTTTTGACACTATTTAATTCTCTGATTATTGTATAAGCTTTATAGAAATTACCTTTGGTTGCTATTCCAATGTGTTTAATACTACTGTACCTGCTTAGTGAGTTTTTTTAATATTTTACAATGCCTAACAAAGATGATAATATCTATTAGACTCAGTGTCTTCGATCAATATAACTTATCAAGGTACGAGTACCTAAGTTCCGGATGATTATTAATTGTTTTATTAAACTTTTTTTATTTCAAATACGTATCTTAGTGATGTTATGATTCACTGAGCCTTTTCTAATGACTACAGCCAATATGCCAATAAGACTATCTTCATTAGATAACAACTGTCTATGTCAATTGATTATATGACATCACTTCATCGGAAATATGTGTATAAGAGAGTGGAGGTACTTGTTTAAAGGTATGTCTAAATATACAAACAGTTTACTCATCATGTGTCGGAAATAAATCTAGTTAGTAGTATAATTTTTTTTAGTCAAGTGGCAAAGCCAAGAATAACCTTCTCACAGTTGAATACAAATACTTACAGGTTGCAACTCGTATGAGGAATCATGTCTCTTGTTTTGTGGATGAATATGTTTTTTGCTTATTCTATATTATCCCTCGGTAGACACATACTGAGGGTTGCTGAAATAAAACATCACCAGAAGTGTGCTTACCGAATATTACATTTTGTTTCGGATTGATGAGTCGGCGCAACTAGGCTATCACAGATACAAACCACGAAGATATCCATACAAATTCTTAAAAACAAAGAGATATTTGCATATGGCGTACTACTTTTGCCATATTGGGCTTAAAAAAATAGTCGGTGTATTGTATACGAGCTAGTGTACTCCATAAATTTTATTTAATGGCTTGTGGTTTATTACTAACTAGGAAGAACAATTGTCAAATCGATATCTGGAATTTATGACACTGAATACCACAATTATAAAACTATCAATAGTAGTTATGGCCACTTCTTATGGCTCAGAAATAACGAGCGAGGTGTATGTTTTGAATGGATGTGGTATTCAACGTCAATCTATCCGATGACGGGCAGAAGAACTGTTTACACATACAACCAACGCAAATATGGTGGGTGCTTGATTGATAACCTAAAAGCAGCATATAAAGATGTTAAAAAGTAACGAGTATAAAGCTGCAAGCGATGTTTTTATTAAAGGGAACATGTTTGCGTCTTCAGAAATTACTATCGGATTGATTGTTGTGCGTTTCAAAGATTGTTACCCCAACAATTTTCCATCATGTCATACTTCAGCACTAACATAACAAAATGCTTTTTTATAGAGCACCATCCTTATTATGGCAGGATTGAAATTGTAAACGACCTTTGCACAGTGCCCTTTATTTTTTCGAGACGATGAGAATTATGCAGCATAATGCAATACTCGTAAATGTGATACTAATTTGAAATTTAATTGATCTCTCGGCAACTGTACTATAAAGTTGTAATACATGAGTGATTATTGTGATTTGTTAGCATTTATCTTTGTTGACAACGTTGATCCTGCTAATTCAATTTGCATGGTAATATGCAGCCCTTCAGTATCGTGTTCATAATAGTGAGTACGACACACCTATAATTGAGTTAAATCCAAATAAGGGTCAGGGAAGAACTGTTACCCGCAAACTGTGGCATAATTTCATAGCCAAATCAACAGAGAATGCACTCCTCTCTGTTTGTCGGGGGTTCAAGGCAAAAAGGCGCCACGCAGAATCTAATTTTATTTCAATTTAAGCCATACCTACATGTGTAAAGCTCACCATAGTTACTGTGAAACACCAAGATGAAATGATATGGATGTCTTTTATCCCTTTTGTAAAACTCGATTAGTTGTTGTACAAATCAACTAGATTTATATTGTAAAAACGAGTTGGATTACTTTGAAATAGAATTGATCTCTTTACTTTATCCTCCCCCTCCCCTTTCTTTTCCCTTTTTTTCTTTTTACATAAAACTAAAAAAAATGTCTTCCGAGTCACCCATTGTTCAGGTGCCAGAACCCGAAGAAAACTATAGCAGTGATGACCTTATCTACCAAGCGCAGCCTCAGCAAGACCAACATGATGAATTAGACGAGTTTGATAACCACGATGCCATTCCTCAAAAGTTAAAGTTGGATTTAAGAGGCACACGCATGGAACTCGATCGAGACACACTTGTGAATTTACCAGAAAGCTTACTCATTGCCATGTTTCCCAACGGTCTAGTTTTGGCTCGACCATCTGAAGAATACGATGAAGAAGACGAAGATTACGATGGTCTCTCACGCCATTCAGTAGGCGTAGATGAACAAGTCAATCTCGTTGATTTCGACCCCGACTGTTTGGAGTATGTCTTACAGTTTTACACTCATGCTGCAGTCATAAGGGATCAAAACCAGCAAGATGCAGAACTTCAAAGACTCTTAACTGCTTCAGCTGCTTCCTCACCAGTGTATTACACTCTCTTAACAAAACAGCCGATTATCGTGTTACGTGAGGAATTGGAGTACTTCTGTTTACCAACCGAAAAGAATAAAGACGCTAAACATTTGAAGTCTGCTTCTGGTAGCCATTTAAAGCAGCATGATCATATATTTGATGCTTTACAAAAAAATATCTCCAGAGAAAACAATATTGCTGAACAGCATTTGATCGATATGTTGTGTGATGCTGGTTTTAAAAGAGACGATCGTTGGGGGTATCGTGAGATCGAACCTTTGAAAACTACCATTGTTAGCATGGCTTTGGTCTTGTTGAAAACTATCGGTCCTGACAATCACATGGCCACTGCTCAAAAGCTCTTTTTATTCTGGAGAAAGCCTGCTGTAAGTTTGTCGTGGTTTAATACAATGTAGTATACTAATATATTATTCGCTGATTTCATATAGAGAAAGTGTTGGTGGGATGGTAATTCAGTAGAATTGGATGGTCAAACGATACGTCTCTGGGCAAGGAGAACATGGACGTTAGAATTAGCTCTCGTATAAATAATTCATATAAGAAAGACAAAAAAAAAAAAACTCCTTTCATTATTTCCCCCTCTTTTACTCCTCCTCTCCTGTTAATATGCCAACAGCACAAAACTTGTAATAGTATTTAATAAAGAAATCCTACGTATTTTATTTTATAATTGATTCAAGAAAAAGTTATATATTTCTTCTTCATCTTCATCTTCATCTGTTTCTTCTTCATAATACATCTTGGTTTTTCGATTCTCATCCTTAGTAACAGAGGGCAATGATGGCAGCTTCTGGCGAGTAATTGGGGGAGGAATAGGAGGTAATTCCGCGCAAAAATAATGGCTTTTGACGGATGTGGCATAGTCTTCGTCGGTAGAATTTGATCTTTTTCTAGTGGTTGTATCGTCTAATGATGTGTTTGTACAGCTGCTTCTACTTTGAATTAATCTGACATTTCTTGGTATAGATGGTGGCGGTGATAATGGTGGAGGTGACATAGGCGGTGTTTCACAAAAGGAAGGACTTTCAGAAGGAGTGTGATGAAAAGAGACAGGAGATATAGGTCGGCTATTTGTTAGGGGTGCCGATCTGGTGGTCGAAGAAGATCTAGTAGTAGAAGAGGATCGACTACTTGTAGTCTTCCGGTAAAAATCTTCACCAATTTTCCTTTTTACGTGCTCTTCTAGGTGGAGGAAGTAACCCTAATACCTCTGAAGGTGGCTGTAAAACAAGATCATCTGTACCGGAAGCTTCTGCCAAAGTAGGTCTACTTGCTGTACTGGGACTGACAATAGATAAACTTGCTTCTAACGTGCTTGCAAGCGTAGTATCAATGATACTTGGTCTTGAAGGTGAGGAAGCGCTCATCGACATACGAATGGTGTCTTCGGGGAACTTTATATAGTGTGAACTTTGATCAGACAAAGCGGACCTATCATCATCGACCAATAAACTATCTCTACTAGTAGTATGTTTGTCTGCAGTAGATCTTTTCAACGAGGTATCAATTGCATCAGACGACAAAGGAAGTGTGTGCTCTTGTTTCTCAAGATCATATTTTTCTTGTGTTTTATTATCAGATTCAGGCACCGAGCTTACTAAAATCGGAATTTTTGCACGTATATCATCGTTATCCTGGCCACCAAAATTGAAAGTCACCTCCAACTGATGATAGACGGTAATGAGTGTTGATTCAATACTTGGTGTTATCAAGGAGGCGGACAAATCATGTAAGAGCAAGATGGGCAGTAATTGGTGGTGCTGTTCCATGGTATTCAATGTGACAGGTTGAATACGCTTGTAAACTTTAGAGAGACCTCCAATATCGCCTGTTCGGATATGACTTGAGGCACTGCCAACGGTCGTAGAGTTTTTCTTGGCGGCTGTAATAACTATGTCAGCATCAAATCTTGCTATATTACGACATCTAAACATGAGGCATATAAGTACACCACTAATAACCGACATTTTTTTCTTTTACCTGTATATTTCAGTTTGAATTATTTGCGTATAAATGAATTTTGCGGGTTTGTTGCATTTGATAACAATTGGAAAATAGCCTTTTTCGCAACAGATAATGTTGGGGGTTTCTACCTCATATCTAAAGTTATTGGTTGTGTTTTCATACGAGCTTGTATGGATTGAGGCAGCTAATTCTTGTGACATGATCAGGTGACGCCGAATTACGATAGGATGAACGGCTACCAATGATTTTTTGTTGATACCTAAAGATATCTTTAATTCAACTTGATATTGAATTGCGCCCCTTTTGCCGGCAGAAAAGGTTCTAGGATAGATGTTTGGGATTTCTACCTCCCAAGGTATGATATGGTTTCCAATTGGTAAAAGGGTCGACTTTGAGATGAGTTTTGTTTTCAATTTAGGTAAGACGGGTAAAGAGAACGCACTTTGAGGGTGGGAATCTGATAATTTGACATAGTATTGTGCCTGTGTGTGTCCTGTGAATTTTACTGACATTGCCTTGACCTTCATTGCTTTGTCAAGTCGAAGTATGATGTTCCCCGATAAAATTTGGTTCGTTTCCGCAGTTGCAAATTCTTTTACTGGTCCAAAATAGTCCAAAAAACCCACCAGGGGTTCAATATCAATTGTTTGGATTCCCTCCTTCATGATTTTGCAGAAAAGCGAAAAGAAGAGAAAAAGAAGGAAAAAAGGGTATTCATTTTTTTTTTTTATATTAGAGTTTTCAAGTGGGACAAATAATCTGCTCTGTTTGTGCAAGGTGTTACTACATTTCTATTTTTTTTTTTTCTATTATTATGATTTTTTAAGAGGGGAATCTGCCATTTTACAGCAAAAATATACTATAATTACAGTGCTCACATAAGGGATGACTTCCAAAACTGTTAAAACACCTGAATTAACCGGACTTTCCTGAACTTGAATTATTTTTTCACAAGGTGTAACAATGAATTAACTTAAAAAGTTAATTGACCCCTCGGTTAACTCGAGGAAAGTGATAAAATCCAAAGATCTTTCGTTTTTGAATTTTCATACCTACATTGGCTTTGACGGGCTTTTGAGACTACTTTAACATGTTTACATTTAGCAAATGTGATATTATTTCTGATCAAAAATGGTCTTATACCCTTCTTTTATGCTTATTTGAAATGATTTCCATGTGTTTTTTTTTCGGAACTCACAAGAGGTCTGCTAATAATTCAGAAATACAGTTTTGGTTAGTATAACATAATACATATCTTTGTGATACTATTGTTGTTACATTTCCCAAATGTGTCTCCCTACAGTCAAAGATGTTTCTAGATAAACAAGATATTTGAATTAAGTTGATCAAGTTATTAAATTAGATGGTGAAAAATATTAATAATTTAGCAAAAAGTATAAGATTCTATACGCTGTTAAATTGTGCGTTAGTTCCTTTATGGGCCCTCTAATACCATGAAGCTGGAAACACTAATGCATAATTTTTGGTGTTCCGGCTTTTGCTTTTTGATAGAGCTTAAAATATGAGTATCAAAATTGAAAAGGCGACTTTTTATTTTCTACTTTGGATGGACAAACTTTTAAACGTCTTGTCAAAACACAAAAAAGAAGCAGACAACGTGACTAGTGCGTCTGTCAGGGGTTAATATTGATCCTAAGAGTACATGTCAACTATCTATACCAACACTAATGACTGAATTTAAACACTTGCAAATTTACTGGGAGAGGTCCATAATTCAGTATTCCCTTGTGCCTCCATAAAGATATCCTTAGTACATTTTTCTAATGAAATCCGCTGTATATATACATATATATCGGACCAAAGTTAAAATGTACGGAATCCTCCGTATTGGCCCAAGGAACAGTAAATTAAAACCATCATATGATATGGTTCTGTCATGTCTCCAGTTATCAAAATATTTGCTTTATTCTGATATACATACAAAAGCAATGGAATCTATGTCGTTCAAAATGAGTGCGATACTGGGTAGAAGAAAATCGTAGACTCTGCTCAATTCTTGCATTAGCGGTCTAGCAACTTCAACGTACCAAAGCTAGTCAATTCTTACGAAGACCAATTCGGATCGCTATTAAATTGCTAGAGTTAGAAGCAAAATTACAAGGAGCTAGTATACTCTGAGCATTTAATTTATGTATTACTTACCTTTAAGATATTATTTTTTCTCGTCTTTCTGTAAGGATAGAAAGGGTTGTCACTTTCTTAATACATTTGTCTGTCCGTCAACAGAACTTTATTACACCTGTCAGTGGCACAAATACTCTCATGTATAAGCTTTTATATACTTTTTAGGTCACACTTCACTAAAAATAATCAGTTATCAAACATCAAAGGTAGCATGTAGAGTAGTACGACTTTTATCTATTTAGCATTGAAATTGAATCAATCATAATTCATGATTTGCCCATATACATTCAAGGATTATTTACTTCTATTTCATACAACTAAAAAAAATTGACGGGATTTATTTCACACTGTAACTGCAATGCAAAAAATAATAAAATGAAATGACCTTTTCCCGTTGTGCTTCCTGAATTGTGCGACACACCTTATTTAATGAGCGACTCTTTAAGTCGTAACCAATGTAAACCCTTCTGAACCCGTTTTTGGTGTTGTGTGGGAGTTTTTTTTTATTGTGCTTGTAACAGTTATTGTAATCGATTAGGACAATGCCAGAAATGAAAACGTGTAGAAATTATAGAAATGGTAATTTGCATGTTGTGCTACAACGTTCATGTTCTTCCCCGACCATCTTTTTTGCAGAAACTAACGCAACCAGGTAGTCAATGCGTATCTTGGCTTATGTGTTGGAAGTACTTCATAATCAACTACCCCACTAAGGAATAACAAGATTTTTCCCATTTGTGGTTTTACTATTCTATCAGCTCCCTCTGGTAATCCATGATCATCTGTGCGACTCAGTATTTTAACTTCTCCACCATCTCCTGCAACCCAACCAGGATTTAAGTACAACACGACTGTCACACGTCTCTGATTACCATCTGAAGGATCATCTGTGGGGAGAGCATCTCGATGACGCTCGTATCGTGCTCCATTAGGGTGATAGTATGCCAATTGATATTCAGTACGGCCTTGTAAACGAATCATTTTGGAGAGATCATGATATAAAGGACCAGAGATAAATTCCAAAATCCTACTCAAATAAGGTGGTGTATCGACTGTCCCCAGTGCGTTATTTTCGTTGTTTGGGTCCAACCTAAATTTAGTTTTTATTAGCCGTTAGAAATCAACTGTTCCACCATTTATTGCTTACCAAACAATAGCATCATCGCGTGCAGAAACATCTCTAAAAGGGTCGTCTTCTGCTCTGAGGTCTTTAGGCATAACATAAGCGTCTTGTAAAGAAACAGCTTCTTCATGTGCACCTTTCAAGGTATCTAAATCAACGATACCTTCTAGCTCGGTCCAACCTGTTCCATACAATTCCTCAAGAGCTTGTGGTGTTAAGCAATTAAGATCCCAAGTATCACTCTGTCTCTGATACTGTGTCGTATTTAATTCGTGATAGAATAACCTTTGCGCGACTGACAAAGGGTTTTCTTGTTGATCCAAATACCTTAACAGTTCATTCTCTGAAATCTCTTCAACGATTTCCTCTTCCTCATCGTCATACTCTGCTGGGTCATACTCAAAGTCAGAGGGTAAGTCGCTCTTATTGTCGGGAAAGTCTGGTAAGTCGCTCACGTTAGTAGCTGCCATACGGAGAATACGGTCTTCCAAAGAGTGGGTTGTGTTCATATTCGTTAAAAAATATAGATAAAAAAAGAAAGAATTTTTATGTAGCTATTTTTTTTTTTTACAAACAAGGCTGTTTAAAACAAACGGCTGAAATAAAAAAAACTGTGACAGCTATCAATTTAATTCACCTCTTTTACATCACTTTTTGTTCATTCTTACTAGCGTCATTAGTAGAAAAAGATAGCATGGGAAAATAGTATAAAATCAAGTGTGACACAACGGAGAAAAAATAGAAAATCGAGATGCGTTTAGGTACAATAGCAACTGTTATCTCGATCAATTCACATCAAAAAAAAAAAAAAACCTTTCGACATATTTTTTACTGTTGATTGTTTCCTTATTTCTTCACCAATTAAAATTTGTCCGAACCTTTTTTAATTTGCAATCTCTTCAGAATTCTGATAGCGTAACATTGCCCTGAAAGAACAAGTTTGTGCACCAATAAAGATCACGAAGCATAGTTGGAAATGGAACACTCGTGAGAGCATTAATTTACTCTATTTGTCTGTACAAACACATCCGATAAAATAATGTATATTTAGATGTAACCAACAACCTTAACAGGGAAACACAGTACCGCTACTCTCAATAAACTACTTTTTTTAGGCACTAACGAAAAAAAAATCTCAATTTGTCAATTTACTCATCAAAAAGACCGTTTTCTTGGGAGTAGACATTAGTTTAATGGCAGGCAGATAGCTTTTACATATATCTTTTCGAACACTTTTTTACTTGCATAAGTACAGCATAATAAAATCGGGGCTATCTGCCGGATTATACCTTTACAAAAAAAGAAAAAGAAAAATAAGACTTAGCTGTAGACGCGGATTGTGAGCTGCCATTAAAAATAGAATAAAAGAGTAAAATGAATAATAAAAGAATATAGTCAAGGGGAAATACCATTGCCAGCCTTTTTTCAGCCCTGAATTTAAAATGATTACTTTCAATTATACAGTCGAGTGAGCTCGCTTGAATGAAAAAAAAACTGGCACATGCTCGAGTGCAAAAACTCAGTGCGAGCCTTGTCCGAACTGGCGCAAGATCATTACAAGATCGAAAAGTCCGAACTCATACAACGCAAGTAATGGATATAACAATGAATGTTGGAAGCGAATCAGGTAATTAAGCATGGGTTTTCGGTAAGGACAGAATATCAAGTTGTTTAAAGCGAAGATAATGAATATAAAACGATTGTGCTGTTGAAGACCGTGTCTTCATTAAACTGTTGCAGTTTAGTGTTGCATAAAAATTGACTTTTTTCACCGATTAAAGATTATTACCATCTTAAGAAGAAGGCGCTGGGTCTCCTTGGATATTGGAGACAGAACCCACAAATGATTTTAACAACTTGATTACCAAGAGTAACTGCTTGAGACTTTCTACTAACTTCTGCACGGATCGTATGCCTACTAGTATCCGTCCCATCCTCATCATCCTCATCATCATTATCATCGTTGTCCGATTGTAGCGTATCAATTTCGTCGTTACGATTATAATCGAAGTCATCCATGTCACTATGACAGTAAAATTGATCATCCAGAATAAAACATTCGTTCATAGTTATTAGGATGCTATACCGGTGATGATTTTTTGTCTCTCTATAGTTTGGCATGTCGGCTTCATTGGATACCCCTTTTTCAACTTCTGAAGTCTAATCAAATGTCAAAACTAGTTTCTCTACGGGTTGCTGATTCTCATGAGGTACAGCTGCACTTACTGTCTTCTTTACCGAAGTTGTCTTTTTAGAGTTCATTAATTCTGCCTGTAATTGATTTATTCGTCGCCAATCGTTGTGGGAAGCGTCATTTTTGTAGTTTTCTTGCTGAGATTTGCCTTTATATCAGGAAAAGCCATATTAAAACACAAGCCACATAACGGTCACATGTGCCTTCAAAATTTTCGATATAATGAATTCTGAGCTTGGAACACTATTTAACCTTCCTTTTCCTCCTAATAAATATTATGTCTGCCGAATACGAGGGTGCCATCGGTATCGATTTGGGTACTACGTAAATATATCGTTCTTTTAAAAAAATAAAACAGCTTCCTGATAGTTTAGCATTCATGTAAATTTTGACACATTTTTTTTATAAAGCTACTCCTGTGTTGGTGTTTGGGAATCCGAACGTGTCGAAATCATTGCTAACGAGCAAGGTAACCGTACCACCCCTTCTTACGTTGCTTTCTCCGATGCTGAACGTCTTGTCGGTGATGCCGCCAAGAACCAAGCCGCCATGAACCCCAAGAACACCGTTTTCGATGCTAAGCGTCTTATTGGTCGCCGTTTCGATGACCCTGATGTCAAGGCTGATATGAAGAACTGGCCTTTCACCATCATTGATAAGGAAACTGCTCCTTTCATTCAAGTTGAATTCGAGGGTAAGACTGTCTCTTACTCTCCTCAAGGTAAATCGTTATAGATACTACTCAAAAAAAAAAAGCTTTTTATTAAACATACATGTCACATCATAGAAATCTCTTCCATGGTCCTTATCAAGATGAAGGAAATCGCTGAAGCCAAGCTCGGTAAGAAGGTCTCCAAGGCTGTTATCACCGTCCCTGCCTATTTCAACGATAGTAAGTACATAAATTCCTAAATGGATGTAAACAAAAGCAGGATGTGTCTGACAATGACTTCCTTTTTTTTTAATAGGTCAACGTCAAGCAACCAAGGATGCCGGTACCATTTCTGGTCTCGATGTTCTCCGTATCATCAACGAACCTACTGCTGCTGGTAGGATAATTTATTTACACAATTAGAAGACGAACACGACTAACAAAATTAATTTACAGCCATTGCTTACGGTTTGGATGCCAACGACAAGAAGGAACGTAACGTTCTTATTTTCGATTTGGGTGGAGGAACCTTTGATGTTTCCCTCTTGACCATTTCCGGTGGTGTTTTCGCTGTCAAGGCTACTGCTGGTAACACCCATTTGGGTGGTGAAGATTTTGATAACACTCTTGTCAACCATTTCGTCCAAGAAATCCAACGTAAGCACAAGAAGGATATCACTGGTGATGCTCGTGCTCTCCGTCGTCTTCGTTCCGCTTCCGAACGTGCTAAGCGTACTCTTTCTTCTTTGACCCAAACCACTGTCGAAGTCGATTCTCTCTTCGAAGGTGTTGATTTCCAATCCAACATCACCCGTGCCAAGTTCGAGGAAATTAACTCTGCTGCTTTCAACGGTACTGTTGAGCCCGTCGAGCGTGTCCTCAAGGATGCTAAGATCGATAAGAAGAAGGTTGACGAGATTGTCCTCGTTGGTGGTTCTACTCGTATCCCCAAGATTCAAGCTCTTCTTCAAGCTCTCTTTGACGGTAAGGAGTTAAACAAGTCTATCAACCCCGATGAGGCTGTTGCCTATGGTGCTGCTGTCCAAGCTGCTGTCCTTACCAACCAAGCCGGTAACGAGAAGACTCAAGATCTCTTGTTGTTGGATGTTGTCCCCCTCTCCCTCGGTGTTGAGATGCAAGGTGGTATCATGGCTGTTGTCGTTCCCCGTAACTCCCCTATCCCTTGTCAAAAGTCCAAGGTTTTCACCACTGCTTCTGATAACCAAACCACCGTTACCTTCCCTGTTTATGAAGGTGAGCGTTTGATGACCAAGGAAAACAACCTTTTGGGTGAGTTCTCTCTCTCTGGTTTGATCCCTGCTCCTCGTGGTTCTCCTGAGCTCCTCTGTACCTTCGATTTAGATGCCAATGGTATTCTTAAGGTCACTGCTCAAGATAAGACCACCGGTCGTAAGGCTGATGTTACCATCTCCAACTCCACTCGTCTCTCCGCTGCTGATATCGAGCGTATGGTTGAAGATGCTGCTAAGAACGCCGACGCTGATAAGGAGCGTGAGGCTGTTGTCCAAGCCAAGCAAGATCTTGAATCTTACGTTTACCAAGTCGAGAACAACATCTCTGACCCTAACGTCAGCATGAAGCTCCGTCGTGGTGACCGTGAGTCCATTGAGACTGCCCTTGCCGAAGCCATGGAACTTATGGAAATCTCTGCCGATGATGCCGTTGCTGATGAGCTCAAGGCTGCCCAATCCAAGTTGAAGCGTGTCACCACTCGTGCTTTTGCTCACGTTTACTCTCAACGTCGTTAAGTTTCTTAAAGAAATTTAATCGTGTGTTTATATTATGTATAGTAAAATAAAAATAAAAAAGTTGAGAATACTGCTTTCCCATGTTCGTTAAAAAAATGATATCGTTTCGTTAAGTAAACTTGTTTATTTGTCGCTCAAAGCATGTTTTTCGAAACTTTAACAAACTTCTTTTTTGCTTTTTTGATGCAAAAATGTGTCCGTTAAGCTCCTGCATGTTGCAGAGCATCGCACTTTTAATTATTCCATTTTAGAAAATCAAACTTCAAACTTGTCATTAATGATTTTCTAGCTTTTTTTTTTTACATCATATCAACCGTATGATACGAATTTATTAAACGGGCAGTGATTTTTCATTATTTTTAGCACAAATGACGTGAGATGCCCTATCTTTTACTGCGATCAATTGTTTGTTTTTAAACAAACATTGATCCCAGCTGTTAAAAGACGATTTTAAAAGAATCGCTTTTATCACATCCCTATTATTTTTACTTGTAAAAATAAACCTTAATTATACCGATAAACTCCCCTTATCCATGTCGGATTTTATTTACAAATAAGTGCGAACTATTCCTCTTTCTCTCTTGCACTGAAAAAAATAAAAAATACATATCGAAATGAAGAGTTGTACGTCGTTTATATTGGCTGTTGCTGTATTTATATATTCTGTTTACTCGGAGGAAATGGCTCAAGAAGAAACGAACTATCATGGAACAATGTGCGATGAGTGTATTGAAACAGAGAGAAAATGTTTACACTGCTCCATGGTTGACAGTAACGATTCTGTGGCAGGAAAAAAAGCATTAACCGAATGGTACGATCCACATAGACGAATTTACGGATATTCCCACTTACAATCCATGTGAATAAAAAAACGTATTTTTAATTGTTTCGTCAAAAAATAAATAAAGAAAAAAAAGTTTATTAAAAGTAACGTATTAAGTCCAAAAAGATGTATGAATAGATGATGTGAGTTTATATAGAATTTAATCAATGATTTCTTCGTTCTCTTCAATGACCTCTTCAACCCATTCCTCGACGGCTTCAGATTTACCTTCGTCAGTTGCTTGGATCTCCTTGCCCAAAGCCTTACGCTCTTCATCAAGAGCACGCTCAGTAGACTTTCTCCAGGCATACCATTCTTCAACAGCCTTTCTACGCTCAGCGTGAAGTTTAGCAGCGGTGGCATCACCCTTGGCAAGATCATCCTCATCGAACTTCTTGGAGTATTGACGAAGGTTCTTCTTGATCTTCTTCTTTTGTTCAGCAGACAATAAGGAGTCGGGACGAGGACGCCATAACAATTGCTTGAAGTTCTCAATGTTTTGCTTGAATAAGAGTTGACCCTTGAAATCCCAAATACAGAAACCATGGTCAGCGGATTGACGCCACATACTGGAACCAGTAACAACATAACGACCAGTGGGGTCCCATTCAACATCACTGACACCATAGTGGTCTTGAGTAGACAAGAGTTGAACAGTGGATCCAACATCATTCTTATCCTTCTTATCACTGGCAAGAGGTTCAAAGTCAAGATCGTAGAACTCAAGATCAAAGACGGTAGATGAACGCAAAGTAGCCAAGACAATGTTGTGACCCTTAGGGGACCAGAAGAGGTAGTTGCATGTCTTCTTGTCGAGAGTCTTCATCAACTTAAAGCCAGCGTTAGCCTTCTTGGACTTATCAAGGTAGAAGAACTTGACGTCGGTCTTGACAGTAGAAGGAGCAACACCGTGAACAGGAGCAGCACCATAAGCGGGATCACTTGTAGTGATAGTAGCGAAACGCTCTCCATAAGGCTCCCAAGCAAAAGCAAGCATAGGATCCTTCAATTCAATAGTCTCAACAGGAATGTTCTTTTGGTTAACACGGAAGATTTCGATGTTGGCATAAGTAGACTTCTTGGTCTTGGTGTGACGATCGACCTTGACGGCCAAGAAATGACCTTGGTTTTGCCAGTACAACTTACACTCGGAGACGTTGAACAAATTCTTGGTGGCAATGACCTCCTTGGAAGGAATGGTCATCATGCTGACACGGGCAGGTTGATTTCCAACCTCAGGAGTCCAATAAGCAAGGACTTCTTCCTTTTGATAGATCTTGGGGTCAGAAACATCACCCTTGGCAGGAGACCATTCAAAGTCAACGATACCAGGAGTCTTGATACTCTTTTTACCGACCAAACCCATAGCAGGAGCTTCATAAACAGACAATTGTTGACCGGGTGTGATACGAGCAAGATGCTTCTCGTTAGCAGACCACTTGAACATGGGCCAGCGGACAGTCTTTTGTTCTTCGCCGACGGGTTGAACAACAGGGAATGAACGAAGTAAAGAACCAGTCATGATATCCCAAACAACAACTTGGTTTCCTTCATCGTATTCGGTGAAAGGATGGCCACTCTCGGGCAATCTAGCCAAACTAATGGGCTCATTAGACCAAGTGACAAGGTAACGTTCATTAGGAGAGAAATCGATCAATTTGACACCAGGGTGAACGAAACGAACAATCTTGTTCCAAGATGGGCCACCCCAAAGTGCAATACCTTGAGTATGGAATGTGGAGAGGAAGGAACCCTTAGGAGACCATTGAACATATGTTTCGGTCCAGTTCTATCATGCAAACGCACAAACATCAAACAAATTGATTAGTTTACAAAGAAAAATCAAACGAAGCGTAAAACTTACGGTTCTAGAGTAAACGTGCTCGGGAGCATCAGTCTTTCTATTCCAGAAGATAGACACATCATCACCTCTGTACATGACAAATTGATCGCGAGCTTGCAAGTCCATCAAAGCACTCTTCAAATGTTCCTTGGGAGTGTAAGGTTCAATTTGAGGTTCGACATATTCTTCATTCATGTCACTGTATTTCTCGACATCGGTGAACTTGTTGACAAGCAAAGTAACAGTTTTAGATAATTTATGACCATCTAAGTTCTTAACAGCAGCTTGGGCAGATTCAGGTGATTTGAAATCAATGAAAAGATAGCTATTGAAGAAACGCGAATGAATATCATAACTTATACACCACCCAAAAACACTTACCCAGAGCTAGTCTTCTTTCCTTCGTCATTAGGGGTCATAGGCATCCAGATACCATTTTCCTTAATCTCACCAGCACCTTTGGTGAAAAGCTTGGTTAAGACAGTGATAAGCTTCTCTTGTTTAGCTTCATCGACAATGGGGGCACCATCAACAACGACGATGGTATCGAAATCATTCTCGGAATCAATTTCGTACTTTTCATAAATATCGTCAAAGTTGATATCTTCTTCACACTCAGGAAGGTTTTTGAAATCGAGACTAGACATCTATTCTGCAAATGTTTCTAATTAAATTTAAAGGTGATTCAATTATTGGAGCCCAAAAAAACTCTTTTTTTCATAAAAATAGTGACTTCTGACTCCACTAAACACAGATTTGAATGTGGCTTATACCATACATAAAATCATGATACATCATTGCTTCAAAATACCACGGACCGGATTTGCTAATGATATGAAGGTGCGTACATAATATTACGTTGAGGATCACTCATAATCAACTATCAAAACGCAAACATGGAATTAGAACAGTCGGATACTTTGTATGTATTCAATGGTTCAGGTTTCGTGCTGTGTCGTCACCATTCACGATATGAAATCAGTTACATGAGGGACAAATGCACAGGTGGCCTCAAAAAGGAGACATAACCATTATTTAAAAATTATAGTTATCAGGACTGTCCAGGACATTTGTGACATTTTAAACAAAATTTACATAACTGTAATGTCCATGAGCCTTTATTATTTTTATTTTTTTAAACATCAGTTTTAGCGATTCTCTGCTGGCTTTTGAGCTAGAAATTCTAATAAATCAAAACTCACCATATCTTCAAAGTGTGCTCAATAAGAATTGGATAGGAAAAAAAGGAATTCAAGAAGAGACCTTTAAGTTACAATTTCACTGGTAAAGTTCAAAAAGATATTCTATAAACATGTGCAAATATTATCTTCAATCAAATGTAAAGATTGTGATGAATATCGTCTTATAAAATAGGTCGTCAATGTAAGCATCATAATTTTAAAGCAGCACATAGTGCATTTTAAACAATAGTATGTCTGCAACTACTTGATTAGTTGGTTTCACAAAAACAATAAGAGGAAAAACGAGATGTGTACATAATAAAAAGAAGGTAGAGTATAATAGAACGGATGAGGAGCATAGTCCAAACTAGTGACCTGTGCTCCCAGGCTGTCACTAAATTGGTCGCGACACTTCTATGTCAAATGACTAACAGTATCTAGTTTTTGAAAAAAGAAGATCCAAACACAAATTTTCCTTTTTATGATTGCACAAGTATAAATTTGGAGCAGCTTTTCAAAGAGACTTCATATAACATAAAGATAAAGCTCCCGAAGCCAATAGTTTTGAATAATGCGTCATAGTTGAATGTATCGACAATATATACGAATGGTGTTATTGAGTTCTTTGATACAAGTCTAAAGCATATATTTTTAACAACGCTATGGATTTTTGTGTATTTTTGAAGTTAATTTTAATTTAAACTAATTTTTTTTAAAAAATCTTCGACATCATGACAAGTGAAGAAGTGTACGGTACTTTCTTTTCGTTATAGACCCTAATCGAAGACAAGTTTTTGGTTCAGCCTAGATAGTGACGGCGATAGCTCCCATCAAATAAGACGATGTTCTCCAAAAGAGTACTATAAATTAACAAGCTCCAAATGACACATAAATATAGACAAATATTTAAAGAGAATAGACAATTATTCTCAATGATCCCACTCCAAGACAGCTTTACTTTTCAATATTTACAGAATATATGACCTCATCTAGGTAGAATACTAGCTTTTAATCATTCCCCAACTGCTGAAAGACGGTTCTACCAATACCTAGATATGCGTTAAAAGTGCAAGAGAAGAAATGGCCAGCATTCTAGCAAGTGTTGGCAGGAAGTTAGAACATAAAAGCAAGAGAAATATTTAAAAAAAGAATAGACAAAAACTCGAAGAGAAAAACAGTGGATTCTTCTCCAACACTTCTTTTGATAACACCAGTGATATCATTAGGCGATGATATGCTTACTAAGAACCAAAACATGATCAAAACTCATCCAATCAATGGAAATAACCGTTTCCGGTTATTTTGACAACCTTGAAAAAAAAAAAAGGTTGTTTTGATACTTCTCCAAATCAAACATGGTTTATCTCTAATAAGAGTGGACTGTTAAATTAAAAGAAAACCCCTATCGTCCAAATTTAGAGTAAAAACTGTACATAGATGCATTTATTAAAATACGAATAATTTTTGGAAGGTAATTCTAATTTTTGGGATTGTGGGAGTTTATCGTGTCTCAAACTTATGCTTTTCTAGCAGCACGTCTAGCGCGAACACCTTCACGAAGCACATCTAATGTCTTGACGGTATCATCCCAGTTGATACATGCATCTGTAATAGATTGACCATAAGTCAAACGATGAGGGCCTTCAGTAGGAATATCTTGACGACCTTCAACCAAGTTAGATTCAATCATGACACCAACAATGTTATCACCAGTAGTCTTGGGCTCAGCTAATTGGTCAGCCTGTAAAAAATTAAGATTAGATATCCTACCAAGTAAGTCCTTAATTTAACTTACAATAGATTGTGCAACAATAGGTTGACGGTTATGGTCCTTGGAAGAATTACCGTGACTGCAATCAACCATAACAACGGGTGCCAACTTGACCTTTTGGAGTTCTCCGGCTGTCTTTTTAATAGCTTCAGCATCAAAGTTGGTACCACTCTTACCACCACGAAGGATAACGTGACAGGCGTCGTTACCTTCAGTTTGAACAATAGCAGACAAACCTTGTTTAGTGACGGACAAAAAATGATGACCGTTGCTAGCAGCTCTAATAGCATCATAAGCAACACCGTTAGAACCATCAGTACCTATTAAAAGATGATTTTTTTGTAAGCTTCCCATTGGCTAATGTAGATCTAATAACTGATTGTACCACCTACCATTTTTGAATCCGACAGGGCAAGATAAACCAGAAGCTAACTCTCTGTGAATTTGAGATTCGGTTGTTCTGGCACCAATAGCACCCCAAGAAACAAGATCACCAGTGTATTGAGGAGAAATCTATGAGTCTATGTCAGTAAATATGCACTGATTGCTTTCGTGTTGAAAATTAGAAAACTTACGGTATCTAAGAACTCACAACCAGTGGGAATACCCATTTCGTTCTACAATCAAGGAAAATCTGTCAGTTTTTTTTTCTCCAGTTAATCACATGCTACTTACAAGATCCAACAATAATTGACGGCCAATACGGAGACCCTTGTTAATTTCGTAACTGGGTAAAGGAAGTGTCAGTATGATAGCTCCTTTTAAATTCTAATAAGTGGACTCGCTTACCTGTTGTTCATGAAAGGATCGTTGATCAAACCCTTCCAGCCAACGGTAGTTCTGGGTTTTTCAAAGTAAACACGCATGATAATCAAAAGATCATCCTTGGCAGTTTCATTATATTCAATCAAAAGCTTGGCTACGTTTGGAAGAAGACATTAGCAAAAGAAAATAAAAATATATACAGCGGTGGAACTTACCGTATTCAAGAGCAGCCTTAACATCATGAATGGAGCAAGGACCAACAACGACCAAAAGACGATCATCAGCACCCTTGATGACATTCTCAGCGGCCTTTCTACCTTCAAGAATGGTTTGGGCAGCCTTTAAAGTAAGAGGAATATCTTCCATGAGGATTTGAGGAGGGATAAGAGGCTTGATACCCTTGATACGCTTGTCATCAAGCTCATTTAAAGCTACGTTATCCGTAGTGATTTGTTAATGACATTGCTATTTAAATGACAACGTATGTCTTGCTAAAATAAGCCTACCTTCAGTAATAATTGTACGTGTGTTATGAGACATTAGAGAAGGGGGATTTTTCTTTTTGAAAAAAAATGGGATTGAGAAAGAAATGCAGAAAAATTATCTGACTCACAATTTGTTAACCCTCTTATAAGCTTTTTGTTTGGCCAATAAAATTATACTGGCACAACATTGACCAATGCCGGATGTACAAAAAAAAACATTTTATGCGCTAGTTTTAAAAAAAAGTTGAGAAAGACAATCCGTGATAAATCAAGGATGAAGGCTTAAATATTTTTAAGTGGATTTATCAACATATTCCGGGGTATAGGGTTACGATAAGATAACAAGTAATTTTATGTGAAGTCAACATTTGTTTGCTTTGTGTTGTACACTATAATATGACTAATAATGACTTTTTTCTTTTTTTTTATTTAAAAACGGAGCTTCGGCTTACATTAAAAAAATGAGTTAACAAAACCCTTAAGACCGGTATCAAAGTTTGTATCAGTTGCTATAAATCGACGTTTTATACTAATAAAAAAAAAATTAAACCCTGAATAGGGAAGCGTTCATGTACACATAAAGTGATTCAGCCTTGAACATTTGGCCGAAAATTAAGTCATTGATCGATACGTCATATTCTGACCTTTTTCACTTGATTTCAAAAGCCACTTTGTTTGAATTCCGTCCAATAGTATTATTTTTCTGCTCTGAATTAAACCGTCAAAAAGCAAGCCATGTCGACCTCGTTCTCAACTATTATCTTTAGTGTACTCACAATTTTTGATGACGACCAGATTTTTTGCTGCTGTCTAAACGCCATATTTATAACTAGTCACTGTTACACTAAAGTTCTTAAGGGTTTGGCATCGGGACTTCATTAGTCGATCATCCGTGACACTGGGTGACTCTTTACAATGAACGCTAGTTTATTGAATTACCTAAGAGCAGTCGCATGTTTCTATTCAGGAAGGCGCTTTTTAAGCTATATTTACACATACATTTCTCTTTTCATCAAGACGATTAGCATTGGCTCTATAGGTATCTGGTAATCTAAGACACCGAGGAAGAAAAAAAAGGGTTACCCTCACTAAGAAACTACCATAGAGGCTGCATTTGATTAAGCATGTGCGTTACAGTTGAATTTACTTCAGAATAGCTAGCACGGCAACGCACTTATATTCTTCAGTGAGTATAGAACGGTAAAACATTACTACGACCAAAAAAAAAAAAAAAAATCATTTCACAACGCGAAGCTGTGGCCCCAAATGACCCTGTATCCAAAAGAGGGCCAACGAAAGAACTGCGTTCATTGATACTTATCTCGATATATATTGGAAGACCTCTGGTCTCGGTCCACCAGAATTTTTATATGGTCAGCAAGTATCTCTAATTGAAGGTGTCATGATCTTTACAGCTCATAGTGATTTAGTGTTCAGATGCGTTTGTATAACCATTTGAGTCCTGCGGGTAAGCGTTTATATGTGCCAAATAAAAGCTGAAATAATATCGCTAATAGATGACATGAAGGCTTAATTAATACATTAAGACAATCTGAAATCTACAGAGAAATGACCGTACCGACAACAAAATTTGAGTAACCTTCAGCTACGAAGTTACTTCGTACTTTTGTATTATACTGAAAATAGTTGAACATGTGAGGTCTTTCTATGAACTTGTTGTTATTTCTTCATGTAGAATTACTGTGTTTGAAGTGTTTCTAATTACATCGTTCTTGGACTTCATGCTACATGGGTATTACTTCCAAAATAATGTATCAAAATATTTCTGGTCTTCGATCAACAACTCGTCAAGACAGGATAGCACTTACGTAAAGCAATTAATCTAGATTCTGGTGTCCTTAAGCATCTACTGTTTTCAAAAAAAAAAACACCTGAAAGCAGATACGCAACTCATTTTACCGTCTCTGTCGAAAAAAACAGTAATTTTTACAGGAGATTACTTCAAAAATTATTGGAGTATGTGTTACAATAAATCTTGGAAAACGGGATTTGTTATTCTGTGTAAAAATTTAACAGCAAACAATTAAATCGAAAATCATATACCGTCGAATTCGTACACCTGTAAAACCTGTTCCAGTATTAGCCGCTGTAAGCATTTCAATAGATTACAATTTCTTAAATAGAGGTGTGTTTTAATAGCATCATGCTAACAGGTCTAATATGACGAGTCTTATTCAAAACCACTTTGGCATCTTCCGAACCAACCATCGTATTACTCACCCCTTGCGGCTTTCTGCATATTTTAGAAGACCGCAACAAAACGAGGAACTAAATTTACAGACGAAATGAAAAATATGGTATTGATGCGGCTTATGTCATAGGCAAATATTTTGCCTATAGTAAAGCTTTTAAGTCATAGTATAGGGGCGTAAATTCTGTTGGATGCTTTAAAAACCTAATTAATAGGCCTACTTGATTGACTAATATAAAATAAGCCAGCGTTAGCCTTTCTGTAAACTTAGAAGTTTTGAAACGTTTTGAATTATAAATAACCCATGCCCTCGTGGACGAAGAGTAAATTCTCGTGTTATTAGACATGTTTTCCTAAGTATATTGATCTTACTTGTTAACTGCTTTTGGCTCTTATCACAAATCTACAAATTAAGATTGAAGAGCAATATACCCAAATGGAGTAGTTTCTGGCTTATGAAATTGAGATATGGCTGCTTTTAAGTATGATTGTTATTTTTCGTTCAGTTCGTGCCGAAAATAATATTACTCCAAGAATCGGACGTGGGGAAGATCTTCAGGAACAACGCAGAAGAGCAAGATCATAGATTAAATTATCGCGATTGCAACTAAAACAAGATGGTGATCTTAGCATCCATTCCTGCAGAAACAACTTATTATCTAATAATCACACATCATGAATAAATGATCTGATATTAAAACCAGCCTTTGTAGACCTAAAGATCAATCTCTAGTTTTATCTTTCAGTTTTTTTCTGGGATACAATGAATGTATATTAGTTTGCAAGATTGTCCTCCTTTTAAATTTCTATTTCCTAACAAGGGATTACAACATAACCAAACTAATACTAGAATGTTTGACAACCAAAAATCTTCCGGGTCCGTTATGACTACCAATGATTATAAACGGATTATCCTTCTCATTTTATATAACTCTCTTTAAATTATTCACTTTAGCTGAATTATACAAGAAGGTTATTTATGCACTTTGAGTAATACACGGAGGGGGGGTTGGAGAACATCATCCAGCGTTGAGACAGGATTTGAGAAAGTTATATTGTAGATAACCTTAAATTACACAGACATAACCTAAAACACAATGCAATTGTTTTTATCAAAGAGTGGTTATTTATTGTTTTGTGTGCCCACCAAAAACTTTTTGCACGGCTGGCCACCTATCAGGCATGCTGACCAAAAGCTCTTTATAAAACATTGTAGTTGGTTTCTGCTGTTCCTCATAAAAGACAGCCTCTAACAGCCTGGGATTGTGACATAGACGGCTTCGCTTACATACTTGATTTTCCAACAGGTATTACTTTTTTTTTATTGGGCCTAGATTTAGACTTTAAACTGAACAGTAGTTAAAGTCCTTGATACTGATCTTTCCTTTCCGACATTTTGTGTATATCTTATTATGGCAGGAAGCATCATCTTCTTAAAATATAAAGTACTGCTAATAAATGACTATTAGTTTAGAGGGGATCTAACAAACAAAGATCATGGGGAGCTATTCTTCTCCTTCGATCATGATCAAAGGGGGTTTTCGAAAGTGATTTAGAAGCTTTTTGAAACTCTTTGCATTACTATTCAAGTATACAATGGACCGTGTTATCATTTAAGTCAAGTTCTTTAACACTTTTGTATGGCGTAATATCAGGATGCATGCACATAATGCAAAGTCTACGAGTGAAGATGTCAACATGTTTCCTCTTTTAACGGTTTTATTATTGAAAGTGTTATGTTATACTCGTCCGATAAAATTAATATATTATCTGGTAGAGTAAAAAAAAAGTCTTTTTTTTTTTGTATGAATTATGTACACTTTAAAACTTATTACACGTGTCTAGTAAACTTCTGTTTGAAAACTATTATAATTTTGTCTGATTCTTTTTGACATTGATTTGAATATTTTTGTACTGCTGTCCAAAAATATCAAAGTTTGTCTGAAACTTCTTATTCTGTCAGAAAGCGATTGATAGTTTCTTGATAGAGTTTAGGGCTCAGCCGAAAAAGGAGCGGGATACGAAACGAAGGTCTCACAAACAGCGTTTTCTTGGTGTAAAATAGAAACATGGAAGTTTTAAAGAATGATGCTGAATTGGATTATCTCTAACAGTGTGACTGTTTAGCAACAGACGAAGATGCCTCACTTTTCTGAGTTTCCTCACTTTTTCCCTTTTATTTCCTTTTCTCTTCTTTAATAGAAATAGAAGGGACAACATTCATTACATCATGTCTTCACCGAATAATTCAAATGGGGGACTCCAAAGATCACTTTCTAGTCATCTACAACGACTCAATATCCGTACGCCGGATTCTTCAGCACCAAGTTCACCTGATATTTCCGAGAAAGATATTGGTTAGTATATTGTTAATTGGGTAACGATGATGATTATTAACTAGTACATAAAAGGACGTAAACTGACAACAAGCAGTAGCAATAACCCAACAAAGCAATCGTCATCATCATTTTTATCCAGAACCCTTTCATCGAAACGTGATAGAGCTGATTCAGTGGGACGCAATAGACCATCGCCACCACTTCCACCACCTATTACACATAAAGAGAGCGATCATAGCGACGATTCAAGTAGTAGTACACCACAATTATCCCCATTAAAAGACCTACCACCAAGCAGTGCGTTCGGAAAGGCAAGAGATAGATCCACATTTAAGGGAGTCATTGATAAATTTGTGGGCAGTTTTAATGGTAACAATATTGACAAAAATAAGAAGTAAAAAAATCTTGTGTTTATTAATTATCCCTACACCGTACCTAGACTTGCTAAATAAAGACAAACAATCGAATGATCAAGAAAAAGAAATGGAAATTTCTGGTCCATACAACGCCAAACATGTTACACATGTTGGTTTTGATGCCAGTACTGGCGAGTTTACTGGATTACCTCAAGAATGGCAAACATTATTACAGCACAGTGGTATTTCAAAAGTGGAACAATATCAAAACCCGCAAGCTGTCTTGGATGCTATTGGTTTCTACCAAGAAAATCGTGATCACGATGAATTAGTGTATCATAAAATGGAAAAGGCACACGCTTTAACAGATGAAGATCAGATAGAACTTAATGAAGATGAAACAAAGGTTCGTTGTATTTTTTCTATCTTTTATTCCCATATACTCATTATAAAAATAGAAACAGGAAAGATTAGATGAGCAATGTAAGTTATATTGAACGTATGACAAAGGAATATTCTAAAAATATTCAATTATAGTGTATCACCAACACCTTCAGCAACAGCAGCAACAGCAACAGTATCAACAATATCAACAAAGACAACTTCAATTACAACAAGAACATAAATTAAGACTGGATCAAGAACGGCTTTCCCCTTCTTCCCATGCTGCCAGAGATTACGATATAAAAAGAAAACTGAGCTCGAAACAACGTGATAACAAACCCAAACCGCAGTTACAGCAGCAGAATTCATTGACAGGATCACCCGGAACCGTAAAACAACGTGTTAAAGAGAGAAAGCATACAATGAAAGATGCTGAAGTTATTGCAAAATTAAGAACTATATGTACTGAATCTGATCCTAGTCTCGTCTACAGAAACATGCGAAAGATTGGACAAGGGTAAGAGTGATTATTTCATTTTGTACATATTTTGTTCTCTGATCGTCCTGTATTACCTAGAGCCTCTGGAGGTGTATATACCGCATATTCTGATCACTGTGATTTTCCTGTTGCCATTAAACAAATGAACCTTGAACAACAGCCCAAGAAGGAGTTAATTATTAATGAGATTTTAGTCATGAAGGAGTCTAAACAAAAAAACATTGTCAATTTTATCGATTCTTACTTATGGCGTGGAGATTTATGGGTCATCATGGAATACATGGAGGGTGGGAGTCTTACAGACGTTGTAACCAATAACATGATGATGGAAGGTCAAATTGCTGCCGTTTGTCATGAAGTTCTGGAAGGTCTCCAACACTTACATTCCAAGGGTGTTATTCATCGTGATATCAAGAGTGATAATATTTTGTTAAGTTTGTATGGTGATATCAAATTAAGTAAGTAGACCGGACACAGGGAAGCAATTAATAGCACAAATCTAATTCAAAAAGTGTAGCCGATTTCGGTTTCTGTGCTCAATTAAATGAGATGCAATCTAAGCGTACAACAATGGTTGGGACACCATATTGGATGGCCCCTGAAGTAGTTACTCGTAAGGAATATGGTCCCAAGGTAGATATATGGTCTCTTGGTATTATGGCAATTGAGATGGTTGAAGGTGAACCACCTTACCTTAACGAAAACCCTCTTCGTGCACTGTATTTAATTGCTAACAACGGTACCCCTAAGCTTCAGAACCCTGAAGCGCTTTCACCGGTATTCCGTGACTTTTTGGCAAAATGTCTAGAGGTTGACGTAGATGCTAGACCTTCCGCTGCAGACATGCTGAACCACCCATTTTTGAGATTAGCCGATCCTTTACCATCCCTTGCCCCTCTTATCAGAGCTGCTCGTGATGCTGTTAAAAGAGAAGAATAAATATTTTTTTTATAACAAAAGACTCGATGCTACAATATTACTGTGTTCTTGATTTGAAGTTCGGAAGGAGGTAAAAAATAAATGACAGAATAAAAAAAATCTTAGACAAGGCTTGTAAGTCATCGATTCCGATGAGTTCCAATGCGTCTATCTTCTGCAGCAACTGTCCTCCAAGCAGCCTTAAATATGAATATTTAAGTATCCGAGGAAAAACAAAGATTTATGTCAATTTGATTCTAAATACTTGATCGGCACTCCTCAATTGGAAGTTGTGAAAGCATGTCCCAGAGTTTTTAAACTCGACTTTTGGTCCAATCAACACATCGAGAGTGATGAACGTGTATTACTTATTTATAACAATATAATAGCTTTGTGAGTGCCGTGCTTTACTAAAGTACTAATGATGTTTCGAAATCGCCTACGTAGTATTCTATTAATTTCGAGGAAAGTTCAATAATACAGCATGTAGCTTAAATGATGCCTTGTGAGACTGCATGCGCTAATGACATAAGCTATTTTGAAGTAAGCAATGACACCAACAAGTGAATGTTATCAGAAATCATGCTAAATGTCCGATTACTTGTGTGATCTACTTTAGTTCCTGTTAAGCTTTTAAGCGCAAAAACACTCCATATTCGAAAAGGCGGTACCGATAAAGCTGTTATTGTTGATTTCCTTGTCCACAACAAGTACTAGGCTTACTAATTCTAGAGACAAATAGATAGACAAACATCCCACACATTCTTAACGGCGTTGGTGTTTATTTTCCATAACAAGGTTTGGAAATTAGAACAACGTATCAACTGAGGATTTGTGTAGAAAGAGCTCATAAAAATACACCTTTAAATACATTATGAACTGTCAATGCAGAATATGAAAACGTTAAAATTCATAGGATACATCCTTTGATAGCCTTTGTCTGGAATTTTTTTTTATTCTATTTGTACAGATATATATATATATATATATATATTACGTTAGTCTGAATCATTTTTTTACTGCTGTCTGAAATATTATTTTTTGTATGAAAACTGCTGTCTGAAATATATTTTTGTTCATCTGAAAACATTTTTATGTATCTGTAATAATAATTTTTAGCTCCAAATATGGACTCCGGTTTTTTCTCACCTAGACCTCTTTTTCCCAATGTCAATAATCAAAACAAAGTGTCCTTCGCTGTCCGATGTAAGAATACTTAGATAAGGAATGTGTCAAATATAGGCTAATTTACACTGAAAAAAGCTGTCGCAATCTATTGGGCCCATTGACGGTACAGATTCAAAGAGAGTATGGATCGCTTTAGTCATTACCTTTGTTGCAAAAATTAACACCGTTTTATTTTAATTTATAGGCACTTAAGCCCTTATGTGACAATATATTTGATGTCCAAAGAAGTGAATTGGTTGAAGTGTTAGAGCGCTTACGTATAGCCTTCTGGAGCGATGAGGATTCTTTACCTATTCCCATGGCAATCTTGCCGCCAACTTTACAGGAAGCGCCAGCCCCACAGACACAACCTTCGACGCCACAAAACTTCAAGCGTGTATTTTCAGAACACGATGAAGATTCATCATATCAAAATACTATGATGGAACCAAAGTCAGCTGAACGAAAACGCATGAGGTTATGTGGTAAAGTATCCCCATAATATGTATCCGTATATACATATATAGGAAGGTTAATATACAATATATTAATTTTATATCTTGTCTGTTATAGAAGACGAACGATTATCAAAGAAATCGTCTGTCATACCACCATCACCTAAATCATTACCGTCATTTTCATCGCTGTGGCCGTTAAAGAAATCAATAATAAGACAGATAAAAACATCCAACAAATACAACGAACCACACTTACTAAAAGTGTTAACGGATTTGTATCAATCCAAATCAACTGAACAGAATAATCACCTGGCTTTATATTTGATCCCTGTTGCAAAAGCGATGCGAAGGGATACAATTACTAAAGTATTGGAACAATGGCAAAAACCTAGAGATTAATACTCGAAATTTTTTCAAGCTAGTAAAACAAAGTCCATGACATCGTCCTATTAAGTTGTATGAAGGCAATATTAAAACAATTTCTAGGTAGTCAACTGATATTTAATGAAATATATTAAAGAACACGTTATTTATAAAGAATGAAAACACACGCGCAGAGAAAAATACTCACTCTGCCAAACATGGACGTCTCTTGTTTTCCAAAAAGTTTGAGGTAGGTACCTACATATGCTTACCTAGTTAAAAAGGTCCGGCCTACATTGGTTTATGTGATGAACCTCTCTTAGTGTATAACGAAGATAGTTATCCATCCCCCTCCCCTCCCTCCTGTGGATACCAAAAGACGGACTGTATTAAGTTAATTTTGCAATTCTCATTCCATATACTCTAGGTGCTGTGTCACGAGTCGTGATAAAAATATTTCATTCAAAAGTTTTTAAACCTCCTTCAAGAATTACTATCATACTAAAAGAGACCATAAATTTGGCGCGAGAGACATGTCTGGGGGGACAATCACTCGGAAAATTGAGTCACCGGATCGACTGGCTTGTCGGTATTTATTTGATAAGTCATACCTTTTAAACGAAATGATGTTAGTATCTGTACAATTATATGTGTTTGCCGTCGCCATACTTATGTGTATTATAAAAGGTACGCCTAAATGGCGGAAGCGGCTGAGCATCGATCGAGACTATGGAAGAAAAACCAATTAACCCAATGTTTTTTGCACCGTTTTGATCACGGTTAATGGTTGTTGATTTTGAGGAGATTCTTCTTGGGCACTTCGAGTTGTTGCAAACTACTGCCCCTTTGAGCCTTTTGATTTTGCCGTTTCTCCTGACAAGTTGCTTACTTGTGCAAGAAAAACATGAGCTGCATGTTACTGTTGACTTGTACTCGTCAACCACCGCAAAACTGTCCAGTTCTACACTTTTTAGTTGTGTTATAAAAGGGTCTAAGCTTCTTCTAGTATGACCCTTTATGTAAGTCGAAACACCAGACCAGTTTCCCAGAAATGATATGACGCTACGGTTTTTACCAGAGTTACCTAAAAGTCGGAACAGTTTCTGCCTATATGAGGAATGCAGATGCTGGTAATATCTTTTCAGACGAATACTCCTAGTGACTTGACGCTGGTTTAGATACGACGGTGTAAGCTCCTTTTTGTTTTTAATTTTTCTTTGTCTCTGTATCATGTGCTTGGTGTCTAGTATAGCGCTATTTACTCCCTTTGCCGTCAGTTCAAAGGTCACTTCATTTTCGACATCATGGTCACAATTTTCCAGACTTTCCAGTGCGCTATACCTATTAATACTTTGAAACATAGAAGAAGATTTGGTTGCACTGATTGAAGCAGTTGTTACAACACCTGGATCTAAGCCTTGAATAATTGCTTGGCCTGATATGATGCTATTTTGTGATTTTTCAGAAAGACATATACCAGCTGTTGGGGTTGGTTCATTCTGATTATGTATCCCTTTGTTTAAGCAATACATTTCTGAGCTCTTGGTCTTAATTGATTTATTCAAAGAAAGAAGTTGACTGTATATTGCGTTACATTCCTTGCGGCTAGTCTTCAAGTTTCGATAGAGGTCTGAATCACAAGTCATTGTACCTAACTTTTGGTTTTTTCTAAAGGTCTGGCCAAGATCCATTCTAGTATTTTCTATCTCACGAACGTTTTTACTCAAACGGACTTGCAATGCTTTTTCTTCTTTGATTTCTTTGTGAAGACGTTCGACCTTCAGTTTCCTATTTTCGGTATTACTATCCAAAGAGGTAAAACTACTTGTAGAAGTAACGTGTGGCACTTCTTCCGTTTGCAAGTTTTTATACCCAAGAAAGTTTAAGCTGTACTTATGACAAAACTTAAATGAATACATTCACCCTGAAACTTTTTACCGGTCTAAACATATTTTGGACCGATACCGCCGGTATCGGTGCAATTTTTAGAAATTACAGATACCGGCGGTCTTTTTTAAAGATTGCACCGATACCGATTTTTAAAAAAAATGAAAATCACTGCAAAATCGAGTTTTGTAGTTTAATAAACATATATTACGATACCTATATAACTTATATGATTAAAAGAAAATTTATTAAGTTAATACGGTGACCGCAACAGGGGGTCAAAAAGTGTATCTTGTTCATTACGCGTTTGGTGTTACACGATTAGGCTTTTTTTGTATCGTGCTTTCAATTGACTTACGCTTTTTTTTTTTTTTTTTTTTTTTTTTTCACTTCTTCGCTAGTTTTAACGGACGAATAACTATCAAAACATATTCACTTTTTAAATGTCTCTATGACAAAGTATTGACATTTTTTTTGTCACATATATATTACAAATAAAATGTTTATAGTATCAAAAGCCATGGGCTTTATGTCCAAATTTTTGCCACTCAATAAATAGCCGCAACACTTTTTATTGAAATCACCCTCCTTCTTAGATTTTTCTTTCTAGTTTCCCCATTTTTTCCATCTTGTAAAGAGACAAGTTATAGGAAACAAAAGAGTGGTCAAAGGGTCATTGAAAATACCTATCAAACGCACTGGAAGAGTACTCTATGTTTGTGTGTACCGTTCCTGTACGTAATATCTATTGAGTTTAAAAAATCATTATTTATAAATCTAATATTTTTTTTCTTTCTTTTTTTCCTTTTTTCTGTTTTCTTTTTGACAAATGACCATGAAATAGTATGTATAATAATCGATACCATAATTTAACATAAAATTAATCTTTTACAGTTATGTAACTCTGTTTGATGTAGTTTATGAATAATAAATATTGTGTTTGCGTTCATGGTAGATGAACTACATTCTTTTCGAGGTAAGATTTATCGCTATAGTCACCTTCATTCCTGTTATTAATATCAATATATGTCTATAGATTTACTGTACGTTTACTGCTTGTAAATTTAGACCCGGACGACCTGTTTCTTTATTAAGGTATGATGTGTTTTTTTATCTTTTTTATACTCGTTATTAACGTTAGTTCTTATTATAGGTAAGTACCGCCCAGACGCGTTTGTCTATAACAGTTGTAACTACTAGCTCAATAAGTTGGTATGGGCGGGTTAGTTTCGTCTTTCATCTGTAAAACCAATCTGTGCGTTTATTTATTCAAACATTTGTGGCTCTTTTTTTCTTTTTCTTTTTTTTTTCAATAAAATGTCTTTTTTTTATTCAATATATGATGTCTAAATTTTTGGGTTTACAAGGGTAGCAACTCGTGAACTGAATACGTAAACTGTATTATTATCCAATAGAATTATTTGCCAAAACCATCGTTTGTAATCATCAGTATCGGTCCAAAAATGCGACCGATTTTTTATAAAATCGGTCCAATTTTTGGACCGTTACCGCCGGTCTAACTTTTTCATTTTTTTTAAAAAATTGGACCGATAAAAAGTTTCACAGTGATTGGGGTTAGTTTTTGTTCCTGGATAATTCTTTCAATCATGTTTAAATTGAAAAAGTTTGAAAAAACCGCCTTCTTGTCCTCTATGGATTTGATTGTTGCCGAACTCGTAAACATATTTACACCATCGAGCTTGAAAATGTTGTACTCTTTAGCAAATAAAAGATATAAAGTCCTGGTATCAACATTAATAGACATTTTTTGCTTTTCTTCGATCTTTTTTGGAAACATTCGGTTTTCCTTAAATCTTGTACCTGTCGGACCAATAAACTTGACCAACGAGTTTCTGATTTTGCGCATCTGAAAAAATCTGAAAGCGTTTTTCTCATCTTTTTTACAACTTATTAGTCGTAACTCGTTGACTATTCTAGCAGAAGTGTCTAATGCATGGGCGGGTATAGATTCTTGCTTATCGTAATAAAGTTGCTTTTTGATATAGGCTGCGTCTACATTTCCTTCGATGGAAGGGGACGTAATCAACATTGTGCATACTGCACACAAAGCTTTAATCTCTTTGGCTGACAGGTCTTTGACATCGTTATCATTGGTATCTAACTCAGTAACATTATCAATTATTACTAAATCTTCGTCATTCTCATTAAAATCTTCGGCGTCTTCTTTGTGTAAAAATTATAAAAACGAAGCTTTTTAAAAACAATACGTATGACTGTGTCCCATTATTTATTACCTTCAAATTCGTTGGAATTATCATCTTTATTTACAGGTGGTTCCAAATCTGAACGGCCCCTCTCACAAGAATTGAAAACACCGTCGATAAATTTCTCCACAACATGTATTTTGTTCAGCTTTCCTGCGTTATATTTTGCAATCGCGTCAAACAAATCTATCATGACCCTTTTTTGGTGTCGCTTTTTAACTGTTTTGAGGGATTTTTGTGAATTTTGTTTCTGCTTCTTTGATGCATGTGGATGGTTCAGACGATGGGATTTCTTCGGACAAAGATGCAAGCGTAAAATAAGGGTAAGTGTGACTCTCAAATCAGAAACAAATCTTTGATAGGTCCACATGTTTGAAAAATTGGTAAAGAACTGTTTACACGCAGAAACTAAAGTTGGTGTGGTTGTAAAGTCACAATAGTTTTCGCTTGATATTTTTCTTGATACGTAGTCAATCACCCTATATGACGAGTAAAATAAGTTAGGAATCACTGCTCTCAATATAATAATTAAGCATATCTACTTACGGGTGTTTATACTCGTGTGGTTTTTTTCTACCTACTGAACTGGAAAGCAATTTCCAAAAGCCTTTAAACGTAAATATATCACTTTGCTTTAAAAATGTTTCATCACTGTCATCTATAATCGCGATTTTCTCTTGGCCAGTTTCAATTTCGAGTGAGGGCAAATCAATGAATTGAAAATCAAAAAAGGTGCGCTCTCTAGAAGGAAGAATATCACCTGATGTAATACCGTCAACCAAAATCTCCGTTGCTTTCGAAAGGCCCGAACAGCATTTATCACAGATCTCTTGCAGATCTTCGAGCTTTTTCAAAAAGATGCTATAGTCCAAGTCTTTATTAATTACTCGTTTTAGGCTTCTATTGACTGTTCTATAAGCATTATCTTCTACATCTTGGTCTTCATTTTCATCGATTGCCGTATCTGTATCCTCAGACGCACTATCTTGTATTGATGATTCTAAGTTTAAACCCATAATAAAGTCACTGATACATTTATCGATGCTGATTTTGCCATTTTGTTTGAGTCGATTGATTTTTTGTTGCACCCACAATGCTGACGTTGGTATATCTTCAAGCTTAACGGTCGGAAAGTGATTTTGCCTGATCAACTGCTCAATCTTTGTTTTTACAATACCAGCAGAGCCTGTTGGAAACTGTTTCGTTGATAAAGTTGACGAAAATTTTTGTATATTTTCAGATAAGGTTTTGTGCTTGTCAATTTTGAACTTGGACCATTTCTTTTGATATAATGTGTTCGTTTCTTCAACAAGCAGCCTTATTATTTCATCATCTATAACAGAGGAGACACTTTGTCTCTTTGCTCTAGGTTTTTTCTCGTCTGTGGCTCGTTTTTTAGCTACAATATTCTTGAGAATTTCACTGGTGGGGGTGGTATCACCTGACATATCTTTGGGTCTGTTTTTGAGTTCCAATCCAAACCATTCAACAGTACCAGTATACGAATTAATTGATTTTAACACACCAAGGTACGGTAAAGAGCGGTCTTGACGGTGCTTGTTGTTGGGATGAATTATTGCTGGTTTGGACCTACTTGAAAAGCAGTAGATTGTATACCCATAGACTTGACTAAAAGCGTAAAGCAATAGCATGTCTTTTGGAATAGCAGTGAGATTTGGATGCCTATCTGAATGCAACACAAAATTATTCTCCAATTTTCCATTAAGAACCCCAACCAAGTATTGTATGGGTGAAGTAACCATCATTATGTCGATATTTTCGTCCATTTTTTTACGAACCACATGTATTTTATGTTTCTTCAGAAACTTGACAGTGCTCTTAATACTTTCATTGAAACTATGCGTATAGTTGTTCATTGCATTAAGAATTATATCACGAAAACTGTTATCAATAGGCATGGTAGGAGAAGTAATGTTTATGTCAACATCTTTGCAGGAAAAACGAAGCAGCTGCTCATCTAGTTGCCCTAATCATAGACGCATTATGAAAAACAGAAAATTATAGGTAAATGATAATTTTATGTACCTTGTCTACCCTTTCTCTTGTCCAAGCGCTTTTTTACGGAGGATGCTTTAATTGTTTTAGGTCAGTCATCTATTGCTTTACTAGAAGCTAGTATCTACTTACGTTCTCCTGTGCTATTGTCGGATGGTGAATGTTTACGCTTCATTAACGAGAAGAGCACGAAAGAGATACAATACATTGGCAACTTTGGGTTTTATCATTAAAAAAACCAGTCTCCATTATTCATTTTATTGGTTCATACGATGCCTTTGTACAAATCACCAGATAGACACGTATAAAAATACGGGACAATGTTCGTGTGGTGAATCGCATATGGATTATATACAGAAAACAAATTCATATCTCGATATAGTTGATAACCGCATATAACTATTATCAAGCCCATAAGAAACTGCTAAAATACGGTCAGTAATTTAGGGTTTCACTGTAAAAGAGCAACCCGGGTAGATGAGGACTATATGTCATTGGCATCATTAGGCAGCCAAGGGTAAATATAACAACTATATATTATGCGAATCATTTCATCAATCAAAGCTACTGGCTAGACACCTTCATTTAACGACTCGAATACAACACCTCCAAAAAATGCTTCATCACGTTTTACGTGATCCGAATAAAGCGCAATTGTCATTTCATATCCATAATCATCTTTTGGCTATCTCATTTTCTGGTAGGAGTGTTTCTAATACTGGAAATTTCCGTTTCTCTTCTTGTATTCAGAAAGCAGATATTCAGGTTCAATTGTATCATGATGAAGTACGTGAAGCTCGCGAAGTATCTTTTGAACTCTCTCTGGACCAAGTTTCAGAAGGTCTGCAAATACTTTTGACACTCTTCCTCAGTAAAGAAGAACAACATAAACTCAACTTAAATTCAAGAGGGAGCTGTCCAATGATTTCTGGATCATGTGCATTATATGAAGCATCACATTTTGAGTCACAGCATCTATATTGCATTGATTTATAAAGCTAAAACAACTAGCATTTCAAATAAAAGAAGGGGGGGGGGAGCAATTTAGCATACACAAGGTGTAAAAAACCTTTTCCTGCAACACCTGAACATATCCACAATTCTTCGAGCGTGAGGCTTTTTATTGTAGCCTTTTGTTCCAAGCTTCTTGATACAATTGTTTCTAAAGCATCAATCCTCCCAAACCTTTGCGGGTAATCCAAAGAAATACTCGTGGTCTACATAAATAATTATATTTTTTCTTCAGGAAAGAAAAAAACGACACCAGCCCTATCCAAAAAATACCATTGTTTTATTCAGAAGAATATCGTTCGTTTATTAAACTTTGAAAGATCTCAAGATACTCGATCAGTACACTGTTGTCAGCCATCTTCCCCCGGTTGAATCTTTAACTGAAACCTCAACTAGATTCTTGACTAAATCTTCAATCAATTCATCGACTGGTTCTTAGACCAAAATGTGACATTGACATTCTTAAGTTTTTTTAACTACGAACTATCCCATATTTCTCGAAAAATTAAGAGCACTTAGGCAACTGGATTTGTATTTATGATTGCATCGTTTAAACTGTTGACAATTCTGTTTAATGTGGGTTTTTTTCTGTCAAATCGTTTTGCGGAAAAGAAACTTCGAGGCTTTGTAGGTTTTTCCAACTTTTCGCTTGGCCATTTAAAATTATTTTAGAGGAATCTACATTTAGTAAAAGTGTAAAACACCAGGAGTTTTTTATATAAAAACCGGTAATTTCACTGTATCCAATTATATTGTTTTTTTTACTAGCGAAGCAGTTTCCCCCAGACATGTCTCTCGCGCCATAAATTTTTGAAATTTTGGAGACGATTGGGTTTCAAAAGATCAGTTGTGAGGCCAATCTATCTAGAAGTAGAAAAAAACCATTTTCTTTATACAACGATTTGATAAAGTACAAGGTGATGAAGAGGGATGTTTTTCCAATCAAGTTCAAGCCGTTCAAAGAACAAGCTATATCCGTTCTCAGGCATCAGCATACCACTCATCAATCCATGATAATTTAGACCCAGAATACAAGGCATTACTTATACATGAACAATGTATAAAAGGCAAATTAAAAGATATGTACAAATAAACAATTTAAGAAATGAGACTCTTTGATTTTTTTATGATAAAAGAGATCTTTTTTATATTCAATTATTACTTCAAGATTATATCTGCGCAGATCGAATTAACTGTTTACAGGAGCACTTTTCTTAGGGACTGCACGTAGTCATGGCCTACCTTTTGGCCGTCCCTAAGAGACCCGTTACCAGAAAACGGAGATGGTGGTAAAAATTGATATAAATATCACTTATAAAACATGGCTGATTGATATATAAAAAAAGCTAAGTGACTCATATCCGGTGCTTCAAGTGCACTATCATTAGTGTTCGGAATGAAGGTCGAAACTCTCGAGCGAGCTTCGATCGTGTTCTAGTCGAAACTTGCTCGAGTTTTTGTAAGCTCGGCTCGGTTGCGTAAACGAATGCTCGAACGCGCTAGAGATTATGATACACAAACTGTACGTGAAAGTGAAATACAAATAGTCATGATTATAAAATATTATTTATTGAAATATGATTTAACGTAAAATACGAATTAATAAGAATAAAATTGAGAAGTGGCACACGGTATATGATAAACTACAGCGTTCACCGTAATATATAGAGTACAGTGTAAATGAGTAGGATCCTACATAACCAAGAAAGCATATTAATAGTTTCTACTAGGTACAACCAGTACAAATGTTCGGCTTCATCAGGTTGAGCTTAAATTTTTGTATCATTTATTTGAGAAAAGTGGATTCTTTAGATACGTTTGTTAATCTACATCTGATTGTTAGTCTAAAGCATTAAAATTAAAAACTAAAAAGCAGAAAGAATATTGAAGTTGAGAGTATTGTCAATATAAAATTTTATTGTCCGTCCTATTGCAGCCTTGTATTTAAAGTGACAACTATCAATTTTATAACAGAGCGAGCTTTGCTCGATGCTCGCTCGAATCCAAAAAAAAAGTGACGCATGCTCCAGTACAAAAACTCGGTTTGAGTTTTGTTTGAACTGGCGCAAGCTCGAAAAGTTCGAACACTAGTCCAGCCACTGAAGTCAAAATAAATTTATGAAGAAGAATGTGATAACTGCGCCTATTAAGAGGTCACAGATCTAAGGATAAGAAAAAAATATGGAAAGAGGTAGTTTTGACAGTTGCAAGCCCGAAAAGGCGTTATGCACTTTGATAGGTGATGAAAAGAGAAGAAAAATTGAAAGTATGCTCGATTTGTCGCGTAACAATAATTTAAATTCTTTGTAGATAACGGTAAAAAGATTAAAGACCTGTGCGTATAGTTGTTTATATATTTCGCACTGCAGATACTAGCCGTTGAGTTCTGCATGCTGCCAATTGGATTTAGCATGGGTGTAATTAAACGTGCAATTATAAAATGAGATGCTTATTAAATTGTTTTTGTAAATAACTACCAGTTTTTGTTTCATGCATCCAGTTGGATGCCTCTTCCGAAATTGATAGAACGAGGGAATAATATAACCGGTTTAGGGTGCAGCTAAAAAGATAAACAATTGTGAGTATACAAGACTTGAATGTTTTTTCTTTTGGATGCTAATATTGCGTGTCACTTCGACCCAAAATAAATTTACACAGGAGATATTTAATCATGCAAGAAAAAAAAGACAAAAAAATGAAGTGAGTGAAAATACTATGTTTTTCCTCATACCAGTTTGTGTTTTGTACATATTGCTTGGTATCTCTCCCTAAGTCGATTTGGGATGGGAGATAAATCAATAAACCTGCGCAAAAGAATGTAAAAAAAAAAATGATGGTGTGCTTTAATTTATAGACTATGTCTGTTCACTCTTGTGAGTCTCAGTACACATTGATACCTTTGATACTTTGGAAAAAAAAATTGCCTTATTTTTGAAGATACTTTAGGTAGTGACACACTTTTCAATCTTTTGAGCTTATGATGCGTGTCATCCTGCAAACTTTTATATTATATTATGAACTAAATTTTTACCACTTGCATCCATCATATTGTCAGCAGGTACTACATAAAAAACACAATGTTGACAAGTGCTCATGCAAGCATATGCACACGTGCTTTAATTTAATGAAGCTCGGTACGGCTTGATTTTTTTAAAGCCCTTAATGATACAAAAATCCCTATTTCTCAAAAGAAAGGTCACCAAAGTATTTTTACAATTAGTTGCTGGTATCCATTTTTAGACAAAATCCTTTAGTTTTGTTTAAGTTGATTTATTTAAAATAAGGGAGGAGGGGGAAAAGAAAAGAAAACAGCAAAATGCAAGCAAAAGGGTTAGGATATAAAATGAAACAAATCTGGTTTATTCACAGATAGAGGGGAGTGTATAACTTTCGATACGCTGTTCCATCCACCCCTTCTTCTGGAGCTTAGCCCCAGGGCCAAGACCACGCTTAGAAAATGCCCGGTAAATGTCGCAATGGTATTCGCCACCAGTTAATTGCTTCTCAGCTTCAAGGATAGCATCACGAGCAGAGATAAAATTAGGATTACAAGGTTGTAATTTCAATCCGTCGATAACAAGCTGCATAGCTAATGTGTTACCATATGATGTGATATGCGTTCGCACTTTTTCAAGATCATCTGAATCCATAGCAGCTTTATAATTGTCTTGAGGAATAGGAGGGAACCATTCATCAGTGTAGCCTAAGCGATCGACGAGGTTCCAATATACTTCATATAACATTTCAGCCCAAACTTCACCTTTTGCATGGACACCCCAATAATCAAAACGATCCATAATACGATATGTACTTGGGTTTGTTGTATTTGAAGTTGAGTACTTGTATTTACGGATGCCCTCACCACCATTGGAATAATCTCCCATGCCGAATTCAACATCGTGGGTATAGTTTGAGTTCATACGAATAGCCGTAGCAACGAAGTCACCCCATCCTTCACCCATACCACCAGCTTCACCCCAACCAAGACAATTAGAGTTCATGGGACCACCTGTGAGACGGATAGAAACACCGTGGGTATATTCATGAATAACAATGCCACTTTCAAAATCACCATCACGCATTGGTTTCGTTTGATCCCAAACGTACATACGCATCTTTCCGTGTTTACCGTCGGGAGGGGTAGCAAAATTAGCATTATTGCGACCTAAATTAGGAATTTAATCAATAAAAATGTTTAGATTTATAAAAGGACATAGTGTCTCACCTGATCCATCTTGTGCATTAGCAATTACAGCATCTCCTTCTCCTTCTCCTGCCTTACGTCCACGGCCAAGGTTATCTTGTTGGAAGTTACCTATTATCTTTATTAGATCTATGTTTTATTTTGATGCTCGTTTTACGTACCAGCCTTCTCATCAAAACCATATCTGTGAAAGAAATCATGGGCAGTGTTACACCAATAGAAAAGGTTTGTCACCGCAGCATCAATATAATCTTCTGGATCATCCTTTTCGAAATTTGCTTCATAATCAAAAGTGATATCACCATTATCATCAGAGACACCACTGGGCCTGTAATTCTTTTGCCAATCATTGCCACCATCAGGATTATTATGAGCATATACGTTGTTACCAATTGTTACATTGTACGTCTTCGCTCCCTTAGCAATCGCACCTTGAGCATGCCAACCATCCGGACTTGCCCATTTATCACTTGGGTTCTTGACTATCTTTCTTTCAGTATCATTGGGGTCATTATTTCCGAACGGAATTACATTATAAGAAGCTGCATTGGATACCCAATCAACTAAGCCAACAATGGTGCCATCATGCGCACTCACATGACCATTATACCAGTTGTCCTTTAATTCATATTGTAAATCCCAGACTAATTGAAGTTGACCGGTCTCTGTTTGAATATATGCTTGTCTGGCTTCAACGGGAGATAGTGCGAAAGGAACATTATCAAATTGGAAGGCAATTTCTTCATCGTTGTGCTTCTTGAACGAAGTCGTCATGATAAAGTTATCCGGAATCAAATATTCAAGCACCGTTGGATCAGGCAAAGAAGATTTGACAAAGGCCATTAAAGACAAGACAGCCTCTGCAGGATCGATAATATCCTTATCTTGATCGACAAAGTCGTAGATAGATTCATCGACTTCAGGCTCAGATTGCTTTGTAGGAGAGAACACAACCTGTGCAAATGAACTTGAAACTATCTTTAAACCTTTTTGTACTCTCTAAATACAGAAGATAAGTATATATGCAGGGGGCATAAATGTTTATAACAAACAAACTCACCGTAAGGAGTGTAGCATCTTGTGTATTTGAGACACCTTTTGCAAATGAGTCACCATAGGAGATAATCTTTCCGAAACGATCGACATTGATATTGATATCACCGTTAAGAACTTCCAAACCATTCACTTTTTGACGTAGATAAACATGTGTAACACCATTTAAATCAGACTTGTAGGCACTTTGAATTATAAACTCGCTGTCCGTCAATTCAGATTCAGCAAATGCAATAGCAATATCCTCAGCCTTTGCGTTTTGAGTAAAGGAGCTATAGTCCTTTTGACGTTGACGGTAACTTGGTGTGGTATATTCCCGAAAAGGTACTTCAGGCCCGAAACTACGTGAAAGACCTTGGTGGTATTGTTTACGAGCTAAATCCCCATTCACTGTTGCTCCGAGTGCCGAAGATGCCCCAAGTAATAATAAAACTGCAGTTGAAATAGAATATTTCATTTCTTACAAAAATAAAAAATACGAAAAAAAAAAAGAAATAAAATAATAAAGAAAGAATTTTGCCCCTTATCAACCCAGGAAAAAAAAAAAAAAAAAAAAAAAAAAAAAAAAAAAAAGCGGGAACACATGATTGCCACCGCCTTTAACTAGCGTTCTCTGTTGTGCTCGTGATATCGAATTTATGCCCAGTTCCCATCTGTCGTTGGACGTATGAACAGATTAGGAATAATTTATTGAAATCATAGTATTTCATTGGACCGTTCTACTTTCTCCCTAACGGCGCTTATCAACCATGTTTTTTTTGATGACCATTCAAATGACTTTCCCGTTCTCAATGATCATGAGAGCGAATGATCCATAGTGTTAAAAATAATAAAGATAGGCGTTTTTATTAAACCATAAAACAGGTCCCTTATCGAACATTTTCGTCCATTCGCAGTTTTTAGATAATCTTTCAACTTTTTACTATCTAGAAAACAATCTTTCTTTATATGGATGTATTTTTTTTTTTTTTTTACGTAATGATCTTCGTATTTGAACCGTTTGACATGTGTTTTACATTTCAATGTAAATATTTTCTTTACAGAGTATGACAGGACTGTACACATGAGGTAATTTATGCAGATTATTCGCTTTTATCTTTTGTCACAAATTATTCAACAAAAACAGAAGGGCACGTCATTTAAGAAGAGCCAATAAAAAACCAGGTACATTTTTCAATTTATTTTGGTCATGCAATTTCTACAGGTGTAACTACGGATGTTGGCGATGAATCGACATTGGTACTTGTAGACGGAGCCGTGGTGGGAATGATTGCTGAGGTGGTTATTGAGGTGTTTGTAGCAGGCGTTGTATTTGGTACAGACACTGAACCTAAAGTAATATTAGATGCTGTGGTTGCCGCTGATGTAGCATAAGCGGGTAAACTAAAATACGTCCCGACATCAGCAATTGCAGTCAAATCACCTAACATAGTGACTATCTCAGTAGAGACATATACACTTTCAGGCAATGCTGGTGAGCAAGTCGGGAATGACTAAAATAAATGTTTAAGAAAACAGCTTGATGTAAAAAATAATTGCCTACCTTTTCATCCTTGAAAGATGAATGGTATCTTAAAAATATACCGCAAAGTACGAAACGAACAATAAAGTAAAACAAAAAGTCATCGGACATAAATCGTTTTACATTTTTATCTATTATAAAATAAAAAGAGATCAGCGGATGGGGTTTACTAACATTGTATTAAAACACATTACCCACAGTTGCGTCTGAAATCAAAAGATCGCCAATTGCCTTTTCCATAATCGATATCTTTTGAACACAAGAGTCCCACTTTTGTTGATCCAAATTACCAATATCCGACACTGAACAGAATCCAAGTAAGGGCGTATGTAAGAAGAGTGTAAAAAGGCTACCGATTTCACTTTTATCTTGTACAGACGAAGGATAATTGATTGGTGACATTAAGCACATTACGGGTTGATCAAATACATTTGGCATACTTCTAAATTCAACACTATTATTGCTATCCACAATCAAAAACAACGGTTTGCGTGTAAATGGAATGAGATCCGCCGGGTGAAGACAGTGCACGGATGGGGTTGTAACACTAACATCTGTAGATAAAGTAGTTGCGGCTGCATTTGTATTGGAAATAGCAGCATTCGATCCAGTTGCTGCCAGAGCATTGTTACCTGCTGTGGCGGGTGTAGTAGAAGCTGATGTTGCTGGAGGTACGTTTGTTAAAGATACGGATGAGGCTCCTGCTGCCGTATTACTTGACGGGTTGGCAATAGTTGCGCGATCGACTGTAGTCTTCGCACGTTGACTAGTAATTACACCACCCCCGTACCCGGGTACAGTTTGATCCGGATAAACACACCCATCAGCTGATAAGTAAAGCAGCAAAGCAGAACCATCGCTCGTGTCTTTAAAAGCAGTTGAAATATAAACCATAAGTTGGCTCAAAGAAGGTCTGTATAACAAATATTTGTGTGGATTAGATCTCTTGTTGGATTTATCCAGGCCTCCATTTAAATTTGTATTAGCGCTTGTTAACTTGACATTGTTGTTGGCCGTATTCTGATCCTCCTTCAGGACTACCCCTTCCTTTTTTTCAGTTGTATTTGTGTCAACTGATTTCTTTAAAGTAGCGGAAGGATGAACATTAAACGGCTCTCGCTCGAGTGATTGTAACATGCGATACATATCTAATGTCAATTCGGAAAATTTGATTTGCTTCTGATAATTGCCTACAAGAATAGCCTCCTGCAGTTTTAATTTGGGAATGTTGTTGCCGACATTTCTTTCGGGTATACTTGCAGATAAGCGATGTTCGATTTTGTCGGGCGTACGATCTAAATTAATAGGAACCAGCTTCTTTTCTGCTTCCGTGAAAGTACTGATTTCCTCCAACACCATCTGCCATTCCTTAGCATCAGGTGGTTTAAAACTCTTTGTATACTCTTCTATCAATCCTTCCAATTCACTAATAAGCTGACGTACATTCTCATCCTTATTAAGCAATAGGCAAACAATAATGAAACGAGCATAATATCTCATTTTTTTGATCATCAATGCAGAACTATACGCATGTAAACATCATGACTTTTAATAATGGGATGATGACTTACTTTTTGACCTCAAGGATGTCTTTAAAATATTGTCTATCGTGAATGGCCTCATAAAAAACATACGCCTCATGTAAATAATTCGTCTCGCTTGTTCTTAAACTAAAATCCATTCATTAATAAAATGTTGAGACCGATGATTAAAAACTTACTAGTAATGATAATAAAGTTGACCAATTTTACTGGCGATTTCTCCCACTTCCCAACGCTTCAAACCGTAATTACTCTTATTTTCGAGAATCGATCTATGAGTTTGTTGGAATTTCCATAACTACAATGTATAAATAAAAACACGCCTGAAAACAATCCGCCCTCACTTACCTTTGTATATACTTCAAACGTTTTTTCGAAATACTAATCGGCAATTCAGAAAATAATAACTACTTAAAATAATAAAGGTTACTTACAGGTCTCCACTGGCGATGACTTCCAGTAGGAGGCAAATCTCTAATAAAAGGATTCAGCAGAATTACTTCAGGATTTGCATGTAAAATTTACCTTAAACCACTGAATAAACTTTGACTCTTCTCCAAAAGATACTGAAACTCCTCCACCAGTTTCTGATTACGGATAACGTCTTCGTCACTCTCCGTGCTTACGACTTCTGTAGCTGCTATAGCTGCTGTTACTGCGTTGTTGCTTGTAGACACATTGGCTGCGGGTACTGTTGTGGTGTTTGTCGCGGATTGACCATCGATTGAAACTATTTCTAAAGATTATTAACTGTCCAAAGGTCGTCAAATAGCTTATAAGTCTTACCTGGCGAGGTACTGGTAGCTGTTTTACTGACACTAGAACTTGCCGTAGTATTTACGGTGGAAGTAGTGATAGCGGTGTCTTTGGTGCTTGCAGAACTAGATTCGGTTGCTTGACCTTGAACATTAGTTGCTGGATTCATAGTGATAAAGACTAAAAAAAAAGGTACCTCCCCCCTTTTTTTTTCGGCACCGCATTTTGAAAGATGACGTTACCTATCCCATCCCATAAATGGATTCTTAAAATCAATGATATTACCCTTCTCACATTCACTTTAGAGCGCGTTTAATATAGAACCCTGAATAATAATGCTGCTCAGTAAAGACATTTTATTTGTGTACTTAATGAGAGCAGTCATGCCACACCATCGTTGACGTAGCAGTTTTACTGACAGAAACAATACAGTTTGTACGTTGCTGTGTCATTTTCCCACACGATTCTTTTTCAGGTACCACATGTTTTTTGGGGAAAAGGATTTATTTATAATATAATAGGGAATAGATGTGGGTTTTAAATTTTCTACAAGACATCTAGTTTTTTTTGTGAATTTTTCCAGTTGGGAAAGTATAATCTTCAATAGATTGTCTATACATCTCTACGGAGTAACCGGGAACAAGAGGAGGGGACACCTTACTATTTTTGAGCTGGACAGGAGTCTTACAATGTTCATGCAAGTGATCAACATATTCCAGCATACGGCGATCAAGAGTACCACTAACACAGATATAATCAATCAAAGATAAATGTTGGACCATTTCAACCAAGAAGGTACCACCAGCATGAGGGATGATAGGAATTTCAAACTTATTAGCCATCAAGATAATAGCAAGAACTTCATTCACACCACCAACACGACAAGAATCAATTTGGCAGTAATCGATAGCTTTAGCTTGGAAAAGTTGCTTAAAGATGATACGGTTTTGAATGTGTTCACCTGTGGCAACAGCACACTTGGGATGTAAAGCTTCGCGAATAGTGGCATGGCCAAGAACATCATCAGGAGAAGTAGGTTCCTCGATAAAAAGAGGGTTGAAGGGTAAAAGATCTTGCATCCAGTCAATAGCTTCTTTCACATCCCAAACTTGATTGGCATCCATCATCAATACACCGTCAGCTCCGATTTCTTCACGGATAATGGCAGCACGGCGAACATCAGCTGCTCTATCACTACCAACCTTTTGTTTAAAGTACGTAAAACCTTCTGCCTTGGCTTCACGAATTAATCTACGGACTTTTTCATCGCTGTAACCTTTTTAGAAAGAAATATGTTAGCCCATTGTGTAACCAATTGTTGGATTTCTTTTTCTTACCTAACCATCCAGCAGAAGTGGTATAACTTGGGAAACCGTCCCGGAGCATCTCATTCTCACGGTCTACTTTAGTAGCGGCTTTTTCACGCAACATCTCAACAGCTTGTTCGGGAGTAATAACATCAGTGATATAACGGAAATCAACACATTGGACGAATTCTTCAGGAGTCAAATCAGCAACCAATTTCCAGACGGGCTTATTGACAGCCTTGGCCCAAAGATCCCAAATGGCATTGATGACAGCACCAGTAGCCAAATGAGTAACACCCTTCTCAGGTCCAATCCATCTCAACTGAGAATCACCTGTACAGATTTGATGGGTGGCACGCATATCCTTGACCAAATCAGACAACTTCTTGTCGACAAACTTGAGTGCGAATTGTTCAATAGCAGAACAAACAACCTCGTTACCACGACCACAAGTGAAAGTCAATCCGTGACCTTCCAAATCCTTGGAGTCAGTATAAAAAATAACATAGGCAGCAGAATAATCAGGATCCTTGTTCATAGCATCAGAACCATCTAAGAGTTTAGAGGTGGGAAAACGAATATCTCTGATTTCGTAACTAGTGATAGTAGAGTCAATTAATTGTTGGACCATTTTGTGTGTAAAAGTTAAAATAAATATTTCAAAAAAAAAAAGAGAAAGAGAAACGAGATGGGTTATTTATATGGAGATGATTTCATGCAAGATATAACCAGTGATAGGCTACGGAGAAAATGGACAATTTATTTAATCCCGGAAAATATTAAATTTGCTTAGGATGTGTTCCCAAACGGGAAATTATATCTTTGCCCAAAGTATAAATGATGGCTCCAGGTACAACAATCCAAAGACCATTAGGAATCTGGGAAAAATGTTAGTGCGTAATTAGGTAATATGCCTTCCGACTTACAATCCATAATGTTAGAAGATCTCGGATAGAGTTATGGCCAATATGCTGATAGCCTGAAAAAGGTTCGACAAGCCAATATAAAACTGTCTTGGAGCATGTCATAAGAGCAGATGAAAAGCCCACAAGGTTAGCCTGCCCAACACTTACATCTTCTCGTCCAAGCAGATACAAGTAGAAAAAATTCAAAAATGTTTCCACAATATTCATAGTAGCTATGCATGTTTGAGTAAAATAACAATCATATATACCAAATGTATTACCTTGCGCACCAGTAAAACCATCTTGGGATACAAATGCTTGTACGCCGTAAAAGTGATCAATCTTGAGGAAACTTAATATACAAACTCAGGTAAACTAATAGAACTCGTTACCTTTGCGTATAAATTATAAGGTTTCCAAATAAAGTTCAATGACCCTCCTTCCATACTCCAAGGTCTAAGCAAACAATAACAAAAATCCTTTTAATAAGAATATTTTTAGTCTCGACATCCTCATTTGCAAATTACTAATCTATACCCATGTCACTACTAGCGAGCTAATGAAGAACCAACTTTTTATCCAAGTAGGAACCTGATTACTGGTTTTTAAGGTCATGGTCTTTTTTTTTTTTTTTTTTTTTTGTCAAGTGGAATACAGGTGTAAGGGACTACACACGGTTTTTCCCAGGGCAAAACAAATGTTTAAACCCAACCATCTTTTTAGCTCACACGCTAAATTATCGCATTAAATTTTATTTGAACGCTTTTATAAAATGTCTATCAATTCATGTTTCTTCTTGGCAAGCTCGAGGAGATTTTCATATTCACCGGAGTTACGACACATTTTATAAAAGGCTGATTTTATATCACGTAAAAGTTCCAAGGGACTACCAAAACATTAGTACACCATTTCATATTACATGGCTGATTGTTTTACCTTGAAAACTCAGTAATCTCTCCGTGATCTAAAACTAAGATACGATCATATTCGATGACTGTGTTGAGTCGATGGGCAATACATAAAATTGTACTATCTGCAAATTCTTGCGTGATTGTCTTTTGGATAGCTCTATCTGTTTCAAAATCTACACTTGCGGTAGCCTCATCCATTAATACAATTTTACTTCTCTTCAGTAAGGCTCGCGCAAGACATAATAGTTGCCTTTGTCCCTGAGAAAAGTTATTTCCTCCTTCACTGACAACTGTATTGAGGTCAGTAAATATATTCTCATTATCTAAGGTATCATCCATCAAGTGAACGCGACGTAAAGCTGTATAAATGGCTTCCTCGTCAAATTCATCAAAAGGGTCCATATTTGATCGCAGTGTACCAGAAAATAATACGGGATCTAATAAAATCTGTAAACAGGTATTTATTTTGTGAGTTATTTATGATTACCTTGAGGAATAATAGTCAGTTTGCTTCGCAAGTCTTTTGTACCAATATCTGCAATATTGATATTGTCAATGACAATAGAGCCTTCTGTAGACTCGATAAATCGAAAAAAAGCAAGCGCTAAAGTTGATTTACCACTCCCGGTCCGACCAACTATGCCGATTTTTTCCTTACCCTTGATGGAAAAGGATAGCCCTTTTAAAACTGGCTCAAGGTCTGGTGCATATTTGACATGCAGGTTGGTTACTTGAACTGATCCTTCACTTGGCCACTGATGTTTATTAGCAAACCAACTATAAACCCCGTGGTAATAACTTACATTGGAGGGAGGTCTGATATTAGTAATAGTTGGTGATTCTTGCTCCATCTCTAAGAATTCAACAACTCGCTCGACTGAGTTGAAGTTCATTTCAAGCTGTGTGTAACGCCTGACGCCCCAAAACGTCTACAGACTAATGTCAGCTATAATCTATCATTAAGAGAAAAGTGCTTACCATTTGCGTAAATGCCAAGACATAGCTCAGACAAAACCCAGCTGTAGCAGCATCCAAATGATCCAAATTAAACAGAATAGCTGCACCAGTAACAAACGCAATCAATGCACCCATAATTGAAATACGGGGACTCACCCATCGGCTCATTGTCCAAACATAAAACATGGGTCTTGCGTTGGTATCTACGCGACGAAGCATCTCCAACATAAACTGCTGTGTCATACCAAAAGCTCTAATTGTAGTGACACCCACTATAGTCTCACCAAAAAGTGTAAACAAAGGAGATCGACTTACCGAGTCCATTCTCTTCAACTCCATCGAAGCTGTAACAAATTTCATTCCAAAATAAACATTGATTATGGCCACTGCAATCATAAGGATAGCAAGAGTGGGCAAAACAAATGTGGCCACGAAAAAAATTGAAAGAACAACCGTCCATTGAACACAGAATTGTATAAAGTCACTAGGTACCGAAGAATCAATTGTTTCAAAATCATTGGAAAATCGATTTACAATACGCCCGACAGGTGTGGTATCAAAGAATCGAAGTGGTGCATATAAAACACGATCTAATAACATAGTGTATAACTTTCTGCTTGCTTTAATGCCACCCATAAACGTAGCACTCTGTCTTACAATAGCAACCACCGTGATAGATATGTTAAATAATACATAGACAATGAGATACCTGTTTAAACTCTCCTTATGTTTTTCCTCTGACAAAATGGAAGGGATAGAAGCCATATTGTTAATTTGAGATATCAAAAGACTATGCGAAGGTATTGTTCCAGAAGTTGTCTCATACGATTGAGCCCACTTTTTTAACCACCATGAAGACGAAACATCTAGGCATCTTACACCAATAATTGACACCACAATAAATGACCAAAAAAACCAATTGCCCAGTAACTTGAAGTAAAGTCTGTATAGTCGCAATTTAACAGTTCCAGAAGCGCGATTTTCGTCCTCAACCAAAATTTTTGCCTTCTTAGTCTCCTGTATTGTGTCAAGTTCCCGAATAGTTTCTTCCTCTTCTTCATAATCATCCGATTTTACATTCTCTTCAAAGATCAAAGCCAATTTGTTTTTTTGTTTCAATTCAGCTGGTGATCCGGATAGTTGGATACCTCCATTTTTAACAAAAACGACGTAGGAACTACCCTGAATACATAAGTTAACATAATGTGTGATTAGAACCTGCGTGCGACCGTTCATGAGGGGCCCAGTCAGACATTTCTTGTACAAATGCTTGGCTGTATGCGCGTCTACAGCGCTCAAGACATCATCCATCAATATGTTTTGCGCCCTTGAGTAAACTGCTCTAGCCAAGGCAACACGGGCTTTTTGTCCGCCCGATAAAGTAATACCCTTTTCTCCAATTTCCGTCTCATCGCCATCTTCCAAATAATTGATGTCTTTATCCAAAGCACAAGCTGTTAATACTGCTTTATAACGTTTTTCAGCAAATGGCAAGCCAAATAAGATGTTGTTCTTGATGGAATTATTTTGTAACCAAGCAGTTTGAGAGACATAGGCAACTGCATGCTGTAATATCCAGTGTTCCGGAACAATATCGGCATCTTCGCACACCTTGATGGATGTAACGGCTGCAGAATCATCTAAATTATTCGGGTAGGTGGATCTTGGAAAAAGAACGCTGCCACTGTGCGTTTCCGTTTCGCCTAACAGACTCAGCATGATGAGTGACTTTCCGGACCCAGTGGGACCACAAACTAATGATAGTTTGTTATTAGGAAATACTACGTCAAGATCCTTCAATGTAAATGTGTCTTGTTCAGGAAAGGTTGGGTTTGTATCAATTTTGGGTTTGCTTGGCCACGAAATGGTTGCATTTTTAAATCCTATGATTACATCAAAAGATACCGGATGTGTAGTAATAATTTCATCCTCTGTCAAAAATTTATCAATTCGATTCAGGCTGATGAAAGTTTCAAATAAGCGGGTAACTGTTTCAGGAATGACAGTGAGAGAAAACCGAAGATCATTAAAAATTGTGATGGAAGTAAATGCTATAGGAGCTGTCAATTCTTTTCCCTCTATTTTTGTAAACGACCAAAACGCAATAGTAGTCACTAGAATAGGTGTACTATAAGAACACTATATAAATAAAGTATTACAGTTTGATAAATTAATACGCTATGTTTTTACCTTTGCCATAGTATCATGAATATGATTTCACTAAAGTAAACCAGTCTAAGATACCCTAACTCTAAATTTCTCGCTTCCAAAATCCGTTTTGACCAATTTACTTCCCAAGCAAAAAACTTGATTTGTCGAATACCTTGTAGCACCTCATTCATCAAGGAGACACGTTTATCGCGTGCCTTCATTACTTTTTCCTGAGTCCTCAAGAAAAAATTTGAATTATAATGGTTGATAGGAATTGTGATAATCATGGTTGATAAACCTAAAATAGCTGACCAGCCTAGCAAGGTATATAGAAAATAAACGCCAACGCCTAGTTGTACAGGAGCTTCTATCAAAACAAACCACCAAGAAGCAAAATCCGAAATTCTTGAAGAGTCTGTGCTCATTAAGTTCACAACCATACCTGTACTTGAAGTACTATCTTCTTCGTCCTTATTTTTTTCTGCATCTCTTTTTTCATCTCTATTAGCACCACCACCTGACAATACAACAGTGTCCATGCGACGCAACGTTTTCCTATAAATTTCCATATTTAACATGGATTTTGTACGCATCTGAGTCGACGATTGTGCTACATAGGCTCGAGTTAATATCGTCATAACCCCGCTTTTTTTTTATATACATATATATTACCAAAAAACCATAGCTGTTCAACAAGAATGTTGGCAATGACAATAAATGCAGCCAAACCAAAGATATTACCCAGACCACATATAAATGATCGTTCATCGCCGTGCCCTGACGTTATTTCTTGAATGACAATTAAGAACCGATTTAAGAAGAAGGGCGTCGCATAGTTTAGTACGGGTATGACAAACCCTAGCAGGCCTTGCATTAGCATGGAATATTGATTAGCAATAAAAATTCGATGCAATAGTTTTTTTTCTCGATGTTGACTGAATATATAAAACATATTGCGGGCACGATGTGTCGCAGGTAATCTGGGGAGGTCATCATCTGACAATGTGTCCCCTTTTTTGTAAACAAGATAAACGATTGGTGACACCCACGAAAAATAAACGATTCCGAAAATTGATTCCACATTGTATCCGTTCACTGGCTTACCGTCCCCATCTAAAAACCGGGATCCATTTTTTACAGTAGCTGTAGTATAAACTAGATCAAGACCAATTATAACAGGTAAAAAAATGGGTAATGCCTGCATGAAAGAGATACCGGTATTCTGCCAGAGAGCGTCAATCATATTGACGGAGGAAGAGAAAAACAAAATTGTGTAAATGATACATAGATGAATATTGAGCCTCCAGCCCGTTGGATTGGGCAAAGGGTATCTTGAGGCTGTAATTGCTAATACAAAACAGTATAACCAAGCAATAAATGTGGTTGCTTTCGCCATTATGCCATAAGTAGTAGGTGTTTCGGCTACGTGTTGAATAAAAGTATACCCAGATACAACAGATAAGATTATTGTATCAAATATGATACGAGATATTCTGTTGCCATTGGAAAAAGGGTTATTGACAACATCCCGAATATCATCACTTTCAAAGCTATTTGTTTCAGTCAATTTATCTTGGCGTTTGATTAATCTTTGTATTGATAGCCATATTATGCTGGTAGCAATGGCAAAAATTTGCGTGATTGCAGCCAAGAATTCTGCTGGGATAGTATTTTCCATACAATGCTAACAAGAGAGAGAGAAAGAGAAAAGCGCTATTTATTCTCAATCTTTTTTTAGTGTATCCAGCCACTTTTTAACGGACTTTAAACGCGTATGTTGGGATAAAAAGAAAAAGAAATTTTTGTTTATTTGACTCTCCCATTCGTGTTTAATTAATCAATAATCAATAAATGTTGGATCCTAAAGACTTTGAAGTAACCTATAATTTCAACAAAAGAGAGAAACAACTTTGGGGGGAAGTTTATTATTTACTCATTAACCTACTTGTGTTTTCTTCTTATAGGTAGCTTCACCACCCACTGATGGTATTACAGCTTTAGACTTTTCTTCACAAGCAGATTATCTTGCTGCGGCTTCTTGGGATAATCAAGTAATTACCATTTAATTAAATATCTTGAAGAAAAGTGAGACTTAAACTGTACATTAGGTTCGCATTTATGAGATTGAACCTTCTGGAAACACTGTTCCTAAAACCGCATTCTCTCATGAAGGACCAGCATTGTGCGTTAGTTGGAGTAAAGTAAATATCAGTTCCCTTATTGGTTTCTTCAACGTGTCATCAATACTTATTGTGTTATAATTTTTAGGACGGTACAAAGGTTGTTTCAGGCGGTGCGGATAAAGCAGGCAGAATGTTCGACATTGCTACAGGCCAATCAAGTCAAATCGCTCAACACGACGAAGCCATCAAATGCATTCGATTCTTAGAACAAGGTAATATTGTTGCTACCGGTAGTTGGGATAAGACCGTCAAGTATTGGGATTTAAGGTCTCCTCAACCTATCGGAACCGTTCAACTTCCTGAGCGCTGTTACGCTATGGATGCAAAGGGGCCTTTAATGGTTGTTGGAACCGCAGAGAAGCATGTCTGCATATTCGATTTGAATAACCCCACCGTAATTTTCAAGGTAAATCACACCTCGTTTAACTCAGTATTTCGCCTTACTAAACAGTCTCTTAGCAAGTAACATCGCCCTTGAAATGGCAAACACGTACTGTTTCTTGCTTTACCGATGGTAAGGGATTTGCTATTGGTTCAATCGAAGGAAGAGTTGGTATTCAATACATTGAGGAGAAAGAAGCTGCGTAAGTTTATACCCAATGTATAACAAGATTACATTTTTTCACATATTGCCATGTATAGAAAGAACTTTTCGTTCAAGTGTCATCGCGATGACGCAAAGAATGTCTACGCTGTCAATGATATTAGTTTCCACCCTATTCACGGTACATTCTCAACAGCAGGTGCTGACGGTACTGTCTCATTCTGGGATAAAGATTCCAAGCAACGTTTAAAACCTTTCCCCAAAACAAATGGCCAAATTTCTTGCACAGCGTTTAATAGAAATGGAAGTATTTTCGCTTATGGCGTTAGTTACGACTGGTCAAAGGTAATTTAGACTATAATTCTAAGCACACAAATCACTAATATTGGTTTATAGGGTTACAAACAAGCATTACCATCAAATCCCATCAAGATCTACTTGCATGCTGTTAGAGATGAAGAGATTAAACCCCGTACACCTAAGAAACGTTAAATCCGCACTTACAATTAGCTATCGTCCCCCACCACCACCCCAATTTCTTTCATGTCCTGTAAACAATTTCCTTAAAAAAAAAAAAAAAAAAAAAAAAAAAAGAAACGCAAAAATACCTTTTTAAAATAACTGCAGGATTTGAGATCATTTGTTTTTATATCTAAAGGAGGAAGCACTGTTTTATTTTGAAGATCCTTTTGAGGACACGGTATTGTTATTCCGTGAGTACTTTTATCAATTGAGTGACCCATGCTTTTAATTTAAACGTCCAAGAATGCCATGGTACGGGTTCTCGTAAGACCATCCTGCCCCTATTGAGAACACATGGTTTTTTTTGACAGCTGGGTAAAATTATCCTTTCGTTGGTTTAAAACCAGGGTATCATTCCATCGTAGCCTTAGTAGGACATAGCGTTCATAAACAAGTAATCCATCTCGTACTTTGGATGGTTGACATCATGTAAAACGAAAGGGAGTGTGCCAGCAAGTTCACCTTTAATATCTAGCGTTTATATTAAAACCATCATCGCGCTTTGATAGATTGTGCGTAACTGTTTTAAAGTTAATACAACCAATCAGCATGCCGTGTAACTATGGTTTTGCCCGGTCCGACTTCTTCCTTTTGAGTGCTCTTTCTTTTTCTTTAAAAAGCGTATTTGCTGTTTTACCAAAGTTTGAATGAATATTTTTACCATTGACACTAAAAAAATTTTGTGGGTGCAATACTATTCAAATATTGACTTAAATTACATTGTCATGTATTATGCTCTTTAAAGAAGTGCAGCATTTGTAGCACTGCATAGATACACTTTTCGGATCTGTTGGATATATCAGTATAAATATAGACTGAACTAACTTGAGCATAAACATGATATCTGGACATCTGTCACAGACAACGAAAAAAAAAAAAAATGTGTCACGCCTAGCTTTCCTTTTAGAAGTATTATAATCAGATGGGTCATAAAATGAAATACACAATATAAATTTACTAATCAAAAATGAATCAAATCAAAAACCTAGCTCAAATAAATCCATACAATGGTTAGAGCTGATATTCTTTACTGTGCTCCATATAAAAAAAAAAAGTAAGGTATCCTGTATCAGATATGTATCGGTATTTGTACTTTTTGAGTAGATCAATTAGATCATTTAATCCAATACATCTTGGCATCGCCTTACCATTAATGTATTATTTTTATGATGACACACGGACTTATGAAGTTTATTTTCATAAGTGCTTTTAGAAGGACGGGATGAAACACATTTATTGTACCATCTGTGGGTTGGCTGCAAGCATACTCGGTAACAACAAAGCTATGCAAAAAAAGAAAAAGAAAAAAAAAAGACGTATGACGTCAAAATAAAAAAATGGAACCATTCGGAATAGCAGCTGTAAATTGTATAAGGTTAGGCTTGGCTACTAAAAAAAAAAAAAAGAGGGGTAATTAAAAGGGCTTTGGCAATTCTAAATATAAACCTCCACTATAATTTATAAACAAGGCAAAGGCACATTTTTTTTGGGCGGGTATTAATGTACACCCAGACCGCATCTTTGTTGACTATTTCGTAGCAAAAAGGCTGATGATTATTTTGGTGTAACCCGAACAGCTACAAATAGATTCGGATTTTCTTATTCTTCCTTTTTTTTCCCCTTTACTTTTCATTATATATTAAAAAATGTCAACTGCTCTTAATACTTCTCTTGATTGGAATAGTAATAAAATTGACAACAACATGATTGAATCTTGCCCCATATATCCAGCAGCACCAACAACAGCAACAAATAAACGTACAAATCATTCGTTTGATAAGATTGCCGAAGAACCGTTGGAATTATCTCCACCCGTTTCTCCTACACCTTTTCTTCCTTCATTCAGTGAGAAAAGATCATATACAACACCTTACATGAAGCAAGAAATATTTATCCCCACTCCTGCACTAACACCGGCTTCTCAACTCACTGACGACACTGAAGCTGAGCACACTGTTTTGAAACGACATTCAACAATCTCTTCCATGAATAGTCAAGATTCAGGTTATAAACAGACACAAACGGAAAACCCCAGTATTATTTCCTTGGGTAGACATCATACAACCGGACATACATTAAAATCAGCCAGACAAAGAATGGCCGATAAAGAGAGGTTGCACTTGATGAAACGTTCTGAAGAGTTTCAAAAAGAACTATCCCAGAGAAGACTGACGTTTAAACGCTTGTCTCGTTTAATGGATGGCACCAATAAAGACGAAACAGACCCACAAGATCGAGTCCTTATAGGCACACCTATTGCTGAGGGACATCAAAATTATGTCCTAATGTATAATATGTTGACCGGTATCCGTATTGCCGTAAGCAGAGTCACTGCCAAACTAGACAGACCTCTTACAGACGAAGATTTCACTGCTGCCCATAAATTGGCCTTTGATGTGATGGGTGACGAATTAACTCCTGGGGCTAAATATGATTTCAAGTTCAAGGATTATTCTCCTTGGGTCTTTAGACATTTAAGAGAGAAATTCGGTGTTGATCCAGCAGACTATTTGGTAACAAATTTTTATAATTGTATAAAATGAACATGTGCACTAATCATATATCGTTAGATTTCTTTAACGAGTAAATACATCTTGTCTGAATTAGGATCACCTGGTAAAAGCGGCAGTTTCTTTTATTATTCAAAAGATTACAGATTTATTATCAAAACTATTCATTATACCGAACACAAATTCATGAGAAAAATATTAAAGGAATATCATCAGGTACATAAATACAGTAAAAAAAAAAAGAGAGAGAGTTTTAATTTCAACTAATCGATATATTTAAAGCATATTAGCGAAAATACTAGCACCCTTTTATGTAGATATTATGGTTTACACCGAGTTAAACTGCCACACGGAAGAAAGATTCATTTCGTTGTTATGAGCAATGTATTTCCCCCTAGTAAAGATATACACGAGACTTATGATTTAAAGGTACAGTTTAATTTTTTTGTAATACTAGTTACCAACATACTGAACTTAATTTTAGGGTTCAACATTGGGAAGACTTTTACCCGAAGAAGAAATTCTTAAAAATCCTCATGCTGTCATGAAGGACTTAAATTGGGAGAAAAGAGAACGTAAGCTTAAGCTTGGCCCTCAGAAAAGAAAAATGTTTATTACACAGCTTGTTCGTGATGTTACCGTAAGTCTTTTTTTTTTTTTTTTTTTTTGCCCCTGTGACTATTCTAATGTCCCTTTATAGCTTTTAGCGCAACTTAATATTATGGATTATAGTCTATTAATTGGTGTGCATGACATGATGCGTGGCAATAAAGACAACATCCGTGATGCTACTTTACAAACATTCCAACCCAACACAAAATCAGTTCAGCGTAGAGATACTTTGATGAAACGTAGAACAAGTAAAGCTCAAGTCGTTCGTACTGCTATCGCCGAAGCAAACCTCGATAAATTAGATGCTTCTAAATTACCGGGAAACACACAAGAGTTAGTATATCGGAGTATTCCCCTATGATCATATACTAAATATTTAATAATAGACGTCGCAACTGTGTATTTTACGCAGATGAAGGTGGCCTTCAAGGTACCGATGAAATGGACAGTCCATTGCCTGTATTATATTCATTAGGAATTATTGATATCTTGACTCCTTACGACATGAAAAAGAAGTCAGAGCATTATTACAAATCATTGACTCAAGACAAAAACGCCATCTCTTCTGTAAAACCAAGTCAGTATGGTAGAAGATTCTTGGAATTTATGGCATGCGCTGTACTGGAGCATAATGATGACATTCCACATGAATACAAGGTGAAGAGTCGTGCTAAACACTTTTTCAAAAACTAAATCATGATCATTTATTGTCACTTCTTTTTACATTTATACATCACCCCTTCTACATTATCATCAACATCTTTTATATTATAATTTCTTTCTATTAACAAAAAAAACTCCCACCACCACCATTATTCCTTACACTCATACTGAGTTGACATATACTTATAAATACTCATTTAACTTTATCTAATCATCTTTTTTTTTATTTTTTGATTTGAATATGCATATGGTAGTCTTAATGTGAGGTTTGTGCCTGCAAATGCTAATAAACTGTTTTCAGAATCCTCCACTAATAACGATGATACATACAATTTTCTATAATATTGGTATCTAACTCTGTGTCTGTTGAGCTTTATTCAGGACATCAGAATATCTTAGCATGAATAATTTTTTTCCTTATGGTTAAAATTAAGGACTTACAGAAGATACGTTCTATGCCCCTTCGTGCAATAAAACAATGTATAGCCATTACGTTTTGGAGAGACTCTACTTATAATCGCTTCTTTTAAGTTTTTAGAGAACAGGATTATCCTATAAGCTACAACACCTGATAATAACTGTAATATGTAAATCTGTGCTAGTAATCCGGTTGAAAACAAGTCATCTATTGTATTTGGAAACAAAATATTTTGGAAAGCTTTTCGCCGTGGTGCCTCCAGGATCATCCGAAGGCGTTTGAAGAATAAGAAGGTTCTAGTGATCTTTCAAATATGCGAAATTTCCAGTTCATGCAAAAATAGGTCAAAGGCTCAAACACACTTATCTGTGAAACATGTAGTACAATTTGGCAGACAGACATGAAGCAACGAAAAAAGTGATATTAATACCCAAACCGCTTGAATGGAATAATTCATAATTGTTGTTATCTACCATCGCCATGACAAAGATGTACAGATTAAGACGACTACAGGTATATGCCTAGAAAGTGCATATTTAATTTTATCCGAAAACCTGACTTCATTTCTTTCCGGATTACTTTTTACGGTTTATTGTTTAAAAATGCAAACAGTGCCTAAACTTTAATTGATTCTTCCCAGAATAGCGTATATTTGTAAATACAGTTTTTTAATGTTTTTGCGTTTATGTTTAATTTAAAAAAAAAATTGAATGAGAGTGATTACTTTGAAGGTCAATGGGGGGTAAATTTTTACAGATTATTTTTGTCCAGTTTTTAAGAGATCTAAAAAGCTTGATTTGGACATTGTTGAGACATTCTTTGCCTTTTCTATCGAAGCCAAGGTTTTACGTGTTTCCGAAGCATTCTGAACAGCCACTTCGGTGACCTTTTGTTGTGTACGAATAGCATTGAATAGTTTGACAACACCTCGTGTTGCGACCTTTCTCAATCTCTTTTCATATTCAAAAGTGGTGAAGTCGGGAATGACACGGCCCTTTTCCTTTAATGCTTTCTTTTCGGCTGACATAATCTTACGTGCTTTATAATCCAACTTTTCATCTTCAAGTTTACGTTCTAAACCCTTAGACCTTGCAAGAATGGGTTGCTTTTTTTTGGTTTTAGTTTTTTAGTACAAGATCGTTAACCGATTAATTTTATAATACTCACTCTTCTATCTGAACCAGTCAATGTACTGCCCAAAATCTTTGTCATGGCATCTGAGAAAGCTTCTGAACTAAATTTCTTTGGCTGTTTAACACCCTCATCGACGTCCATGTCAAATTCATCATCGTCATCTTCATCATCGTCATCCTCGCTTTCTACATCAGCATCCTCGTTATCATCCATATCTTCATCTTTATCGGATTCAGCTGATTCAATAGTTTCTTCGACTGTTTCTTCGATAGGTTCCGCAATCTCTTCAACTACCTCTTCGACAACTTGCTCTACCTTTTCTTCAGGCTTTTTTGTGGTGGTCACCTTTTTAGTAACAACTTTTTTGTTAACTACTTTCTTTTGAACTTGTTTCTTTGCAGCCATTGTATAAATATAATCTGAAGAAAGTTGACAGAAAAAAAAATTTGGTCTTGGACCCGAAAAGGGCAAAGTAGAGGCTTAAAAGAATAAGCAGTCATAACGCATCACACAGAAGATGTAGTTGACGACTTGATGTACAAATAGCACAATCAGTAGAGGAGAACCTTTGCCTTGAATAGACAAACTGAGTTACATAGATGATATAGCATACATATATATAGTTTTTTTATCATTATTGAGTTTCCTTAGAGTACGGCAGCTAATTTAAAAAAACTAATTCAGTTTTCCTATCAAGACATCTCGAGTACCCTAATAAGCCCTCAGCATGACTAAAGAGCTGTATGTATCCAGTGACATAGTTCTTGATGTTGCCAACCCAAGAGAAACAGCTTATCCACATTATTTTCCATACTCTTAAAGATAGCTGAAGTACTGGCTATCATGATGCTCTTTCAGCCACTTATAAGATCACTGCAACAACATATTAACAGTATAGTTAAACGCTTATAATAAGAGAACTGTAATATTCTTAAGTCGATTCAAAATAATCTGCATAGTTGCTTATAGAAGTAGGATATAAAATAGTTAACCCGGTCTAACTATCAAGCAAAGAATACCAACTTCGCCTAGAACTGCCCTTATTTAATCAATGATATTTTTCTTAGTGACGGACAAAGAGCACAGTGTAATATCGAGTAACATAGCTGCCGTTAAGGCTTGGAAAGAACACACAATTAAAAACAAGGTAATAGTTACAAATGAATGTATATTGACCAATTTAAACCTCCTCTAATAATTTCGTCGTTACTCTTTTGTGTTTGTACTTGTTTGACCTTGGTCTCACGCAGAAGTTTTTGGGTGAAGTCCAAATGGAACGTTGAAAGTAAGCTATATCACACACAATTACGCTGGGTTGCTTTTGTTACTTTCGTTACTGCCATGCTTTCTTCCATACAAAAACTGAAACGCGCAAGCAGCTGGCCCTAAGCTCCATACTGACATCTCTTTAAATTCAGAAGAGAATGCATAAGTCTCACGAGTTCTTCGAACCAGAGTTTATTGAGCATCATGATCTCCTGATGCATATCCTTTAGATGCTTCTTTGTGCAAACAACACTACATTGAACAACAGTGTATATATGATATTTGATAAAGCCATAGGTTTCTTTCTTTTGACATAGATAGTAAAACCCATTTGTTTATGCTGTAGTTGAATTTATCTTTACCCCCTATTTTAGTCTACTTTTTTGTTTATCAAAAATAAAAAGTGAGAAAAAACTTTGTGACAAAACTATAGTCAACAGGAAATGTTCTGTTTTACGGTATAACATGAAGAAATTATATACACCTATTTAGCCCTTTCTTATATTATGTGATCATGCCACAGAGAAAGCTCATCAAATTATATTTTTATTTATTTTTTACGCCAAAAAAAAAAAAAAAAAAAAAAAAAAAAAAGTAGTACAAACCAATTTATAACATAATCCGGCTGATGTATTTAATCATCAAGCAAAACAAGGTTGCTGTGTTTCTCTTTTCTCCTCATCAATTTTTTTTTGATTCATAATGCCCAATAGAGGCATGCATTTCAGCCTGGTGCTGTAGTCATAGAAGATACCCCCATATACCCAAGACTGGTGCTAAAACATACCCTCAAGTCATCAAACATTTTCTCTACATGTACATACTCTCTGTAAATACCATCAAGCCTGTCACCAACATAACGTATACGCAAGACTAGTGCTTTAGACATATAGACAAGAAAAATGATATCTTATGGACATGGAAATAGAAATATACAAGAAAAGTGATACCTTTTATACTAGAAAATACCCTCCAAACTGTATACCCTTTACATTACACTTAATCATATACCATTAACACTTAATTATATACCCCTTTCACTTAATTATATACCCTTACCACTTAATCATATACCCTCACCACTTTATTATATACCCTTACCACTTTATTATATACCCTTACCACTTAGGATATATCCTTTACACTCACAATATACCACTAAATCCTTAAGTCCTGCCGCTGAATGTACATACATAATAACCCTGTAAATACCATGAAGCATGTAAATATTATCAAGCCTGTATACTCTCAAGCCTGTAAATAATATCAAGTCTGCAAATTACACCTAATCTGTATATATCCTCAAGCCTGTATATATCCTCAAGCCTGTATATATCCTCAAGCCTGTATATACCATCAAGCCTGGTGCTTTAGAAATAGATATAGATATAGAAATAGACATAGATATAGATATAGATGTAGATATATAAAAAAAATAAAGTATACCCAAGCCTAGTGCTTTATACCCCCAAAAAAACCAATACAAAAACTCTCTTTTCGGATAACAGGACAAAAAAGAAAAACAAATATTTGAATGACATTGCGGGAATTACCTCATCAAAATTCCCCTGTTTGGTTGGATAAATTTCATCTGGGTAATGTTACTGACGCCATAAGCAGAATGCATTGCATTAAAATAAAATAAAATAAAAATGTATTTGACACCCATCACAACCGGATTTTTCTCATTTTCTCCCCAGTTCGGTAAATCTCTCTTGAAACGAATAATGTATATAATAAAATGCCCATTATATCCCGCAGCCACTGTACACTTCAGTTGAACCGAATAGAAATTCTTCGATATGTTTGCAGCCATACCTACGCTGAAATCACATTATTATCAACCACAAATCTCTGCAGCTATCCTTCAAATAAAACATGCAGTGCAAAAGAAGTTAATATTATGCAGGCATTAATTACGGAAAAACGTATTTGGGAATGGCAATGAATTTCCTTATTAAAAGCATTTGCATCAATGCATTCGGTCGTCTCTGATGATAACAAGAAGAGACAGAGAGCTTCACATATTCAAAGGGAATATCATTGAAACAACTGGGGTTATATACAAAGAGATAAAAAAAAGAAGCAAAATTTATAGATTGACAGCTATAAAATAGATGAACTGAATAAGCAAGGTACTTGATATAAATTTGTTATATGTATACTCATAGCAATTTTAACTATCTTATCTTCGCAACGAGTACAGAACAAGACCGCTTAGCAGTACGAAATTTATATATGAAGAGTATTTATAGTATATATTTTTTCACATGAAATATCAATGCATCCAAAAAATATGCTTTGAGTATCTTTTTTTTATTGACACACCCAAGGTAGACATCCAACCTTTACCGCGATAAATATGGTTCTGTCGGAAGTAGCTGATTAGATATAACACCACGTTAAGTCATTTAGGTATATTTCAATCCTCCCCCCTCCTCCTCCTCCTTGTAACATGTATCTAAAATATTGTATTTGAAGCCGGCTGTTATATGTGATATTTAAGTGACCACTACGCGGTAGGTTGTAATCCAGGTTGTTGGTACATAAAAGTAGAGTAATTTTAAAGACCGAATGATCAATTCTTAGAGGTAAACCTTAAATGATAACGAATAAAATGAAGTACATAACCTACTACTTATTGAAGTGAGAAATTTAGAGTGGAAGTGTAATGGGTCTGTATTCCGTGATTCGCTGTCACACCAGAACACTAGATCTTACAACGTGTACCTCTATTATTTTTATCAGCTAAGAAAAACTTGTTAAATAAACAAAATACGATTCTGATTGGTTGTATTTTAAGTATGCACCCAATTCAATTCGATTAGTTCGATGAAACGAGATAAAAGCATCGAATCAAAGAGTGCGGACCTTTTCCCAGCAAAAGAAGATTGATTTCCGATACTGAAGTTTAAATGTGTTTCATAACTTCTGATATATTTAAACTCTTTACCCTTAATATATCCTTTTTTTACCTCTTTTGCAATTTTTTATATTTTATTTTTATTTAAAAATGTTCAGCAAGTCTAATCCTAAAAAAGATTCTCAACGTCAATCGATCAGTTTAAAACAAATGCTTGAGGATAGACCTGAGTTTAGCCTTACTGATGTGTTAGAAGACCCAATGCTATTGTCAGGTTTCGAAAATTATTTAACGCAAACTTGGTCACAGGAAAATCTATTGTTTATAGAGGCAATGAATCAGCTCCGACACGAGCCTGGGTCGGCAGAGGATGTTGAAGCCATTTTTAATAGGTAATAATCACATGTCCTGGCATTCCATTTGATTTTGCCAACATTTTATGTTTAGAATTTACGAAACGTTTGTTGTTACGGATGCACCTCTTGAATTGAATATCAATAGCCAGGCAGAAATAAAAGGAAAATTGAAATCTTTTAAGGGATCTGTCATCACCCGGGATGAAGCACTAGATTTACTAAAAGAAACAGAGCAAGAAGTTTTATTAATGCTCGTGAGTTCATTTCCTCCCTTTTTTTATCTTTGTGACATCCTCAATAAAATGTTCACTATATCATTTGTAGAGAGATAAATTAACGGAATTTCTTCGAACTCCACTGTCAACTGTCAGGTACAATATTTATCTAATGCAATTAAAAATAGCTTTTTCCTAACATCATGTTATGTTTTTAGCAAACAGCTGAATACTGAACCAGTTAATGAATTCCGAAAACGAGTCGTCATCATTGGCGGTGGATTTACTGTATGTAACAATTATTACACATGAAATAAACACTGACACATTATTAGGGGTTTGCTGTGGCATCCGCTTTAGATCCCATGTCATTATTCCATGTTACTTTGATTGATACAAAAGGTAAAACAAAACAAAAAAGCAATTGTAAAAAAAAAAAAAAGTCTCCTCATAAAATTATCAAACTCAATCCTAGATTCCTTTGAATATACACCGCGCATTGTAACAAAACTTGTAAACCCAGACAAGGTATCTTCTTTAAGGTTCCCTCACAAAAGTTATATTCATAACGGCAGAGTGATTCTGGGGTATGCTAAAGACATATGTGAAGACGCAAAGTGTGTCATCGTAAATGGCGAGAAGGTAAGTCATGATCGGACATGTATTACAGCTGACTGATGAAGAATAGATTTACTTTGATTATTTAGTTATTGGTACTGGCTCCTCATACTCATGCCAATTAAAATCTAGTGATTCTTCATCGCTTTATAGAACCGCTGGATTAAATAAAATGGCGGCTGATATAGCCAAAGCTGACCGCATTCTCATCATTGGGGCTGGTTTAGTTGGCTGTGAACTTGCTGCAGAAATTAGTCAAAAGCAACTTGATCACCCATATTTAAAGCATAAACAAATCGTGCTTGTCGAAAGTCGGCCCAGTATTATTTATCGTAGCGATGCAAAACAACGCAAAAAGGCAGAAGAGTTTCTTGAAGGATTAGGGGTTGAAATTATATTGAATGAAAAAATAACATCTGCCAATTCACTCTCTGATACTTATTATGGTTCTAGCGGCAACACTTATTCTAGTAAAGACTATTTAGTGTTAATGGCTACAGGTGTTAAGCTGAACACAGGTTTTATCTTGGATAGTACAAACGATCCATCTCTGGATACTTGCCTCGATGTCAACGGAGCAGTAAGAGTGCAGTCCACGCTTCAAATTGAGCACTGGAAGTACAAACATATATTTGCAGGTGGTGATGTGACTAACGTTTTAGAAGAAAAAACTGCTTATGCCGCTACAATTGCTGGTGTCTGCATCGCTAGAAATATATGCCGCTTGGAAAAAGGGAAGGAACCTATACCCCAAGGTACTAAAGGATTACTACCTCCTCCAAGTAAAACATTACACGGCATTGGATCTCAAGGTGGTATCGGAAAAAGTAAGTAAAACTATTGAGCAGAAGTAGCGATCCCCAAATAACCCGTGCTACTTTAATAGAGCGACTTTCATTTTTTGAAAGAAAGCTATCCTTTTTAAACCCAACCTGGGAGGTGCTTAAATATTTTAATGAGAAACAGTTTTTCAAGATTGTACAAGTGACAAGTAGAAAATCCAATATATTAGGAAGACTTCCGAAAGTACTTACTCTCCCTGAGAATGATGAAGCATCTAGCTCACGACCAACATCATTTAGTCGAGCTTCAAATACTGAAGAATCATCAGGCAATGAAGATGATGAGCATAACAATAATATTGACAAGGAGAATCGTCCTCAAGATGATTCGAGCAAGGAGTATTTACCCTCTATTAGCAGTATAGAATCATCCAGTAAATAAACTATAGTCTCATGTATTATATATATTTTACTTTTTTTATTATTATTATATCTTCTTTAAACTACAAAAAAAACACAAACAGATGAAAAACCTGCAAAATATAACCTTTTCTTTTTCTTTTTTTTTCCTTAAAGTTTCTGTGGTATTTCAATTTTAGTATTCTTGTTTAAATTCTTGATTTCTTTCAGCACATTCAATTGGGCTCTTGAAATCAGCTCTATCATGTTGATATTCTCTATCTCTAGGTCTTCTTTCTTCTTCTTCGCGACGCATTTCTTCCCTACGCTTCTCCCTGATATCTAATCTCTGCCCCTCATATAACTCTCGTCGTAATGCGCGGGAGGGGTGTTTTAAATGCATAAAGTTACAGAAACCTCCACGATTACATTCTGATATTTCATGCTGTCTACAACAGGCTTCCCTAAAATCAGTTACTGGTGATAGCTCTGCGTATAAAGGGCGTCCTAATAATAAATAATTTAGTACTGCTATAGAAAATCGTATTCAGTTAAGTGTAATTACCTGCGTAAAAACGATTATTCAAATTAGCGACTGCGTTACCGGCAGACTCTTCTAAACGATACTGACAATACACATTGCCAACTAAATGATCACCTACATTATCGCAAACAACCATTTCTTCAACCTCACCAAACTTGGCAAGTTCACAGAATATATCTTCATAGAACAAGTCAAAGTCATCTTGAAGTTGACTTTCAGTTAAATGAACATTAGGATCGTGTGCTGGGTTTTTGTACATATTTGCGATTAAAAGTGTTTGTGAGAAAGAAGGCTTGACATGTTTTCTTGAACAACGTTCACCGTGACGACAGGCACCAATCTATAATTAAAAAAGTTAATAAAAAAACAAATTGCAATGCGCCAATATTACTATTTACCTTGAAATAAAACGAACAATTTACTCTATTTGATAAAATTAAAGTGGTTAATATATTGATGTAACCCTTAAACAGTACATTACTTACTTGTCCTTTTCGGTACCATAAATGCTAGCAAGATATTCAGCCATTTTGTATAAATTGTTTTTGGTTGAAGGAAAAAAAGAACACGCGCAGTTCAAAGCTGTAGAAATAGAAATAAGCCACTCCCTTTGCTGACGTCGACCCAGCGCCATTGGCGGGATACGAAGTTCCGGAACCCACTGGAAGGTTTTACATGAGCAAATGATTTTCATTGCATAAAACATCAATTCATATGTATTTGAAACACATGACAAATAATTGGACACGCTGCTACACAACCAGGTGTAAACTTTAAAATTTCAAGACCATTTTTTTCCCAAAAAAAAAAGTAAAAATAGATATGAAAATTGTTTCCTTTTTGGTTTTGTGGTTTTGTTTACGTTTCCTTGCTGTACAAACAAAACAATAAAATACAAATACAAAATACGAAAATAGTTTTTTTTTAAAATTGCCTTAAAAAGCGAAATTTATTTATATAAAAAATTGGCCCACAAAATCAGAAACCGGCAAAAAGCGCCTGTTTGCCCCTCGGGGCTACGCAGGCCGACCAGGCAGGCTATTCAGCCTTGACAGACAGGGCAGACCACGTAGCCCAGACAGGCCACGTATGACACGCATAGCAGACAGTGAATTCAAGCTAGAAAACCCACGCAAAACTGATTCTGTTTGAGCTGAAGCTACGGAAAAAGGTATTAATGTGATATTCAAGTGTCTGTGGTAGATGTTGTACTTACATTTTATCCGTGCTTAAGCAGTATCACGAGCTAATTTATAAAGTGAATAATGTGTTTAGTAAAACGGATAATGATTAATGTTAAAATTATAGTACCTTGTATGAAGCTTTACGCGATATATCTATTGACAAATGAAACGCGTTATGTATTAGTTTAGGATGTAAAATTATCACCAAGATATTACTTACGGTATTTCAAAGAGAAAAGAGCATCTAAAAAATAAAAAGGCGTTTGTTAATGATATATTATTACAGGGAAGCACAGTAAAGAACAAAGTATACCTTTATAGATACACATCTTGAAAGTAAAAGGGGATAGAAGATTATATTATTGCATAAGTCATGAAATAGCTACCTTTTTCGCGTTTGACTTTGATTAAATTGAATGTGAGAGAAGGATTAGTAGAATGCCTTATGATAGTATTGTTAAGACAGATGTTCTATGACATACCATTGTTCATAAGCATCATAATATTACAAGCAATAATCACGCGTTTGTGAAGACACGCCACGGTTAAAAAAAATACGTAAGAGAAAGAAAAGCGACCTAAGAAAGTTGGGTTGCGTGACAAAATATCGTTCCGCAATGACGTTTGTAAATTATTGCACCAATCAAATTGACAGCTTATGTCCGCATAAGCTAAGCATTAAACACATTTTTTGATCTGAACGATATATAAACCAAACACAATCCCCAGAGTGCACTTTATCAAAATTCTTTATTTTATTATAAACAACTTACTTTAATTTTAAAACACTATGAAAAAAACACCTGGAACAAATAAGTTCCGTGCAAAACCTGCCTTACCGCCTCAGGAGCAAACGTGTGTGTTATGTAAATACAGTACAATTAATCGACACTCTTTTAAAGTGCATCAACGATCAGGACACCACTTAGAACTTCTGGAGGCGATTCAGTCCAATCAAGGATCACTACCTGCCAATGACATCCAACAACAGTAAGTGAGCGTCTTCATCAATTTAAAAATAGTCAGTTTGTACTTATCATTATTATTTTTAGGAATACCTCTGACGAACAACCTACTATCCCGCTAAGCGAATCTCGTAGTTCTGATATGGAGTCCATTGAAAGGTAAAGTTATTTAAGGCTGTTAAATATATTCAAATTACTTACATCAATATACATTAGACCAATCCAACCTGAACGCACTGCCGAACCATTGTCTGAACCTGCAAATGAATTTGATGAAAATCAATATGATGATTATGATGGTGACGGTGATGATGATGGGCGTGATGATGGTGAAGAAGAATTCGATGGTGGTAATGCCTTTGACCATTTCAACAATGATTTTAACAACGGAGGGGAATCTGATGATGATAGCGAATCTAATGAACCTCCCGTTCCTGTTAACGACGTCAACAACGGCTCTAATGGTGATGGTGGTGATGGTGGTGATGATGGTAATGATGAATATCTTGATTTGAGTGGTGATGTCAACGACAATCCAGCATATCCTTTCAAAAATGAATACATAATGCATGCCCTTCTTTTCTTCAAGTCTGGTAGCTTTAAGTATTCAGAAGTCCAAATCAAATCAGTTCTTGATTTTGGTAAATATATGGCTGAAATTGCAATCAAAGAGTACAGAGCTCAACTAGCTTTGGATCCTTCTGATGTTATTTATGATTTCCGTGGTTATCCCACTCCCCACAGCGTTTCCAGATTTCACAAATCCAAGAAAAGTTGTATACCTTGTTTTCCTCATGCTCCCCATTGTGCGAAAGATGATAACGGCGGACTTCTTGTCGAACCTACTGAACCTGCCACATCAACTAGCACATCTGGTACTGCTACAGCAGCTGACGCCTCTGCTCCTGCTCCTGCCTCTACCTCTGCTCCCGCCTCTACCTCTGCTCCTGCCTCTACCTCTGCTTCTGCCAATACCTCTGCTCCTGCCACTGATCCTGCTGCAACAACAAATACAACTGCTTCTGCACCCGCTGTTCCTGTTGTTGTCGCATCAAAGCCTGACTTGTTTCTTAATGATGTATCTGAACACTTGCGACTTCTCGTAGGTAATCCCTGTATGTCTGGTTTCCTGTCAGATCTTCCTGATCGAACACCTAACCAACGAATCAAGCTAAGTCAAGGTGAAAAGTGGAATTGTGATAGATTGTTTGAGCATCCTATGATAATTACTGGTCCAAATCTTCAACTCTGGGTATCGGATAAAGTCTCTTTGCTGTCTGAGAGCAATATTCCTCTTCGTGATCGCCATTATTTTAAAGTGGCCAAGATATTCCAAATATCAAAAGTTGTGAACGTTGATTTGTATCCAATTAAATCCGATAATAATCTTGAAATGTGCTGTTTATACGACATCCTTCTCCACTGTCCCATAACCGACCTTGACATCAATAATGTCTTTCGTGCCGAACATGAATCCTTCGATGCATTTACTAGCTTACAACAAATAAATGGTGACGATTATCTTTGTTCTAGAGATGTTGTTGCTAATACTCGATTGATTCGCGCTCATCATGACATGATTGATACTGGTAATAAGTACAAGCGTCCACTGCCCATTAGATCACGTATAAGAAGCATAAATCCCAATTCGCCAAACTACCAGGTCGTTAGAGTAATTCCGTACAACCTTTTCTCTGATGATACCAGTGGTAATTCCACATCAAAATGGAATTGTTTCGATTCGTGGTCGATGAATCCTGCCGCTGTTCCTCTTAGTGTTGCCAATCATTATTTGAATCAATTTTTTATATGTGGATCAAATCGCCATACTGCTATGGAACAGTTGCCTTCCCTTGTCCCCGATTTAAAGAAACTGGAAACTGGTCTGCCGATGTTTGATGCTATTCTCAAGGAAGAAGTCTTTGTTGTTGCTCCTCTTTTGTTTATCAAGGCTGACAATCCTCGTCATGCCGAGGTTTCTTGTTTGAAAGCTTCAACAGCTACTTATCCGTGTAGAAAATGCTTCTGGTGTCGACATGCTGATGCTTTTGATCCTAATAGAATTACCACGGCCGAAGAACACATGTCAGTTCCAAGAGAAAAAGGTCACTGGATGAGTTTATTTCCAAGCGATGACTCGGATAGTACTGATTTCTCGATACGTGTTCGTAACAGACAGGGTGATTATATCATGGTCGAAAACTTGATGGACCTCGGCTTCAAGGAAACTGCTGGCAAAAGGCTTTTGACGTTGTCTTCTTGGGATCCTAGCAAGGATACACCGGTAGAAATTCTGCATGGCCTATGTCTCGGTTTAATCAAATACACGTTCAACAAAGCTGCTGATTGCTTTTTCAACAAGAAGCAGGTTGATCGCATTAGTATTTTGTGTGCAAAGTATGGGTCTAAGGCTTTTACCAATTTGTCGACGCATCTCAAAGGATACAAAAGCTTTCTTGGAAGAGACTTCAAACTTATGATTCAGATGCTCCCAATTGTTCTCAGAGTTGCTCGTGGCCACATTGATTTCCTCAACCTTCGTAATGATCAATTCCACCGAATGGATAACGTTATTAGTACTTTTGACAAGCTTGGTGAGCTTTGCTCATTGTGTTATAACTGTGAAATACATACCAACTTTTCTGCCTATCTCGATTTATTGCGTCAATCCGTTGATGATACTGTTATTGCTCTGGATAACCTTGATCGTACCGTTGTTCCCAGTAACCGACGTACTCGTGGAGAGCCAGCAACAGCAACGACAACTGCATCAGTGCCCAGTCAAACTACTTCTGAAGAGATCTATGGTCTTTCTGGTGAACAATCTAATGGTGCTACGATTCCATACGCCAAAACTGGTGGTCCATTGTGTAATCGTTTAAAGACTCATTTGATAGTCCATTTGGTAGAGGATTGTCTTCGATTTGCTTCTCCTGTGCTTCTCGCAACTGAAAAGAACGAGCAATTCAACAAACACATTAGGGCAATTGTCATGAAGACCAACAAACAAAACCCTTCTCGTGATTTGGCTCTTATTAACGGTCGTGAGGTAATGCTGAGAAGTATTGCGATGGGTCTTGTTTGGGATAACGGTATGAAAACTCGTGGTAGTCTGGTCAAAGCGTGGTTCGATAGGTACAGTGAGGACATGTACTATTCTGCTAATCGGGAATTCGGCAGTACTGAATATATTGCTGGAAAGAAGATTGCTTTGAACATGACGGCTATTCTCGATGTTGACTTGGATTCTCGTGGGGCGCGTCGTCTGCTTGGAAAGGTGGTAAAACTTCGCGGCGATCAGGCTATTGTTGAGGTGTATGAACTTGTTCCCAGGCCAGCCTTCGTGATTCACGATGATAGTAGCCTCATTTCTGTCTATCAAGCTGACGAAGGTGGTAATCTCCTCACCAAGAAAACTGAAGAAATCTTGGACTTGCTGAAGTATAAACTGACTGTGGTGGAATTACTTGACATGTCTCAGGAAACTGAGATTGACACTGTCAAGTATTCTCTTATCAACAAGTGCAAGTTCGGTACTTTCTGGTGGCTCCATAACACTAATCGTTATTTCAAAATTTTAGAAAATGAAAGAAACTAATCATTTTGTTTTTTTTACATGTCATTTTTTCAAAAAAAATAAAAGTCTCTTCCATTTTGTTATCCAATAAAAATGCTTAGCTGCACGAATCGCTATCCTGACCCCCATAAAAGACGCTAAAGTAGTTTTCAAGGTGCACAAAACCTTCATTCAGTTGTTTATTTCATAACATCTGGCCTTCAATCACGTATTTTGTTTTTTCGCCCAATCGCAAAGTTTTATTTTTTTAAAAAAAAATTCTGACACGGGAATTTACTTTTTGGTGCAGAATTTAAGAAATATTTAAAGTTTTCAACTGGTTGTGTAGTTTACATAAGCATTTATGGGAGCGATTTTCTTTTACCGCACCTACGGCGGCTAAATTTGTATGAAACATGCACGCATGTGTCTTTTCTAGAAAATTATCTCTCCGTTCTACCATTGGTTTTCTCAGGCACACAAGTGAAAGAATAAGCATAATTTTACAAAATTAAGAGCCGTCTTATACCACCATCCAATTGAATTAACACAGTGGTTTCAAATAAATTCATTTTATACGTTTAGGCGTATTTTTCGCTATTTAAGATTGGTGGAACTTGATGCCCCTTAAATCCTTGTAGCCTTTTAACAGATTTTAATTAGGAACCATCGTATGTTTAAGGATTACATTCTCGCAGCGTAACACCAAATTACAGAGCATCTGATTGTGGAACAGTTTCTATTGGCTGGAATCGAGAAAATTTTGCTATGAATTATGTGGGTACCTGATCTAGTCTTTCTCTATCAAAAAAGTTAAGAGTTCTTAAGAAAAAACCTGGTTTATATTTGTAGATAAAAATAGTATCTAGTTTTAAACATGGGATGTATAATTGTCTCTGTGAATGTTAAACTTTATAAAAATTCAATCTTTCTCGACAAAGAGAGATCCGAAACATTGTGAATCAGAGTCACCCGCGTTTATGCAAACAACACGGAAATTGTGTTTCCGTCTATAAACATTTAATATTGTTATTTAGTCATTAAGTCTAATCTGCTCAGCATATTATAGCTAAATATGTATTTACAATTTCGCCTAATTTTTCCGCTCTTTCGCAAGTGGCAGGCCTATTGTTCTCATATTCTTTTGTGTTACCAACATTTAATAAGAAAATTCAATTTCTGTAGCCCTTCGTGATGCGATCACCCGTTTTATGAACAAAAAAAACAATCTAGCCATTGGTGTCACACATAATGTTATTGGTAGCTTTTGAGAGACTTTCGCTACCAAATTTTTTTCAGTCGCTTATTATTGCTGCTGGATGCGTGTTTAGACGAAATACAAATACCAAACAATGATATTAGGTTTGGGATATTGCTCTTGTTTTCTACATATAATTCATGGCATCTTGATACCTTGATCCCAACTTATAATAAGCCTTTTATGTAACTATGCGGTGTTTCTCGGAAGGTGAAATCTTGATGACATCTGCGAAAGTGCGCGATTATCGCTCACCAGCTGTCAAAAAAAGAGAAAAAAAGTAACGAAGCTATGACTTTCGTTGTTAAAAAATAATGCGTTTTCGAATAATTTGAGATATAATAAAATGGGTAGCTATTAGAATCACGCAATTTCCCATGGTTAGGTAATAGACCTGCAGCTTGTCTGGAGATAGTGCAGAAAGAGACCTTAACGAATGAGCTTTCTTTAGCAAAAACTTCTTTGTGACGTGCATGTAACTTCCTTAAGTTTTTGTTTTGTATAAATAGCTCGTGCATTTATTTGGGTTTTTTATTTTTTTTTTTATTTTTTTTTCTAATCAAAAACTTTATTATACATTTACAATATGAATCACGATATGTCAGCAATGAGCCCTTCTTCTACTATGTCTATGGCATCCTCAACGATGTCTATGGCTGCTACAGCTACAGCTAGTGCCACTCATGATATGAGTGATATGGATATGTCTTCCTCTAGTAATAGTGGGATGCATATGATGATGTCCATGGGTACATTTCACTGGACTAGTTCCGGTGATGGCATTTGGTTTGATTCTTGGGTACCTGCATCGGAAGGGGCTTATATTGGTGCTTGCTTTGGCTTATTTTTCTTTTCAATCCTTTCAAGGGGACTTCCTGCACTTGAGGCCTATTTTATGAGATGGAGAACAATGCGTGACAACAAAATCGAATCTAATGTACTTACTTCACAGCCTGTAAGTTTAAAAAATTCGTCTATAAACTTCACCAAAGACTAAACATTACAAAATAGGTTATCCGAAAAGACATCGAAAAATCACACAACACTGATGATTTATCGTCACAATCGTTCAACCCAAATTCATATCCCAACCCTTTAAAAGTTCCTACAGTACCTCCTTTTTCGTGGTCAACAGACACCATTAGAAGCTTCATTAGCACATTGACCTCCTTTGTTAGCTATTTACTAATGATGGTTGTCATGACTGGAAATGGCGGTTTCTTTCTTGTCATTATGATTGGCGTATTTTTTGGTGAAATGGCTTTCGGCCGTTTCAAGTCTATGGGCGGCTTCCCCGACGATCATTCCCATTGATAGTCTTCAATAGTCTAATCCACAAGTTTAATTTTTTTACCTAATAATATATCCGGCTTAAAGTCTCTCTTCAATAAAATAATACTTGGTTAATTCCACTGAACTGAATTCCTCTTATAGTATACACAATTAGGCCACTTTTGCAGATCCTTTGAACACCAGTATATGGAATACATAGTTAATCTATAGCATACAAGCTTTTTATAAAAAATTATTATAAATACAGCCTCCCAAACATAGCCTTAATTTTATCAGGCAGCCAAGTCTCAAATAATGCGGGTCATTCGACATAGTATAACCATGTTGTTTGTTTAATTGTTTTTCAGGAAAGCTTTCAGAATTTCGATATTAAGCGCCGCTTAATTATATCTGTGTAACGATCAATTTGTTGTAAAGTTTGAAGCACATGGAAGGTAATTCCTAGAAAGTTTTTATCTAAAAAATTCGATGCTAGAAACAGTCAATTATTGAATGCTTCAAAAAGTAGAATTGTAGGGCAGGTCATTAGAATGAAGTGTTTTAGTCAAATCATTTATGAAGAGAACCCTGCTTTAAATATTCTCAACACAGTCACGCTTATTGTGGGAAAAAGCTTAAAACTCGATTATCAGATTATCATCATCTTTTTTTTTTTATTGCTATTATCCCCTTTCTTTTTATTTTTTTTTACTGTAGTAATGGATTATCAAAGATTTATTAGTGAGCGTAGTAAGGCAAGAAAGCCTTCAGCAAGTAAGAAAACGAAACTTTTTTTTATAAAAAACATTATATGCAACATTTTTCTTATGCAAGATATCACATAGTTCGTGCTATTTCCCCTTACCTTCATCAAAAGGGCATGGTACGGCCACGAAACATTGTAGACATACCATACAAGATATTAAAAAATCATAAAAATATTTTTAGATTTCGTTGGGTGCTGGCCAACCTAATCCATCTACCTTCCCCTTTGCAGGCATGACCATCACGCTTAAAACAGGCGAAAAAATTGAAATCGACGATGAACTATTTAGCCGCTCTCTGTCTTATGATTTGACCGTAAGTTTGTTATTGTGTATCCGATATTTAAATCTCAAGCATATTTTTAAAGCCTGGGTTACCCCATTTGAACGACTGGTTACGTGAATTACAAAATATCGAACACAAACCTCCGGTGGATTTTGATCTTTCGATTGGTTCTGGTTCTCAGGATCTTCTAACAAAGGTAAGTGTATTTTTTTTTCTTTCGTTACCGGTGTTTCACTAAATAAATAATGATAGGCATTTGATATGCTGATGAACGATGGTGACTCCATGTTGATCGAAAATCCTACATATACTGGCTGTCTTTCTTTTCTTAAAACGCTTCAATGCGATCTTGCCGATGTGGCTACTGACGCTTATGGTATTGTACCCGAAGCATTAGAAAATATGCTTGCCAACTGGCCCGAGACAAATCCTAGCGGTAAGAAGGATCAACCTCGACCCCGCTGTCTGTACACGATCCCCAGTGGTGGTAATCCTACAGGCGCTACTGCCACTCTGGATCGAAAGCAAGCCGTATATAACATTTGCCACAAATACGATGTCTTAATTATCGAAGATGATGCGTATTATTATTTACAATATGGATCTGAGCGTATACCATCTTACTTGTCACTGGATTTAGATGGTCGTGTCCTTCGTTGTGATAGTATGAGCAAAATTCTTTCTGCTGGTCTACGAATCGGCTGGATTACAGGCCCTAAAGTTTTGTTAGATCGTATAAATATGCATACAATGGTAACAAATTTACAACCTTCTGGGGTTCCACAAGTGATGGCATATCAGCTTTTGGATAAATGGGGACATGCTGGCTTTTTTGATCATGTGGACGAAGTAGCTTCCTTCTACCGTCAGAAACGTGATGAGTTTGTAGAGTGTTTAGATCGCAGAATGAAGGGTAGAGCAGAGTGGGTAGTTCCCAATGCTGGTATGTTTGTCTGGCTTCGTTTGCTGGGCGGCATTACGGACTCTTATGATTTGGTTATGACAAAAGCATTAAAGGAAAATGTCCTTGCAATCCCCGGTGTAGCATTTATGCCCCAAGGAGGAAAGACAGAATATGTTCGTGTTTCATTCAGTAATGTCTCAAAAGATAATATGGATGAAGCTCTTCGTAGATTAGCCTCAGTTGTAGATCAAGAAGCACTGATTAACGGCGCTCCTATTCAATCCGTTTAATTTGTTTTACGTTATAATAAAATAAACAGTTTTTCGCGCAATCATTAGTTTTCTGTTTCCTCTGACGGAGAATTGAGTTACGGCAATACGTATATCAATAACCCATAGGCTTGCTAATGCTCGTGTAACAAGTTTTCATACAATCCGGAACTTGCTTCATAATTTCTTAGCTTTCGTCGCTTTGGAAATCATGATTGCGTTGGTATACGCATCACAAATTGAAATGGGAATAGGATTGTTTGTAAATCCATTCATCTCCCATTTTTACACACTTTTAAGTGACATTTACCAGCTTGTCCCGGATCTCGATTTCAGGCTGAGACCTAATATAAAGATCGAAAGTTTTGCTCTGTCATAAACCAAGATTTTTTATTACGTGTTTAATTATCAGTAGCAACAGAGTATGCTCTATAGAACTCTAATCCAGATTCATTAGAGGTGGCATTAATTGGGGTATTCGCGCCAATAAAGTAAACATAACCTTCCTCTAACTCATAATCTGACTCCTCGCCTGTCAATTTACCACTACCGCTTGTAACAATGAGGATACTTGGGCCATCAATAGATGCATGCTCTTCCGTTTCTCCTTCGTTCAACTTGGTTAAGATGACAGCAAACTCGTCAATTGGAGGATCGTAAAGAAGAGAGTGCTGACCATATTTCACTGGTGCCATCTTTTGAGACTCTGCAGAACCATAACCGTAAGTAAGCATATCAACCAGCACATCAACATCCTTAAACTTTGGTGTTAATCCAGCGCGTACAACATTGTCGCTTGTGGCCATACATTCAACACAATCTAATAAGGTGGTAATCAGTAAATCTTTATCGTCGTTTCAAAATAGGGTTATCATTTTTACCTCCGGACAAATAGGCGTGAGGTTCATTGGCACCCAAAAAGATAGCCTGTCCTGGTTCCATGGAAACATAATTTAACAATAAAGAAGAAAATACACCGACATCTCCACCAGGGTACTGCTGATCTAATCTGACTATTAATTTGGACATGGTGTCGTTGTCCTCACTTACACGGGCAACCAATTTAGCTAATAGACGCTTGACATCTTCGGAAGAGCTATGCATGAGGCTAGAGAATACCTTCTTGAGGACAGATTTATTATGCTCAATATCTTCAGGCTTGGTAGAATCACCAGTAGATTTAACAGTAGAAAAAAATTCTTCAGAAATATCATTACCGACAAGTTCTGCTAATTCAGGATACACTTCCATATGGTGAACGATTTCATTCAAGGGACGGAAACCACAAAGCGCTTCAAAAGGAGTGAGAGCAAGAGCCATTTCAGGCTATAAAACCATACTGAATTAATACCTTATCAAAATAATCCCAACGTGTTTCATTTTGTTACCTTATGGTTAGGATCTTTATAATTTTCTGGGAACTCTTTAAAGAGACGAGCCCCCAAAACCTTATCAGGATGAGCTTGAATAGACAAAGCCTTACGAATGGAGAGAATCTTGAAAAGAAAAGGTAAATCACCATTGTATTGCTTATACACGTCTTCAGTACTAAGTGCAACGTTGTTTTTAATAAGTTCTTTAAGGGTAGTCTTGTCGTTTAAAACAATGGAAGGTGCATTGGGGTGGGTACCCATCCAAAATTCGGCGTAAGGCACCGAGTTATCAATAGGAGTACCAGAAGCCTTTGCGTAAGTGGCGGCCTTAGAGACATCTCCTAACTTACCCCAATCGTATGATTGAGTCTTACATTGTAAACGATAAATGGCACTCATTTTTTTTTTTATTAATTTAAGCAGATAAAAAGCGGGAAAATCAAGTTTAGCGGAATCGGCTTGCCTTTTAAAGAAAGCTGAGCTTCATAAAAACCTCTGCCTGCCAATCACAAATAAGGCTTTAAGCAGCTTACAAGCTTTACAATAGATACCACAAAATAGTTGTGGATAAGACTGACTTCCCCATCAATTGATTTAATATGTTTTTAGATCAACAGAACGGTATATAGCAATAGTTAACTTGCATCGTTTTAAATTATAGGTATATATCACTAAAAACCTCAATATTTAATAGCATATTTTTGCCACGGCGATACCTGTTTGAACAAGTCCTGTTATGATTTTTTTATTATAAAAATCAGAAACCATGTACGTTTGGTAATGATTTATGCGCATATCAATATAAACAAATACAGCGGGTACATAAATATGTAAGACTGTACATCAAAGGAATGATGCCATTTACACGCTTCCTCGCCTGTTCCTAACCTTTGCTGGATGATAGAAGTACATAATTATTTATTTAAACTGTGTTGGAAAGTGATGTATTTAGGTGGCATTGCCAGATTTCATTTGATTTTCTAACTTCTTTTTGCTTTTTGACCAACGCAATCCACAGGCATTACAGAGTCTAAATAAATGCAGAGAAATTTTAATAAAGATTTCATGGTAAATAATGTTCGATTCTTACGTTTTAGGGCCGCTAGGACCTCGTCTCCATTCAGGCGCTTCCGTAATACCGCAATCAGTGCAAACCTTTGCGACTTCCGCAGATGGATTTAAACGTTTCTAGAAAAACCAGTTGTCAGACTTTAGTCATGTGTATGTTATTGCGGCATTACCTTTTTTCCTGCTCTGGGTTCGGGGGTCAGGCTTCTTTGTGGCATATTTTCTGTAGTACTCGTAGAAACGGAATGATCCATAATTTGATCCATGCCAATCATAGTTAATTCACCACCATGTAATCCCATAGAGATACCAACGGATCTTTCACCCAGATCATAACGTAAGCCTGTAAACAAAGACACACTCTCAGAAATGTCATAGTTTGAAGTAACACCTTGTGTATAAACATGACTTCCGTTGGAAGGTATGCTACAATCATCATATTCATCGCTAGAGTTTGTATCTTCCTCTGTTACGTTGGTCATGGAGCCAGGGTTAGAAGAGCTAGTATGTTCACTGTCCATGGATACACCCCTCTTGTGTTCACCCTTAAGAGCCTCCAACTTCTTTTTCAGTAATTCGTTCTCCATTTTGAGATCAAGAAAGGAATCAATGGAATGAGCAGCTTCAGTAGGGATTCTTCTTGCGTTACCAAAGAAGGAACCTTTGTAAAAGCGCCCTCTAGTTTCCAGGGTAGTATATTTACCATCCTTTCTCAAGAATCGATATGTTGTTCGAAGGGTTTGCATAGCAGTGTTAGCTGTACGAAAATCTCGGACGAACATGTCAATGTCATCGACATGAATGAATTCGGTAAACAAATGCTGAACCAGTTCCGAGGGCTTGTAACCGAGAAATTCACTCGAGGCCGTAGAGCAGTAAACAAAGCGAAGATCAGGACTCAATACATGAATGACATCTCGGACTGATTCCAATATACTTTGAGACCAATTTTTGCGACGAGTAAACTCACCCGAGCTTGTGATGTTGTTGTTAAATCTCAACTTTAGTACTTGTTGGGAATTGTCCATTTTAGTTCATCTCAAAGAAGAAAAAGAACTCGTTCCAAAGCGATTCCCTCCCCCATAAGGCAATTATAACCTTATATTTTCACACTCCTCAGCCAAATAAAAACGATATAAATTCTTACCCTCTGAAGGTGGTTTATCTTTTAAACTGAGATAGCGAGCTATCTCATTATTTTGGCCGAGGAAAATGAAAATAAAAGTCCCTTATAGAGAACGGTATCAATTTAAAAAAAGGGGAACCAAATTCTGCTTGAGAACAGCGTTAATTAGACAAAATGAGTTTAATTATTTTACCTGTTATTTATTCAAAGGTTGGATTATCAGTTTAACAGATATATAAACAAGATTAAATACAATAGATCCGTTTAATAATTACAAAAAAAAGGTAAAGTGAACAATTGCGAAAATATGCTTTACTATCAATACATGCTACTACTGAAACGTTGATAGACAACTACTAAGCTCTGACTTGCTTATGATTTTTGCAAATGCTTCCATTTTATCTAAGTAAAGTCCCAAAGCTGATACACACACTTTTTTGATTAATCATTTTATGAAGAGGACCAGTTCTTACACCTTTTTTTTCCCTTTTTCTTTTCTTTTAACATAATTTTCTTTGAATGAAAGAGATAACAGGGCATCCTTCTATATTGAATATCATCACCGAAATCCTCTTAAACATAACGAATGACTATATCCCTAATTCTGCGGAATGGGTCAAATGGAACGCGTAGTGATGCTGTTTTGTCCCATAATTACCTAACACTGGCACAACAATCATAATCGAATTCCAGCGCATTGTAGACAACAAGTTTATGGAAAAGGCTATTTCGTACTATTTACAGGCCCGTAAGAGATTGAATGATGTCCCTACACTTTTTATCGTATGCAACGAATCTGTCCAGAATTCTGTCCTAAAAAAGTTGAGAAAGTGTGATGATTTGCCGTGTTATCAAGCCATTTCGGATTTTTGGGCAGAAAAATGCTATATTATGGACAATAATTGCATGCAAGGTTGCATTTCTGAATATACCGAATTAGATCCATTTGCTGCTTTCGGTTTGTTTACGACAAATCAGACTACACCCATTGATATAGTGCCTATAAACACATATCTAACTATTCAGATGCTAGATATATCATATATCACTTGATGTTTATACAAAGATTCTGGCCCAGGACATCAACTGCGCAAACGAATTGAAGCAATTGAACGATCTTTATCAAGCCCAGTATAAAAATATATTAAGTCTTTGAAAGACGACAATATATCGAGAGACAGCATAGTTAACTATGTACACCCCAAAATTTTGCTGAGTATTCTGTATGTTGGACATGGATATGGTGAACATTATAAATGGATCAATCGTACCTGCCACGGATACGGTGCATTTGAAATCTGTATCCGCTACGGATACGGTAAAAAATTGACCGTCTCTAGAATTTTGCGGTGTATGCTTTCCAGTATTGAAGTTTATTATACAAATATCCTTGCATTGACCGTTTTAACCGGAATAAACAATCTGGAAATTATTTACTGCTGTCTAAAAAGTATTTCAACTTGTCCAAAATACTTGTTAAGTTTGTCCGAAAATGATCTTTCTTGATCTATAGTAACAATACCATAATGTAGTAAAGAGTATTTGCTACTGCTTCTTAAAATACAAAACAAAACAAAACAAAACAAAAAAACGCCTGAGGGGAGCTTAAACGACAACATAAACAAGAAAAATAAAGCGAGACAAAGCATTTGGTAATAATAATGATAATAGTGAAAAAAAAAGTGTATTAGAGTAACAAAAAATAATTAAGGCCGTTCTTTTTTATTATTATTCGACCAGAGCATTTCCAGAATGGGGCAATTCCTCAAACTTCTCAGCCTTGAGCTCCTCATTCTTCTTGGCCAGAGCCAACTCAGCCAATTGTGTACGAAGCTTGTCGAGTTCGATTTCAAGAACACGAATCTTGGTATCTTTACTAGACACTTGGCTCTTTAATTCTTCGTTTTCCTTTGTAGCTTCATTATAAGCTTCTTTGAACTGGGATTGCGCATTAAAAAGAATATTAGAACTTGCGTAAAATTTGTACTTAGAACAACTTACGTCAGTTTCACCCGACTTTTCTGTGGGAGACGAGGGAGTACTCTTTACTTCCTCAACAGGAGCAGAAGGGGTGAATTCAACCTTTGTCTTGGCAGTAAAACCAGCCTCGAGATCAATCAATTTGGGATTAGCGTTCTTACCGGAAAACCATTCATCGGCAGTGAGTGCAGGCTCATCGCTAAGACAAGGAGGGAAGATATCCGACTGGAAAGCATCCGACTAATTTATATATGTGAGTATGCTTATGTAAATTTTCATTGTCTGATCTTACCTTTCTGGGAACAGTGAATGAAATGGGCTCAATCAAAGTCGTACCAACCTTGTATGCTCTTGCAATCTCACATTCATTTACATGTAAAGCACGTTTGGGCAAGAAAGACATACCTCTTTGAGGTTCGATAGCCTTAAATTCGGACAAGGGATATAATTCATCATTTTCAAACTCATAGTAACGAATGTTACCATCACCTTTACCAGCCACATACAGCATTTTTGTATCCATGTCATAAAATGGCATCAAGACACCAGAAGAGGTATCCAAGAACTCAGACTTGAGAGGTTTAGCAAGGTTTTCGGTATCCCACAAATTTAATTGACGATCACTCATACGAGAGAAACCGGTAGTAGCTAAACGGTTGGTATCACCAAGCCAGACAACACGAGAACCCTTAATACCTTGATGACCAGGACCTTCTTGAATAATCTCGTTGGAACGAACATCAAAAATACGAAGTTTTTTGTCTCGACAGGTGGTAGCCAAAAGTGAACCATTGTAATTCCATGCCAACGATTGAATGATTTCATTATGACCTGTAATCTCTTGCTTTTCAACACCCTTTTCAATATCCCACAACTTGATTGTTAAATCGGTACTGGCAGATGCTAAGACATTCTCGGCAACAGGGTGGAAAAGAACATGTCCAACCTTACTATGGAATAAAAGAACTTGATCAACTTCACGGCCTTTCATACTTTTTTCCCTCTGTGATTTCTCTTACCGACCGTGTCCTGATAACTTTAAGATAGGAGTGACTTCTTCTTGTCCTTCGGCATATTCCTCTGGGATATTCCAGATCATGACTTTGCTATCCTCAGCACCAGAAGCAATCACATAGTCGTTGAAAGGGTTAAAATCTGTGTCGAGAACGGGTCCGGTATGGCCTCTATACAGAGGATAATTATCGGGCAACTTTCCTAATCATTTCTATTTTAGCACATAAACACACATGTACTTCATACTTGTCAAGAATCCTTACCGACTTGAGCGTGGGGGAGTACAGCAAAAGCTCCACCACCGGAAGCTTGCCAGTTAACTGACAAAAAGAGCTATTTATATATAAATTTGTGAGTATTCTATTTTTACCCCTCAATTTTTTTTTTGTGTTGCTGTTTATTATTAAACTTACGGGATTTGCCTTGACCATGTTTGTATCCCAAGCATTGGCGCTGACACGAAGATTGTCATAGCTGACATCTCTCTTTGCACATGTACCATAGACGTGGCGGTATTTAGAAGGGCGGACAAAGAAAGCCATAGTCTTTTTTGAGGGTAGAGTTTTATAAAAGAGACAAGATGAACAAAGAACAGGGTTAATACTACGTTGTTTTTTGGGTTACTAAATTGTCTTTAGAGCTTACGAGTAAAGTTAATTAGCAAGGAAGAAAAAAGAAGATGAAAAAGAAAAGAAAAAAAAATAAAAATAAAGGTTCAACAAACTTTCAAAAGTCCGTCTAAAACAGTCTGGAACTAAAAATGGTAGTGTGAAAGCAATAACAAAGAAAACCTGGTGAGAGCCATAATGCAAAGCTCGTTCCCTTTTCTAGTTGCCTGCATTTCTTATATAAATAACAGTTTGTTGGGTATCGAATTATATTGCAATAAAAATAGAGAACACTTTATTTTTAACTATACATCCGTCTTTTGTTTTTTGACACTTTGTTTATCTTCCACTTCAGGTCTATCTACAGCCATAGGTGAATCTGTATCTTCTTCTTCGGCATTCATTTCTTTCAATTCCTCCTCCTTAGCATCCTGTTCTACTGTGGATACTGCCGTAGCGGTTTTTTTGGCTTGTTTTTCTTCTTCCAAAACTTTTGTTAAAACCTCATTCACGCGGTTTTGTAAGTTAATGATAGATTCCGTTAAAGGTTTGCTGTTATCCAAAGGTACTTCAATCACCTCGTTGGCAGTGTTTGAACTATATCTTGCTTTCAATGTCGACATTTGAACTATGAATGTATAAGAAAATAATGTAAAGAATGGAAAAAAAAAAAAAAAAAAAAAAAAAAAAAAATATATATATATTGTCAGTCTGTTGTTGTGGCATTATTAAACCTCAGCGACAACCATAGTGATTCCCATCAAAGTCTACCTTTCCTTCATCCGTTCTTCCGTTTCGTATAAATTTTACCACGGTATAACTATTCTAACTGCATAAATACCCCTTCCTCCTTAGTGTCACTTTTACCCAGATAACTACTTTAAAGCTGCTTTTCTTCTTCGGTTCATCATGGAATAGACGGGTAAAATCTGATAATTGATGTTATGCACAGCCATGCGATAAAAAGCATTTTTTTTTTATAATATTGAATACAAAATAGAGTTTATTTGCCTTAGATAATAAAGACCCAATATAAGATATACATGTTTATATTTTTACTCTGTAAATAATGTGGCAAAAGTGAAGGGTTCAAAATTGACACCATCACCATTATAAAACTTACTGTCGAACTCGACCCAAATAAGACGCAATCTATTTCAAATAAAGAGAATCAATATATAATGATAATAAATATTCCGGGGCTAGCTACTTACGCGTGAAGGAATGCGGAAAGACCTTCCATACATAACAAGATACCAAGGGTCAAGACAAACCACATGGAGAAACCAATGACGAGACCAGCAACAGCAAGAGGTCCTGTCATATTAAACCAAATCTTGAGTGTCATATCCCATAATACACTTGACAATTGAGCGTGAGCAAGAGATAAAGCCCAAAGACGGAGATAAGATGCAGTGTTGGAAATACAATTAAGACAGAATTCAATCGTGTGAATCGTTTGATGGATCATGACTTCAGCAAAATCAAACTATACATATAAAAACACGTTAGGCTTTTACCCCTTCAATTGTTCATCCTTTTCTTACCTCTTCCTCCTCTTCTTCGTCTTCTTCAGTCACTTCTTCAACACGTTGTTCTTCATCGGTGTTGACATCATCAGCAGCAACGGTCTCATAATGATGCTTGCTAGCTTCTTTCTTGAGGTATAAAGGCTTACCAAACCACATCCAAGGGATACAGATGACAGCCAATAAGATCAACACAAGTTGAACAGGACCTTGACCTGCAAACAATTGTTCTTCAGGGTTCACTGAACCGGGTGACAAGAACATATAAATCAACATGTTCAAGAGATTAGGAGGAGCATTACGAATATGATGACCTTGGGAATCCAATTCCCACCAGTTCACACTCCACTTGTACATGATACAAAAGATGAGGTATCCAAAGATAGATTCCATGAACAAAATTTGAGGTAAGAATTCAAGCCAGACAAAGGCCTTACGCTTATAATAAACATGATTGAAAACATTTAAACAAATGGCAAAGGACATATGAATCACACCCATCACAATAGCTTGCTTCATCTTGTACGAGTTGGAAAACAACAAAAAGTTTTCGGCTCCGTGCCATGCAGGATCAAAACCAAAAGCATAGACGTTTCCATTGGGTATACTCTCGACGGACTCGAATGAAGTGTAATTGGAAGGTAAATCAAAACCAGACTTGAAGATGTTTAAGGAGAGTGCAAAAATATCGTTGTACACCATACCCGTAAAAATAGAAAAGAAGCCCATCATCAACATCATGTAACGACCACTGAATACCATTTTAAAGATCTATACCATCCCAACAGATCTATTAATCTCTCTCTCTACCTCTCACTATGTCTACATATATATGAGCTTACCTCGTCATTGTTACTGGCTAACTTCTTTTCGTTGAGACAAAGGTAAAGCGCAATCAAGAAGAGAATCATACCATGACCAATATCACCAAACATCATGGCGAAAAGGAAAGGGAAAGAAACAATCGTAAAAAGACCGGGATTGACTTCACGGTAACGAGCAATACCATAAGCATCAATGATACCTTGGAAACCCTCAGTGAATTTGTTGGTACGATGATACGTAGGGCGTACCTTTTTCGTTTGTAACTCGGTCAAAATAGATGGAAGACTGGTACCAGAGGCATCCTATGTATTTCAATGGGAAGGGTCAGTTAGAATGTATGTCATTCTAAATATAGACAAAATGCATGTACTTACAGTGGCATCCTTTAAAGCTTGTTGAACGAGAGCAGTGTCGTTCGAAGGACACCAACCTTCGGCAATAAGACATTTACGATTCGCATCATAATTGAACAAGTTCATGGTATGGTATATAGCCTTTTCTTTGCGAACAATGGTAGTCCAAGCAGTAACATTTTCAGCGACCTTGAGTAATTCGGAGCGACGTGCTTGATTTGTAGTAGACAAGACCTAATTTGGGATTGGTCAAAATGAGTTTTAAAAAAAAGATGGTGAGTTATTTTTATACTTACATTATTCAGGTCCTCAATACGACCGGTGATTTGCAAAAGAGAATCACGGCGCTTATCAGCCGAATCCTCTACAGGATACAAGGTACCACCTAAACTCTCTGAAATCTTCTTTACTTTGGCAATAATTTCATTACCGTGAGCAAAGATACAGAAGACATTTTTATCAAGAACGCCGTCGGTGTCGGGATCTACAATAGGCTCATCGATTTCTGCGGATTTCAGATACAAGTTACCACGAAGCGAACGCCAGAGAACACGCTCGAAGGTTTGCATACGAGCGCGAGGGATGACACCGGTAACGTAACCAAGATGCATATGGTCTAAATCATGTTGAACTTGTTCAACGTCATTGTCCAAAAGAGGTGCAGAATCATCTTGTTCGTCAAGAGATTGACGGAGTGTATCCTGTCTAGATTCCGTCTATTTGAAAGAGTAAGCAAAAAAAAGTTGATGTCTTATATGATTCTTACCTGTTGGAAAAAGGTGTTGGATTCTCTCAAGACATGACGCATCTCGGTTAACTGAAGATAACGACGTTGAAGGTCTTCATAAGAGGTATTCATTTGAGAAACACGACTTTCATATTCCTTGAGGTTTTCTTCAAGATCATCTACTTCTTGAGCGGAACGAGCACGAGAACGATAAGCAGCTGGTGTTAAAGGACGGATATGAATCTCACTCTTAGCAAGTTGAGCTTGGAAGAAGCCTAAACATCAAAGAAGGGTTAAAACAAGGGGAACACGCGAGAAATAAATAATAATATAAAAAAAGGGTTTATGTGTGTAATAAACAAATAAAAATATTATACGCACGACATTGACGTTCCATCTCATCGAGTCTTCTAATTTCAGAAACAAATGAACGCTGGAAGGCATTGGTATCGGGATTAAGCTATCAAATAAAAGGTTAGTTTTCAAAAGAAGGAGTTTATTTGAACTGTCTTGATGTTTTGCTTTCTTACATCTCTGAATTGAACTTTGCCAAGTTCACCCAACTCTGCAACACAAGGTTGGGCAACTTCAGCAGGGATGTACAACTGAATAAGTGACATCTCCTCCGAGCGGAAGAGTGTGCTTGGTGCCATTTTCTTTATTGCTGTTGTAAAAAATAAAAAAGCAAGAGAGAGAGAGGAATATAAAAAATAAAAATAAAATAAGGCTAACACTTTCATATGACGTCGACACTATTATTTTTTTTAAAATGTATCACAAACCACATTGACAAGTTTCCGACTTTTTTATTTTATTCCTATTTTCTCCTTGAACATGATTAAGAATCTTGGGAAATTTAAACAAGTAAATTCCCATAAAAAAAGTCGAGTACATTGTAAACTAATTTTATTTTTTAAAAATAATAGTGGACAGGTGAAAAATTCGGTGGAGCCAAAGTCACTTTACAAACCGAGGATTTTCAAAAACTAGAACAAGAAACCGAAAAAAGAAGAGAAGGTTATGAACGTGTGATAGAGGCTGTTGAAATTATTCATTCGTATCTCCTCAAAAGAAAAACTTCGCCAGAGGATAACAAGACCAAAGCCATGCCGTTTGAAGTCCTCGGTTCTTGCTTATATCATTATGGAACTATCTATCCCGAAGATTCTGCATTAGGTACACTCACCCATTTTGTTTTATCACCATGGAAACCACAAAAATATCGACTGACTTTTTACCATAGGTATCGCCTTGATCAATTTAGGCCAAACCGAAACTCGTATCGCTGCTCTTCAAGAAGCACTGGCACAAGATATACACACTGGCTATTTAACAACACTGGAAAACGGTTTATTAGAGTATAAAGAATACGATTCTCTTCGAAAGAAGCTTGCTTCTCGTAGACTGGATTATGATTCTAAACTGAATCGACTAAATAAGGCTAAAAAAGAAAAGCCGGAGCTTGAACAAGAAATGCAAGCTTCCAGGATTAAATATGAAGATACCGAACATGATTTAATTCAAAAGATGGCATATATTCAGGAGTTTGAGGTAACTATTGAAATTTCATTGTGTATGTATATGGGTTTATTCATTATGATTTCTTTCTTGTATCAGAATGAACACCGAGATGCCTTGTTTAATTTAGTGGAAGCACAATGTACATATCATAATCAGGCTAAAGAGTTATTCGAGACTATAAAAAGTAATTGGGGCCAAGGTGCTAATTCCGATTCATGTGATATGATGAGTAAAGTAATGATCCGAGAGGACTCCGTCGCCCCATCTATACAAACTCCTGCTGCGGCTGCTGTCACTATGAATGGTGAAGATCCGACCTCTAAAGGTCGTTTTAGACCCACCTCGTTACGCCAACAAAGTCCAGCTAGTAGTAGTGACGATTATAATACCAGTGTCTATAGTAGCGAATCCGTTATTCATCACACACTCCCTACACGTGTTCCACCCCCCACCAATTTACCTTCTAGACAAACTTCTACACATGACTTTGATAAGCATCGAAAGGCTCTCTTTGACTTTACTGGTCAAAATGACGATGAGATTTCTTTTAAAACCGGGGATATCATTGCGGTCATTGATGAAATTGATAAAGGATGGTGGTTAGGTGAGGCTCATTCCAAACGAGGTATATTCCCTGTAAATTACACTGAAGAGTATGATATCCATGCACAACCTTTACCCCCCTTACCGCACGCAAATACGCATAATACACCAGCCAAGGACACGAGCCCAACATCATCATCTGTCATCGATCAACCAACGACTCGTCAGGCTCCGATTGACTCGTCTCCTGTTATTCCAGTCACGAATACAAAAGGCAGCCTGTCAAGAAAGCGGTCCACAGCCATCAGGGCACCACCTCCTCCTCCTACAGCTCGTGTCAATTCCACCGAATCATCTCCGTTACCCGTACACGAGACTCTTTTCTCCCATCCATCGCATCCTGTAACCAATACACATCATCCTGTAACCAATACACATCACCCTGATCACACACATCACCCTGATCACACACATCATCCTGATCACACACCTCATCTTGAACACGATTACTATGTACACGAAGAACCTTCATCCTATTGTATTAAAAGCACGCCTTCATCACTACACAGTCAACAAGATTTACCTTCAAGTCGAGCGTCCTCCCCGCACTTATCTCGATTGACCCAGCAAGACGCTTTACATCATATAGACCTTGTGCCTGCAGATCCTTGTGGTGAATGTGAATGTCAAGAGTATATGGAAAATCTGTTTAAAAAGGGTTATTGTAACAGGTGCTTTCATAAACATTAAAAAATAAAATAGATCGTCCCTTCTCGCCGCATATTTTCATTAAATGAATTGCAAGCGTTGCTTCATTGCATGTAACTTTTTTATTTTTTCATTTTATAAATTGTTTCAAGAGGTGTCAACAAATGGATAGTTTTGTGAGTTGTGCTTGAGGGTACCATGATATAATGCATTGAAAAAAACCTGATCTGTATTCTGTACATAGTGCTGATGAAACCATGAATCAAGCTTATGTGGAATACACACCGAAGGTTGGGACCACTAGTGTACATCATGTTGTCTGATATCAATTTAGTAGGTTCCAGACCAAAATATCCATTAGAAAAAGTTTAGTTTTGCAAATAAAGGTTAATTTGCTAAGATGATGTATCACACACTCTATTTTTATAGATTGAGTTTAAGGATCGCCTGTAACTATGGAAACCAGGGGCAAGAGCGAACATGCCTTATGACCATGTATAGTAGCAATGGACCTTAAACAGCTACCGACAATGACCCAGGCCATTTATAACAAAGTGTGGAGTTTACAACATACACTGTCGCACAATTAGAGAACAATAGGATCATTCTTAATAGAGATGGAAGTATCTCAAGCCCGGAAGCCGGGACCCTATGGTATGGTTTAGATGGACTTTATGAAGGAGGAAGAGGAGTAGGGGATTTGAAAACCAGTTACCTATAATAAGAGAAAATGTAGGATGAATTCATATAGTTGCCACGCTGAAGCCAAAAGTATCCCAGACATGTGCGAAGGTTTTTCATTGGAAATGACTGAATCCTTTCCTTCCCCCCCCCCCCAATTGGGATATAAAATAAACAAAGCCGTGGTGTAACATGATAATCCCAAAAAAAATCTTTTTTATTGTCAAAACAAAAAGTAAAAATGTATTTTGGTATTCTAATTATAGTACATGGGAAAAGGGGGAGAAGGGCAATAAATTTACATATAAAGGAATGGAGAAATGGAGAGAGAAAGAAGAAAAAAAAGAAAGATTAAACTCTTTGACGAGCAAAGACGGTTTCTCTGGTGCCTAAATGAGATAAATCTTTATAAGGCTGTTTGGGTGGAGGAAAGGGACCTTGCACTAGAAGAGAGAATGCTCTTTTCAGCAATTTTTTACCAGTGGAAGTTGATTTGGATGGTTTCTTTCTTCTTGTGTTTTGTTGTTGTTGAGGTGCTGGAGGTAACTGTTCCTGTTGATGATGATTTGAGGATGGCTGTTGACATTTATCAAGTAATAAAGGTCGATAAGATTTAATCCATGGATGATAAATAATTAAATCTAACGAGGCTCGAGTTAAATCGGGTGCTAACATGCGTCGAAGAAGATCTTTGGCGTCTATTTTAGAAAATAATAATAAATAAATTAATCTATATTGTGTTATATTATAGTAACAAAAAAACAAGTTTACCTTCAGAAAGTTCGTTTGGAATACTAAAGTTACCATGCAACATTTTTTTGAATAATTGCTGATCATTGGCTGCCGAGAAAGGATATTTACCCACAAGCATTCGATAAAGAAAGACCCCAAGGACCCAGATATCAGCCAATTCACTGTGATATTCTGTTTGAACTGATAATTCAGGTGGAACATATTGCGAATTACTAGTATAAGAAACATGAGTCATGATATATTTTCAATAAACGATAAAAAAACTTACCCGCAAAACTTGTGATATTCTGATTTGCCTTGACGAACCATACACATCATATCAATATTCCCATGCACGTCAAACACGAGTTCCATATGACTGGGTTTTTCCTCTCTTTGTTGTTTTGTTTGAAACTTGTTTGCCGCCAATACCATTTTAGCAAACTTGCGTTTACAACGTTCTTCATCACCTACAAGATTATCCGACATGTATCGATCACTGGGTGTCTTTTGGATGGATTTGATATCTGGTAAACTTTCATCTTCGTCACTCGATCTACTTATGGACATGGGTTGCTTTTCAAGTTGACGTTGAGAAGGCTCTTCTTCCTCTTGTAAACTGCTAGGTGAGAGTCGACTTAACATCATGTTGGATTCAGTGCTTTCTGTGATCATTGTTTCGCTTTCTTCAAGAATTGGGCAGAGAGATTGATGATTACGATCGTCAGTATTCGTTCTATTAGGCTTATAAAAGAAAAAGAGAGAAAGAGAGAGAAGAAGAGTTAAAACAACTAGAATAAATAAATATGGAAAAGAAAAAAAAACCTTCTCTCTTTTTTTGTAACAAAATTAATTGAAAACAATAACAATCGATTATTAAATAAGCAAAAAAAACAAGTGATAAAAAAGCGTTATTTTTCTCCCACCCAGCTGACCTCTTTTTTATTATTATAAAATCGGAAGACAGCATACCGTTTTATTGTATGTACCACCTTGCATATTATGTACTTGAACAAAACGTGGCACACATGCAGACAATATGCAGTAGAGAAGAAGGTTTTTTTTTTTGGATAAAAATAAAAGAGAGGGAATTTACCTTGTCTAAGTTGTCTATGTTATTAAGTGTATTTTTGGTAGTTTTAGAAGTGATGTTTGATGCATTATGAGTAGAATTAGTAGTAGTGGATGTGTCATTATTATTATTATTATGAATGGATGTAGTGGATGAAGTTGGAGAGTTGTCTGGTAAGAAGAACGGTAGTGGCGGTCGATCAGGAGAAAGCGATCTCCAGTCAAGTGTTGTGTGTGATGATGTGGCACTACCAGTTGACTTGTTGGAAATGCTGGGTGTCTTTAGCTGACGCCACCATGTTTTTATCTGGATTTTGGTTTTAAGTAACTGGATTTTTGATAGCTTTGTTGTGGTTGAATTATCTGTTTTTACAAACAAGTGTGGCATTCTGGAAATATCTCGTTTCATTCAAATCCCATTAGATTAATATCAATGTATAAAGTATAAACCAACCTCTTTCTTTTTATGTAGATAAAAAGAAGAGGAGGGTTATCAAAGAAAAAAGAAGTATAATAAAAGTGAGAAAAAAAGGGAGGAAGTACAAGAACAAAATTTAAATCTTTTTTGTAGCAGTAGCAATTTTTTTTTTTTTTTTTTTTTTTTTTTTTGCACATACCCGAGTAAAATTTACTTTTCAGGCAAATAAACTCTTTCTTGTACTTGATTTCTTGTGCCTTTGTAATATATTACCAGTGTTACTGCTATTACTTTATTCTTTCCCCTTATCTTTACTAACTATAAAATTACTATGATCTACATGTCATCCGCGCTAAAATAGAATCATCATAAATAGCACTCATGTTCATAAGAAGGCAGTGACCATCATCATCGTATCATCGTCAACAAGACCCGCCGTCGCCGCCGTGAACCGTAAGCAATTTCCACCCCTTAAACTCTTTTTTTTATTTGCCACGCGAAATCATAATAAACAACAGAAGATCCCCTCGTTGTTCATCAATTTAGTTTATGCAATATGTCATTTCTCTCATTAAACACGTTTTATGGCCCGAAGAGACCCCCCAAAAAACCAAGTTTAACCGAGAATACATATTATCCAATCAAGTGTGAAACATTTACTCTCCCCCGAACAACAGAAAATTTCCGCCTCCCAGGGCAATGACCGGTTTTTGTCAAGCCAGTTTTTCTTTTCTCTCGCTCAGGCTTTGTTTTGTGTAACCTCTCAGATCTCTCGCTTCTGTTGCTAGGCGACGGACTTTAGATTACGTACGCAATCCAGCTTTTTTTTTTTTTTTTTTTTTACAGGAACACCTATCGTCGTCATGCTGGGGCTTTTTTGTACACCATCATAAATAATAATAATAATAAAAAATAATTATTTTTAATTAAAATGATGATACTATTATAAAATGAAGAGCTGTACATACTTGCATGAGACTTATAAAGACTAAAAGAAATCTAAGCGTCGCATTTTTAATTAAAAAAAAAGCGTTCTAATTTTGGGAGAGGGGAGGGAGACCCAATTTTAGTTTGTTCCATCACATCATCATTTAATAATTTGGTGGTATAAGAAGCCTAATTTTTTGTCTTGTTCGAGATTTTTCTTTTTTTCTTTTCTTTTGTATACACATATTTTTTTCTTCTTTCCTCTACACACTCAATAGAAAAGATGGCAAATAAAATCACTATGGATTCAGGTTATATGTGGTTAGGGTTGTATTTCATCCTCAACTTATCCTTGACTTTATACAACAAGATCGTGCTAAACAACTTCAAGTTTCCATATTCATTAACTGCCATTCATACGCTTTGTGGCAGTGTGGGTTGTTATATATTGTATGCTATGGGCGTCTTTACACCAGCAAAGCTAGGTGACCGTGAAAACTTGATTATGGTCATGTTTTCTGTTCTTTATACCATCAATATCGCCATAAGCAATGTATCCTTGTAAGTTCTAGATCTTATCTTTAGAAAAAGGAGGGGGTATATAGAGAGAGAAACAGAGAGAGAGAGAGGGGGGGGGGGACGTACAGGATGGATACTAAATATCTTGATTAAAATTTCATGTAGGCATCTTGTTTCCGTACCTGTAAGTTGATTAACAATTCATATACACAAATAGTTTGAAGTCTAAATTTATACTCATAAACAATAGTTTCATCAAATGGTTCGTGCCATGACACCTGTATTTACAGTCATGATTTCAATCATCTTTCTTCAAAAGCAATATCCTCGTAAAATCTACATTTCCCTGTTACCGGTAATAATGATAAAAAAAGGGAATATGTAGCACAAAACCCATTAACTCAATTTAATACTTTTAAGGTTGTTCTTGGCGTAGGGTTTGCAACTTCTGCAGAATACGAATTTACTTACATGGGATTCTTTCTTACGGTATTGGGCGCAGTCTTAGCTTCTATTAAGACCATCGTGACCAATCGAGTCCAAGTTGGTCGACTTAAGTTAAACCCTCTTGATCTGCTGTTCCGTATGTCACCTTTAGCCTTCGTTCAGTGCATCATCTATGCCCATGTTACAGGAGAGCTGGAAAAGGTACGAGAGTTTTCTTCAGAGAACATGACGTACAATTTAGCCTGGACCCTTTTATTCAATGGATTGATTGCTTTTGGTTTAAATATCGTCAGTTTCACTGCCAACAAAAAGACAAGTGCTCTTACCATGACAGTCGCTGGTAATGTAAAGCAGGTCTTATCCATCATTTTGTCTGTTATCATCTTTGATTATGCTATCAATTCAACAAACGCTTTTGGTATCATTCTGACATTGTTCGGTGGTGGTTGGTATGGATTTGTCGAACTATCCTTAAAGAAGAACGCTGCCCAATTGTTGCCCACAACCATTACTTCACCTACAAACTCCATGGACGATAAATATGAACATACTAGTTCTGCATTGACTGACAAACAATTACTCATGTCCGAAAAGAGGGAGGTAGTTGTTTAATCATTATTTTCTTTTTTAGTTTCCTTTGTATTATAATCATTTATTTCTCATTTTCATTTACAAACAATAAAAATATATATAAATTACAAAAAAAAAAAAAAACGTGCTCTGTATGAGATGGATTTAAGCGTTGTGTTACACTATCCATGAAGGGCTGTGTATGTGTGTGGGGCTTAGTGAAAAGAAAATTTCATTCAAAACTATAAATGCATATTAATCATCCATTAAAAATAGGATGATTTTAATTATTTTATTTCATTTTATTCTCAACCATATTCAGTAACAAGCTCGAATATCTTTCAAGCAACTGGATGGTTTCTGGCGATTCTTTTCGTTCCGGCTCCTCTTGTTGTTGTACACTTTTAGAAATCTTATCGGCAACCTGACTTAATTTGCTTTCAATCGCCCGAATTGATTTTTCATTGCTGTTTGATTTGGTACTACTCAGATACGCCTCCAACACACTATCCAATAATATCGTCACGCCTTCTAAATCAGACAAGGCGTTCTCTAGCTTTACATTGTCCTCTTCTTCTTCTAAAGTCACAGGCTCTTCCTCTTCTTCTTCTGCTGTTTCCGTTGTATCAGCCTTTGTCTCCGCCATATCAGCCTTCTTTTCCGATATATCAGCCTTCGTTTCCGCTATATCAGCCTTCGTTTCCGCTATATCAGCCTTCAGTCCATCTTTTTGTTCTTCTGCTTTTTTAGCACTGCTCACTTTTTCCTCCACAAACATCACAGCGGGTGTCTCCTCTACCTCTTTGGTACCACTATCCACTACACTAGTAGATATTTCTTCTTTTGCTAAAGAAACGTTCGCTGAAACGACTTGTTTTACGACAGGCGCGTCTTCTTGTTTCATTGGACTTTCAGCCATTACAGTTTCTTCCTGCTGCTCCACGCGGTGACCACGCTTGGAAGGGTTTCGAATCATAGCTTCTTCCTTGTACGGTAGCGCCACATCAATCGTCAATTTCAATGGCTGTGTAGTTTCAATCACATGGGTAGAGATAGGAGGCGTGATCGGGGGTATGGGTTTGGTTAACTCTTGGAAAGAACTCATGACATGATCCAAAGAAGGACGATGTGTACCACCACCAACGGCGGCAGCAGCAGTAGCGCCAGAGAGTGAAGATAAAAATCTGGCAGTAATGCTCTGTCTTTTCGCTGCTTTTTCCAATTTGTTTTGAATTTCAATGTAAGCGTGATTCATCATCTCAGGAGAATCATCGGGTAAAGAAGAGGGGGAGAGAATGGGTGATACAATGGGATCTTGAGGACTGTCAAGATGGATACTGCTGTGACGATGAGATATAGATGTGGAGGCGGTCGTCACGGTGGTTCGACTTAAGGAAGTCGAAACACGAGGTGGTTCTCTTGCCGTGATATCTCGATTAATTTCATCATCCACATTATCTTCACTGGATTCTTCATCATTACAGAGCGTGGTATTTGTTTCACTATCAGAAACAGGTGTACTCCCACCGTATTCTTCCTCGTATTCTTCTTCTTCTTCGCACGCAGTCGGAATATGATGATGATGCGTTGAAACTTCAAAGGTTTTACTTGTTTTATCTTGTTCGGGTGTAAAAATAATCTCCTCTTCTTCTTCTTCTTCTTCATCCTCTTCATCCTCTTCTTCCTCATCTACTTCGTCATCATCTTCCTTTTCCTCTTCATCTCTGCTATGATCATTATCTGAGTCATCTTCTACATATATAAAAGGGTTTTAAGAATAACAATTTTAATGCAAATGGCAAGTTTATTACCTTCAGCCAAAGTTTTAAAATTGGCCTTGATATTCGTCACAATGGTTTGCTGTAAATCAGATACAACAGGTTGAGAATCCGTTAATTTCCGTGTAAATGTAGGTTGACTACTTCTTCGACTGATCACGGAAGCTTCCCTTTGTTGTTTGGTATTGTTGGATAAATATGCCATGGTTTTGGTAGGCGATTTTCTGCTCGTATTTGCATTATATTCAGGTTCCTTCTTACCCATCAAAGCGTCTCGAGAAATCGCGCGTCTTAGGATCGGATTTCGACCACCACCTGAGACTAAAGGTGGAGGCGCTGATGATTGTTGACGATATTGCACTAAACCAGCAGCAGTGGGTGGCGTGACCTGACTCATTGTTCTCTCTCGCCCATATGATGTTGGCAATCCGTTATACAAGCGATCTAATTTACCTGTGCGCTGTTCCGGAGGTGATTTTCTACCATTATTATTATCTTGTTGCAAGGGAGGTGCAGACATGATTCGATTTTCCTTTCGAAGAAAGACATTACGATGATTAGGATTACTATTGAGGAGTCGATTTGGCGTGGTAGGGGATGCAGGTGGAGTTTCTCCTGTACTTACTCCAGCTGGTGCTGCTGAATGATGATGATGATGGGGTATCGCGTTATCATGGTTGCGACGACCGGAAGAAGCCGCAATTTTTTTATATACATCGTCGTATTTTTGTTCTGCGGGTGACATGGTTGAGAAGGTACGACGTTCACCTTGTCGGATCATTTGGGAGATACTGGCAGTGGGTCGTATATTGGTAGCGGTACTTACACGACGGATACGTTTATTGTGATTGTTTTGTAAACCCAATAACATGGCTGCTCGCTTGTCTTCCGTTCCATCATCATCTGCCCTTTGCTGTTGTTTCAATTTGAGATCGCGTTCGTTGGCTCGTGCACACATTTTAGCAATAATCTCTCGGTTGACCTTCCAGATAAAGATAGTGCCATCCGAACAAGTACTGACGACACGTAAGCCATCCTCTTCGGTATTCGTACGAATAAACTTGACGGATGTGATGAGTTCTGAATGAGCACACATCTTTTCAATACATGTACTATTGGTTAAATCAAACAAACGAATACATCGATCTGAACCACTGGTGACAGCAAAGGTGCCCGAAAATGGATCCAAATCAATATTGATTAGACTTCCACCTGAATTTTCAGAAAATTTTCCAATCTCGTCCGCTGTCTCGGGTTTACAGATACGAAATGGTTTACCAGATTCAACACTGAGAACATAGAGTTTGCGCTCACCTGTGACTGATGCTACAAATCGACCATTGACATCCAGTGCCATGTCAAACACAGTACTTCGTCCTGAATAATTGTGATATGTGGAATAGGGACGAGGTGTAGGATCTAGAAAAGGTGTGACGGGACTGGTACGTTGACGGAAAATGATGCCTTTATCCGCGCCACAACTGATCAACCGACTGGCATCTTCGGAGAATTTGACGGATGTGATGGAGGATGAATGGTCGTCTAAACTTTGAACTAGCTGAAATTTCGATTTTATATCAAAAATATGAAGCAATCTGTCCCGACTTGCCGTAGCAATTAAACTAGGTGCATCTACACAGTTATAAAAACCATGTTAGTTATCACACCAAAACATAGAAACAATATTTTTTACCTCTTTCTGTAGGCGTAGTTAAAGCAATAGATAAAATCTCAGAATCATGCGCCTCTTGGTAGGTGAGGAGATCCCAAGAATTCATATCATGCACACGTAAATTGCCACTACGATCACCACTTGCCATTAACTGTCCATCTGCACTCATTTTTAGGGATCTAATACCATAATCAGGGCATTGATCTTCTGCGAGTTCTACAAGAGATTAAAACCTGAAAAATTGAGTTCCAGGAACCGTGTTATACCCCGCCTTCATCCTTTTTACCTACCGTAACTACTTTTAAATTTCGAGAATTTGACTGCATCGGGATCCACATAAATCATCTTTATTAATTCCCGAGAATAAATATTTCGTCGATGGGATCCGACCACTGTACTACTACTGGGTGATAGAATTCCATTTTGTCCGTTGACGGGGGGAGGTGGCGAGAGTGGTGAAGAAGAGGTGGATGATGTTGTATGAATGGGTGTATCTAAATTCCAAATACGAACCGTACCATCCGCCGAAAAGGTAGCAAATGAATTCAGTGGAATTGCATTATCGTCTCTTTCGATATTCGGACAGGGTTCCACACCCCATACACAATCGCTATGAAAAATAAAACTTCTGTACTTGCCAATCTTGTTCAAATCACGAATGTCCCATACATATAAACTCCTATCGCCATACACACATACCACGCGTTGCGAACTTTCGTTATAGACCATGGCTACAGCGTCGGGATAAAATGCATCGGTGGGACGAATCATATCGGGTGAAGTGACGAGACTGATATCGGTCCCTAATGGATGAGGCTTTGGAAGGATGCCCACATACTTTAATGTCACAGGTTCAAACAAACTATATAATCGAAATTGAAATTAAGGAGAATTCTATATGATTAGAATAGACACATAATCTAGCATACCGAATGACGCCTTCTGAGCAGGTACATATCACATAATTTGATGAGACGGCAATTGAATAGGAGTTTTTTCCCTGAAGATCGACCCATTTATCGAGTACCCTTCCTTCTTTAAATATACACAAAATACTAAGGTCCGTGATGAAATAAGTGTAACCGGTGTTGCTACTCCGATCGCAGGCTACATCAACAAAGTTGGCGTCACGTAATACACCCAAGATACCTGATCTACCATCCAATACCTGCGTTTCTCTTGACGAAAGATTTCCCTATTGTTATTTTATTATTAGAAAGTTTTTTTTTTTTTTTAAAAAAAAAAATGTCAACTTACTCTTTTAGGAATTCTTCCGCGAGCATCCAAATACCAGAATTTGACATGTCGTAGACCGGCAGTAACAAAATAAGAGCCGTCTTTGGAAAAGGACACTGCATTGACTCGACTTGTCACTTTGTTTCCGGCCAATTTTATTCCCTTTTTCCAATCCCAGACATAAAGATAACCATCATGCTAATTTGTGTACGAAAATTTAGCATGTGTTTATGGTTCGGGAGCTTTTTTTTTTTTTTTTACCTGAAATCCAATCGATACCAAATATCGCATGTTTGGAGAAAATGATAATGACAGGACACCAAATTTGTGTGATTTGAATTCTCGGAGTAGCTTTTTTTCTTTTACATCCCAAATTAGGATTCGAGGCTGATGGCCCATCTAGAAAAGAAAATTGTCAGCTTTTTTTGTTTTGTTTATGTATACAAAAAAAGTTGTCATTTTAAGTTTACTTCTCCAGCAGCCAGATAGTTCCCATCGGGGGAGAATGCTAAGCAGCTGATAGGTTTTGCACGAGTGCTGGCAGGTGTCGCTGATTTTTTCTCGTCTTGGCTAGTGGGATTTTGTGTGGAAGTCAGGACTTCATTGTTCATGGATGTCGTATTATTGTTACCCCCACCACCGAGAGGTAAAATAAGCGGTAAAGCAGAGGACGACAATTGATTCGAAGCATTCGTATTGTTTATATTTACATTTGTCAATTGTTGTTGTGTCTGAGGAGGGTATAATAATGCCACTTGTTTATTGCGTTTATGATTATAAATAACTACAACAGCGCCTGCCGCATAAGCTATCAAGTCGTTGGCTGTCGCTAATATATTGGACGACGTCGATGTAAGTCCTAGAATCCTCTCTAGCTTTAACTATTTCATAAAAAAAAATTTTTTTTTTTTTGTTATTAACTACCACACACACACACATACACACACACAAAAAAAAATTCTGTGTTACTTTTGGAATAGGTCGTATGGTTTCTTTTCCTTTACGTCGAAACCCAGTATTATTCTGAAATGTCGCAAAATTAGCAAGTTGATGAGGTGTGACATTACTCGATTGAGAAGGTGGAGGAACACTCCCAGAGTTCACCGGAAATTGTTCGTCCATAATTATTTATTAAGAATATGTATGTAAAAATATTAAAAAAAAAAAAAAAAGAAGGAAAAGAAAAAGAGAAAAAGAAAAAATTAAACACATAAACAAGCACACACATTTGGCACACTTAATATTACAGCCTTGTGCCGCATACGGCAGTCACTTTGTAACCCCTTAAAGAATTGTGCTACGGCTTTGTCTCTATCACTTGTTTATCTTGCATTGTACTAAAAAACGGATCGGCACCTTTAAATGTGCCTGTCTCTCATTATCAACTAGCAATGTCCAGTCTCTTGGTCCATCTCTTGTACCTAGTGGTTGCAAAGCTTGCTGTTCTAGGGTAGCGCTCATCTAGACGACAATAGACTCCCCCACCATCCCCATCCTCTTTTATATTCCCTGGTAAAAAGATTGTTATCGAGCTACTCGGTTTGTTCACGGTCAAGAAGTAGTTTTACCTGATACAATTAAGGTATATTGTCTAACTTGACTGTGCGATTCATAACCTAATATTTTCTTTATTTTCTCTTACTGTAAAGTTACACTTTCTACTCACAGTGGTATGATTGAATAATCCAGGGTTCTTTGCGCGTGTGTGTTAATGCCATATGTAGCGCGGAAAATTTTAATATATTCATCAAGACCGTTTTGATTTCTTTGTAGGCTTTGATTAAAACAGTGACAGGTGATAATGAAAGTTTATTCGTGCTTTTTTATTTTAACATGGTAAGGGGGTAGAATATGAATAAGATCAAAAGAAATGCTTCTCCTAGTTAGAGTGAAAAAAAAAAAAAAAAAAAAAAACTTTAGTTGAACCAAACTTTAAAAAGAACAAGACTCTTTCTGTTACTGCTTTTTTTTTTTTTTTATTTTTTTATTTTTCGTAGCATTGAAATTAAACTATTCCGAAGTACAGCTCAACTATGCTTTTTTCGGGTATGAAGGATGAATTAGGTTTTATTTGAATGTATAACATAAATTCATTCATGATACATGTTCATAGCAAACAGGAGTAATGATAAAAAGTTGAATTTCGGTTAAATACAAGGAGAAATACATCTCACATTCTTTATTGCAACAAATCAAATTGACTCGAGTTAAATAGTCTTTTAGGTATTTTCTTTGAAAGACGACAATGTCCTTTTTCCCTCCCCCTTTGACTACCAGGAACGAGAGTCCCCTATAAAAATATGATAAAATCTATAAATAGTCAAGTTTTTGATAGATACACACATTCATTGTAATCCGTCTGTTTAGTTATTTATATCCGTAATTAGTAATTTCAAATCAGCAGCTCTCATGCATTATAAATACAAACAATGCTTCTCTTTCTGTAATAGCAACATTTTCAACACTTGTTGGCAACATTTATTTGTGGCCCTGAACACTTTTATTACAACATTCTTTGTGTTCACTTGCAATTTTTATTATTATAGACTTGTCTATTTTTGTATTGTAGCACATTTTTTGTTTTTTATGGTGAAACACTCAGCTGCTAGTAGGCTAACTCAGTTTATTCCTTGACCAAAATAATAATGCCATCGTATTTTTTGTATGTCGCACAAATCAACTGACATAGTGCCATTGCTAACTGTCATCAGCAGCTTTTTTTTGGGGCGTGAGTTTCTCAAGTTGTTCTTAATCTAACCTAGTTAAGCGATCCCCCGCCCCTTTTTCCCCAGATACACTCATGATTAAGATTTAATTGATACTTTAACATTCTATTACAATCCCATTAACCCAGTAATAATAATTTGAAGATCTCTATTATAGCTGACAATCGGAAACATTTCAAGGTTTTAATTTGCATTGAAAGGTACATGCTTGTGTGTTTCGTAAGACACACTTTATAGATAGATAGCATGTAGAATAAGCTTTTTCATTCCTTTAATTTTTATTATCTCGTTAAACTAATTAATGCACTTGACATAGCTCATGAAATCGCGATCAGTCACCAATCTATCCATACTTCTTCTGTCAAGTTGAATGATAACTTCAATTGTATCAGGAAGATAGGGCATAACCGTGATCAAAGCAAGTGGCGAAGTCTCAACAAAGCTTCTTAAACGGACGTAAGGTCCATACCCGAGATCAAAGTTGTTGACAAAACGAGACCAATCTGAAAATCCAACAGCTCCTCTTGCCAACGAAGAAATAGGACTCGTAATCTCTTCTACGTTAGGCGAAGTGTTAAAGTAATGTTCGAGTGACTCCATAAAGGGTACAGTAACCGAACGCGTCTTTGCACGGAGCTCAGTGGCAACTTGGAAAATTCCCTTGTCTAAGACTTCCTGTGCCGTATTATGAAGCGGGACAGGCCTACATATCGTAATTGAGTATCGTTTAATATATACACACAGATATGAAAAACTTACATGATAAAATTACCGAGGTACTTGACCATATCATAATCTGGATGCTGATGATGATTACTCACAATACACAGCATATCAGCACAACTATCTTCCGGAGCTCGGCGTGCTTTCACAATGGCACGATGCACAAATGACGACAGGATATCAAATTGAGAAAGCTTTGCTTTTGGTTGACCAGCATCTTCAAGCACTGAAGCCTTTAATTTCTTCATGACGGATCTTTCAAACGAAAAGATGAGTTTTTTGGAGGGGCCCATTTGAATGGTAGGTGGAGGAGCTTCACCGGGAGCGTATCTGGGATATAATTCGGCATGATTTAAACCAGGTAACGGTTGAACAGGCTTTCGATCTTTATCGGTATACATATGTAATTCATCTTCCTCGATGGTCTCGCCACGACTAAGACGTGCAAAGAGAGCAAGAAATTGTGTCAAGCACCAACCATCCATGACTTTATGATGGAATGAAAAGTTCAATACACAACTGCCACATCGTGTATAGACAATTTTTGCACCGAATAAAGGAGAATCGCGCGATACATACGATTGTACAGCAATCATTTCTTCAAATGGCACAACAGAGTAAGAGAAATTACTGCGCTTGTATTCTTGGAAGTCATCCACTGAATCGGCTACTTCAAATAAAGCACCCTTTTCGAAGTTAGTGATGTCATATCGACCATTGTTGCCCTTGACCAAGCGACCGGTAAGTGGGTAATAATGATTTAAAGCGCCCTCTAAAGACGCCTTTAGTCTAGGCCAATGCATAAACCCAGGATCCTTGTGGACATTTTCGAAGAAAAGTGCAATTTTGGTGTACACATGAGAAGTAACCAAACTGAATCCTTCAGGTGCTGGAATAGATTTAGCCTGAATTCCTGCAGGCGATGTTAAGAATGAGCGATGCTTAGGAGGAATAGCAACCATGGTTAGATTATATCGAGTAAAGATAAAAAAAGTATTACAATCGAGAGGGTTTGGGTTTTATATGTTAAAGGCGCCGGCCAAACAAGCGGGTAAAAAAAAAAAAAAAAAAAAAAAAGGTTTAAGTAACTTTAATGCCTTTTAGAGTTTGACAAAATCACATCATCCACTGACAATGTGGTAGAAATCTGGTTGTAACTGTTCCACCAAAGTTTGTACAACGGTTTGTAAGTTTCTTCTAAATCGGATAGTGTTCGATTTACATCGGTATCCCAAGGCTTATTGAGAATGTAGTGAATGTTCTTGACTTTTTCGAGATTCCACATTGGTTCATGGGCCCACTGGAGAGTCTTGAGTGCATTATAAATAAACGATATCGGCTTCCATTGCTTATTAAAAATTTCATTTAAGAAATCTTGGTCGGGAAAAGGATAAATATTAAGGTCCGAGATGCTGTCCAGATAATCGATCATTGCGCTGAATTTACTTTCATCGGGAGTTAGTACGATAAGGCCGCTATTGAAATAACTTGAATTTTTGTTCAGAGGAACAGGAGAAACGCAGGTTTCGCCAGTGTAGGCGCAGTTTTGAGGTATCCAATGCACGGGATAGTGGTCAATCTTCTGAGGGTTGCAGATACATGCATGGGAAGCAGCCACCCAATTCTTGTCGGGTAGTTCTAATCTCATGAGTTCGTCCATATTCTGAAGTGGCAGCATGTCGGCATCAAGCAAGACTAGCCGATCATAGCCTGATTGATTCCAAACCGATAGCTTTGTCCATGTATCAACAAACCTTTCGAATTTATAATTCACTTTTCCTTTTGGAGTAATAGGCTTAATTTCTTTTACAATGCAACCAAGTTTTTTTAGAGTTTCAATCACGCTAGGGACCACTGCCGAAGTATAAAGCACAAGGAGAGGGTATTCACTATGGTGTAAATCATGCAACGCGTGCTTTAGTGCCAGAACTCCTTTGACATAGTTATTTGTACTGGTCAATACAACAGCCCAGGCTCCATGTATAGTAGAAGATGTTACCATTTTTTATGTGTGTTTTGAAAAAGTAAAAAGAAAAAAGAAAGATAAAACAAAAAATGGCGAAATTCATAACGTATTTATTCGCAAGTGAAACACGTAAGACGTACGAAACTTTTTGTCGGAAACCCAATCAGGATTTTCATAATTATTTGAAATTGTGATGCAATAACATGTCCATCTTTTTTAAACGCATAACATGAGATTATTAAGCTTAATTATTGCCAGGTACGCTCTATCAGGATAATAAATAACGTTTTATCCCTCTCTCATACGCAAATTATAGTTTCTTAGTAACCTTTGCCTCTGCTTTAAAGTTGCAGGGTAAAATTATACCTAATTCCATTATTTCCGGTAAAGTTTCTCCAATTGACTTCGTCAATTCTAACACTAAAAAAGAAAATTAGATGTATCAAAGATCGATTCTTCTACAACCAGAGTAGTGCTTAATGGAAACCAACATACGGCCCACATCAAAGTTAATGGTGAATTCACTTTGTATGTCCTTTCTCACTCTAATGTCTGTACTGTCCATTAACACTTTTTTTTCTAAAAAAAAAAAACTAGTCCCGATGTTAAAGAAGGCTCTTATTTATTAGAGGTTCAAAGCATCGAACACATTTTTCCCAAGGTAGGGATGGCTTCTATTTTAATAGATGATGAGGTTTACTTTTTATTTTTATTTTTTTATTTCTTTTGGGACCATGTAGTTACGTGTAGACATTAACAATGAAGACAAGGTCAGAGCTTCTTATACTGCTTTCGGTGTTGATTGGAATCAAAGAGGTGTGTCAGTTGAATACCCGCTGGAGATACAAGCAAAGCAGGAATCAGAGTATTTTATGGTAAAATTGTCATTTGGTTTAACAAAGGGGGCATGATTGTACTCGTACTAAACATTACGGAAATAGGAACGTCAAGGTTTTAACGTCATGGGAATGTTCAAAAACCCCATGTTCTTAATGCTCGGTGTTAGTGCTGTCATGATGTTCTTTATGCCAAAGTTGATGAAGACCATTAAAGACATGGGTTTGTACTTTGCTTTTTTGTTGTTTTGCAAGCATTTAACCTTGTTTTTTTTTTTAGATCCAGAAGCTATGGAGGAAATGAGCCAGACACAAACAGACGCACAAAAGATGTTGAATGATATGCCTGGTTTATCACAAATGTTTGCCAAGAAATAAAAAACTCGATAGAACATTATACTCGATACATGTATAAAGAGACGTTAATTGTATTAGAAGCTACAAAAAAAAAAAGAAGAGCATAAGATAGGTAGGACTCGTTTGTGTGAATTGGTTCATTGCCGATTAATCTATCTTCGGCCGAGATTGGCAATAGGCTATGGTTTGATAGAGAAACTTTCGATGGTCAATGCAAGTTACATGGCATAAACAATGATGCGTAAATATTCAACTGCTCATTTGTATTTACTTTTCAAACACTATGACATTTATGGATTGTGTCAATTAATTTAAGTTACACCAAGCGGTTGCTCAAACGTATGTTATTTTTTATAAATTTCCTGGGGAAAGAAAACCGTTGTGGGCCGCTTTATTCTTTCTTTTTACAAAAAATGTTTTTGACCGCTCGATTTCTTAAGCAAAGTATCACTAAGCAACAGTTTATAAACCGTCGAATTATTGGTAAGACTTTCTTTACTACCTCCTCCAACAAGTTCCAAAGGCTTGTCACTACTCAAGAGGATGACGATTGCCTTCATGTCAAATGGAGCAATGAGAACTCGGGTACCAGTACATACAGTTACCTCTGGCTCAGAGACAACTGCCAATGCCCTCGTTGTCTTCATCCTTCCAGCAGTCAAAAACTGCATTCTTCCGCTGATATCCCGCTCGATATTAAACCTACTACTGTCAAAATTATCGGAGAGGAAGCAGAAATTACTTGGGATGCTCCCCTTCGCCATGAGAAAGAGATGGAAGCTCATGTGAGTCGTTTCCCCCTTGATTTCTTGCGTAGATATCAATCCAGTGAAGCAAGCGAGAAGTTTAGATTTAACCATCTAGTTCCCAAAACTTGGAGTAGCGACGAATACAAGCTGGAATGGGTGTCCTATGATGATTATATGAAAACGGATGAGGGTCTGCATACAGTGGTTCAAAGACTGTACAACAAAGGGTTAGTCTTTTTAAAGGATGTTCCTTTGACAGATGAAGCATGTACTCAGGTAGCCGAAAGAATTGGACCCATTCAAGAAACTTTCTATGGCCGTGATTTTGATGTAAAAAACATCGCTAAATCAATCAACATCGCATACACTAGTTTATATTTGGGTTTCCACATGGATCTTATGTAAGACGAATTACCAATGATATATACGCATAATTATTTAACCGTTTTTTTTCCCAGGTATTTGGATAGTCCTCCTGGAATTCAACTTTTACAAAGCTTACAGAATAGCGTGACAGGTGGCGCAAGTATTTTTGTAGATTCCTTCCGTGCTGTTGAATTATTAAAAGAAAAGTATCCAGAGGATTATGAAATTTTAGCAACAACACCCGTTACATTCCATTATTTAAACAATGGCCATCACATGTACTACAAGAGGCCTACAATCGTCACAGGGGAGCCACAAAGCGGACCGGCTTGGGAAAGTCATGTGAACTATGCTCCTCAGTTCCAAGGTCCAATGGATGATTTGTCTCCCAAGGAAGCAAAACGATTCTATAGCGCCTTCCAAAAGTTTGCAGATTTCGTTGAGGATGACTCACTTCGTTATCAATTGACACTTCAACCAGGCCAACTTGTTATGTTCGCCAACAGACGGGTATTACATGGTCGTACCTCATTTGACCCCACCAGTGGTGATAGACATCTGAAGGGAACCTACCTAAATTTGGATTCTCTCAAGGACAAGTTACGTGTATTGAATCAACAATACGGATATGATTCATCTGTTTAATGACTACTGTTGCAATAAACCATCTGAAAAACAACATGTGTCGTTATTATGTTTATAAAACCTGCTCTGAGACCTGTCACCTATACTTCGGTAATCCGTATTAAAACTAGAAGGAAAGGATCCCAGCACCTTCTAATACGTGGGGACCATCTGATTTTGTATATACTTTTTTTTTAATGTTATTTTTTTTTTTTTTTCTTTTTGCAGTATATACTGGGTTTTAGATTACCGTCAGTTGTGAAATTACCATCGGTTGTGAAATTATCAAAGAAAAACTCTTCTAGAACTATAATAAGCTGTCAACGTTTACACTTGGACTAGATCTCGCTTCATCTTAGTTACTTTTAAATGGTCAAGCAAAAAGTTGGAAAAACCTGCAAAACTTCGAAGTTCTCTTCCACAAAAGTGTTCGGCAGAAAACAACACACTGAACAGAATTGTCAACATTTAAAGGATGTAGATAAGAGTAAAAATCCAGTTACCTAAGTGAGTACTGTTTCTAGTCTCTCAATGTTTTGGAAAATATGGAATAGTTCATAGTGATTTGAATTGACAATTTTCTAGAATGTCAATGTCAGAATTCAGGTACAAAACGAGGATATAGTCTAAGAACCAGTCAATGACTTGTTTGAAGATTTAGTTGAAAATCTAGTTGAGGATTCAGTTAAAAATTCGACTGAGGGTAATAGTGTTCTGATCGAGTATTTTGAGATCTTTCAAATCTGCTTAATAAAGGAAGGATACCCTTCCGGATAGGACCTTAATGTTGAAAAAGACGTAATCTTTGAACTGACATCAAAACAAGTAAATGGTGCTGTTCTTGCCACCAATCATTGGGTTCAGCGAGAAAAAGAGTTGCAAATTAAAAGGAGCTGGCAACGTCGTATATGCACCAGTGTCAATTTACCAGGAGAGTGCGCTCAAAAATATACTACCAGTATCTGCATTCCACGGATAGGGAGAAATTATTACAAACTTTAGGCGAATCTGATAAAATTAGTAATATCGTATCCTTTTGGGAACCCATCCAGGGTTTCGAAAAATTGTAAAATTGGACAGTTTTGCGGTGGTTGGTGAGTACAAGTCAACGGTGACAGGCAGTTCATGTTTTCCTTTCAAAAGCAAATAGATAGTCAGGAAAAATAGTACAACTAAAAGGATCAAAAGCGCAGTAATTCGTAACAGCCCTGAATACCCAGAAGAATCACACAAAAGTCAACAACCATCAACCGTGATCAAAATGACGCAAAAAAATATTGGATCGATTGGTTTTTCTTCGGTGGTCTCTGCCGATACCCAGCTACTTTCGCCATTTAGACGTGCATTACATGACACACATAAGTATGGCGATGGAGAACACCAATAATCTTACAGATACTATTATCATTTCATTTGAAAGGCACAACTTATCGAATAGCTACCAACAAGCCAGTCTGGCTACGTCGGTTGATCTGGTTGATCCAGTAACTAAATTTCCCCCCAGGCATATCTTGCGCCAGAATTAATCAGATAATAATATAGCCAAGGCCATTTTTTCTTCTTGGTTCTTTAAAAGTACTGTTGCTTCCATGTCATCCAAGTGCGCCTTGAACTTGTTATAGAAAGTTCTCCCATATTGTTTTTATATTGATTATTGAGGCCAGTGTTAACCACAGATGGAATTAAAGTCACTGATAGTCAATCATTAATTAAAAAATTGCATATGTATAATTTATGAACATCACATCATTCAGTTGCGTTTTTTTTAAAAGTAAATAATTATTATGTATGGTAATTAAGTTTATTGTCTATCGCATTTCGTATCTGTTGTGTCTATTGTCTTCATCATCTTCACTATCTCTATAACCGGAAAGACCGCCGTCCACCAACAAAATGGGGGTGCTTTCTGCTACTGTGCTATAGAGATGATGCGATGACGTGTTCTCTGGTTCAACTTCGTCTGATATTTGTTTGCGTGAAGTTACCATTTTTAATTTAAACCAGTTGTATAGACCGATACCGAATAGGGTGATGCATAAACCAATAATGTTGATCAAGGTGAGGATATCTCCAAACACAAGTGACGAAATAAAAATAGTTGCTACTTCTTTAAATATACCGCATACACTTAGTGTCACCACCGATGTACGTTTAATTAAAAAGAATTCCGACATGATCATGAAAAAGGCAAGACTCCCGCCTGCCAAAACAATGCCAATCTAGAAGCCGTATTAATACCCATACTGTGTATATACTTTACAATGGTTACTCACAGTATGTGCGCCTGTCAAAAAATCAACAAAAAATGAACTTGTAAAAATGGTGATATAACCTTCGACTAGTGCAGAAATAATCAGTAGAATTATGGCTTGTGCAGGAGCCAGAAAAAAAATAGAAGCAAATGGATTTGTTAACCCCATACTTTCCTTACGCAAAAGTACTTCCGTTAAGGACCAGCGTAAGCCACCAAAGGCTGATGCTGCCATGACCTGGACGAATCCAATTAAATTAAAATCCGTTTCATCCGATACCATCAAGACTACGCCAGCAGTGATAATCACAATAATCAAAATCAGCTTCCAGCTTGGTTTCTCCAGCTTGAATAAAAATGCAAATAACAATACAAAAGCAAGTGTAGATGATTTACACATGGCTACAATAAGAAAAAAACCAAAACAAGTTAGCATAGAAGGAATGTATAATTCGAAAAATACTTACTATAAAATGATAATGTGATGGTTTTTAAAGAAAGATTTGACAAACCAATATCAAGACTCGTGGCTAATGCGCAGGGTAATACTTTGTATCTACACAAATGAAAGATAAGCTTATATACGTATAGAAATGTTGTACAAACATACATGTAATCGGAAACGGAAGGTCTTTTGGTAGGTCTCAAACTAGGCACGATTAGTAAAGAAGTTCCAGAAAACGTAAATTGAACAATCATGTGCACACTTGTCACAAAAAGGGGATATCCAAATCCATAATGTTCTGCTGAAAACATCCACTTATTATATACTGATAATATAGTGGCAAACTATAGTAAAATAATAGTAAGTACTTGTTACAGGCACAGCTTGACGAAACCCTACTGTATACCTAAAACGACAAAATCTATTTAAATATTTAAGAAAAACACTTAGATATAATACTTTACCACATCAGTATCCAAAACAAGTTTATAGCAGAAGTCTTGACCAGACTCTTTGGCTCCACAGTAGTATTATTGTCATCAAGTAGAGCTTCAGATGCTAAAGAAAGTGGATCTTCTTCTCTTAAAGAGAAAGCTTCGCTATCTTCGGATGCTCTACCATCAGAAATGGGCATCGGTTTTAAATGTGTCGCTGACATGGCCACATTAATAAGAAATGTGGTAGAAGAGAGAAAGGGATTTCCACAATTTTTGTTTACATTTTTTTTTTTGGTATAAAATAACTTCATAACTCCGACGACTTGTAATGCACTAGATGAACTCGATTTCTAGCCCTTTCATCAAAGACAGGATCGGGCGTGAACAAAGTTTAAAATTAGTGTCTCTTTTCAGCTGGCAGTTTTTCTTTAATATGAGTAAAAAAAAACTATACAAACTGACTTCCAAAGTTGAGATTGTTTGAAATAATTATAATTAAGAACGCAGATCTTATTCTATTTACCAATTATCTACCTTCCTTAGAACGATAAAAAGGTAGTAAAGGTTTATCGTCAGATGAATCTAGCTTTATAAATAAAATAAAGCGAAAGTTCTTTGCTTCTTCCTCATTTCGACTTACAGTAGTATACTACTGGGATCCCGCAGGACAATATACATATACATATATTACTATGACAGGCGGTGCAGCAGTCAAATTTACATGTGGCAATATCATGAGTGAGGTGGGCAATTCTATGTGACACAAAAAAGCATTTTTAATTTTTTAACGCTTAAAACGAAAATAGCAGCTATTATGTGATGTATGTCTGAATTAATTTCAACTTTTCTTTTTTGAAATATCAATTATTATTTGGTCAAGCTTGACATGATTTTTTTCCATCTTCCATGACGTAGAGGCTACCAATATCAACTTGAAAAAGCAGCCATTCTTATTTTCTCTATTTTGTTTTATTATTTATGTGGTATTTGACAAAATAGTTACAATAGAAAAGTAATGAGATAAAAGTATATCTTTTATTGGAGGTAAAAAATAGACTCCAAGAACTCTGCTGCTATGAAATAATTGATCCTTTTTATATTGCACAACTCTCCTGAGTTTTAATGATGAGTCAACCTTTCTGGTTTTGGAATAAATCTATACTTTGTTTCCCGCCTTGGGTTAAATGGATACTACTCGCTAAAATTGTTTCCAGTTAACGTTGTCCCATATCAGTGCATCGGGAGCATGAGTATTCTAATAAATCTTTAGTATTACGAGACACTTATTTATCAGATCATGGAACGGTTACTGTAAAAGATGCATACTTGTTTGTCAAGTGTAATTGGTAATAGAACATAATAGTTGAGCATTTATTCATTATCTTTGAAATGAATAAAATACGATCCCAAATATAAAATGTTTTATCGTTATTTGTATATTTGGTTGTAGAAGATAGGTATC